GGGATCGGCGGGGCCGGCGCTGCTGGCCTGGCGGAGCCCGGCCGGGGAGCTGGGGCTGCGGGCCGGGCCGCCCCCGCCGCCCCCCAGCGCTACCAAGGCGCTTTTCTTCCTCCGGCCGCCCGCAGCCGGCCCCGGCCCCGCAGAGCTGCTGTGCGGGGACCTGCCCGCTGAGCCCCTGCCGCACTTCGCCGCGCTGGTGGAGGAGGTAAGGGGGGGGAAAGGCGGGGCTGGGGTCTGTAGAGCCCGATGGAACATCCTAAATCGTGAGCCCTGTGGGATCTGGGTGTGTGGCGGGGTCCGTGGGGATGGCCCACGTTATACAGTCACAGGATGGATTCCTGAGAGTGAGAAGCTGTGTTGTCCCATCCTTGGAAGTGTTCAAGGCCAGGGTGGACGGGGCTTGGAGCAAGCAACCTGGGATTAGTAGAAGGTGTCCCTGCCCATGGCAGAGGGAGAACTTTAAGGTCCCTCCCAACCCAACCCATTCTGTGGTTGTAGAATAATTAGTGCTGCCAGTTGGTGCTAACACATCTCAGACACGTCTGGTCCAAGTCTCTGCTCCATCCAGGCCACCCAGAACCAGTCACCCAGCACCACGTCCAGTATCCCTACAGGTGGAGACTCCTGTGCCAGCCCTCAGTCACCCTCAGGAAAGGGTTTTTCCTGATGTTCAGGAGAGCCTCCTGTATTTGAGTGCCCCATTACCTCAGGTGGGCTGATGTTTTCCCAAAGGGATCTTCAAGAGGTTCCATCAGGGGCCCAGCTGTCATTTTAACAATCCAAAAGAATACAAACGGTTGATGTGAATGGTTATGGCATTACTCTCATTAGCAGTCTGATTAATGGAGACAAAGCCTGCTAGCATTGCAGCTGGAGATGCTGAAGGTGAGCTCTGTGTGCCCTGGGGTTGTTCCCCTTCCCATGGCTCCCTGGACATGGTGTTTGTTCCTGCTGGTCCTCTTTGGTCGTGGTAAAGAACTTTCAGCACCCTGGAGTGGCACCCTGGTTGTTCCTTTTCGATTCTGTGTCTGTTTGTAGCTGATTTTGTATCTTTATCCTGCCCCAAGTCTGGCCACACAAAGGCTGCTCATCACCAGGGGCAACCTGGCTCTGATCCCAGGGGAAGGTGGCAGACACTGCTGCTATCCCAGCACAAGCCCAGCCCAGGCAAGCCCAGCCCAGAGCCCCCAGTGCTGGAACTGCACTGGTAAAAAAGGAACCATATTTAGTGGGCTGCAGCTTTGGGAAATATCCTAAAATGTGGCTCTGCTGTAGATGCCAGGAGGTACCAGAGGACCTTCCCTGGCTTATGGGGGTGGCTGTGCAGGGACAGCCCCTGGGCTCAGCCCAGCCCTGCTGGCCTTCATCATCACCTGCTGCTTGGGACAGTGGTGAATGAGGGTCTCCAGGCTTGCCCAGCACCTCAGAGCCTGGTGGCCAGTCCATCCTTTGTGCTTTTTGTCATAGAATCATCAAATCACAGCATGTTTTGTGTTGGAAGGGACCTTAAAGCCCAGCCAGTGCCACCCCTGCCAGGGCAGGGACACTTTCCACTGTCCCAGGATGCTCCAAGCCTTGTCCAGCCTGGCCTCAGACACTTCCAGCCACAGCTTCTCTGTGCCATGGCCTCCCCACCCTCACAGGGAACAATTTCTTCCTAAATCAAATCTAAATCTGCCTTCCTTCAGCTCTTCTCCACTGCTCTTCCATGGCTCCTGCTGTAGGTGATCGTGCCCATCCTGACCAACCGGAGGAACCATCAGGGCTGGCCACGAGTGGTGTCACAAGACATCATCCATCATGTCCACAGCCTGAAAAACACTGTCTTCAAGGTTGTTGGCCAGGTGAAGGGCAAAACCTTGCTGCCTCTTCCAGCTGGCTCAGAGGGAATCGAGAACATTGATCCTAAAAATGAGAAGTTGTGAGTACCAGCCCTTGCTCTCCACTGGGTTTTCCTCTCATGCTGCATGTGCTGAATCTTTTGGGGATCCTCCCTGTCAGACATGGGGACTCTTCTTGCTCCCTGTCCTCTGCAGCTCATCAGACTGCCAAGGAGGGCTGTTTTGCTCTGTCTAGCTCATGGGCTCTGTCTTTGGGGACTGTACAACGATACAAGCAGGAAAAGCTCAGGAGGTGGAAGGGGATGTGGGCATGCAGAGAAGCAATGGACTGCTGGGATCACTGAGGGAAAACTCCAAACATACTATTCTATACTAGAATACTATAAAGAAAAACCTGTGACTGTCTGGAGACAGCCAGGACACAGCTCTGAGCCAACTGGCCAAGGAAACAAAACAATCCTCAGCAGAATCCAACTGACAAATCACTTCAGGTAAACAATCCCCCAACACATTCCACACGTGCAAAAACAACAGGAGCAGCGAGCAGAGATAAGAATTGCTTTTCTCTTCTTCTCTCTGTGCTTCTCTAAGAAAAAACCCTGAGAGAGAAAATGATGATTCACATTCAGAGAACGTGAAAGCCACAAGTGTTTCCATCACTGGTCACTAGGAGCCAGCCCCTGAGCAGAGCTGCTGGGCACTCTCCATGCTGTCAGCTGGCTGCTGCTGGTGCCAGGGGGGGGTCAGATGAGCCTGGGAGTGGAATTTCACCTGCCCTTTGTGCTGTGCTGGCCCAGGCCGAGTGGAGACAGAGCCCTGCCCGTGCAGAGCTGTCAGCAGTGGCTGCACAAACAACACCTGGTTCTTTCTGGCACTGCTCTCATCTGAGCCTGGCACCAGCTCTGTCCTCTAGGGCTGGTCCCATTTCCTGCCAGCTTAGTTCAGACTGAAACATGGGTTCTTAAGCTCTAAAACTAAATATTTCATAAAGTGAGACCCTGCCTGGTCTGTTTGCACTGCAGCCTGTGCAGAAAAGCCTCCCAGTGGCTGCAGGACTTCACCACTTCCCTCCAGCCACAGCCTTGTTCTTCTCACATCCTCTGTGCTTTCCTGTGCTGGGGCTCTTTGCTCATGCAGGTGCATCTGCTGCTTTCCAGAGCTGTGGGGGCTTCAGGAAAACTGGTTGGAAAACGTCTTGAGTGTCCTCCAAAAAAAGCCCCAAATCTAAAACAAACACGACCCCCTCCCCCCAAACATTTTTTATTCTTCAAAGGATTTTTTTTCCCCCACATAAAAATGAGTTCAGGACTCTCACTCTTTGGGGATCTCAGTTCAAAACCCTGCTCTAGCTCTAACCTGCCTGTTCTAGAGAGTCTGTGCCCTTGTGTAACTGCAGAAAATCCTGAGCCAGGGCTTTGGGGCACAGCTGGTGCTGCCCCAGCTGGGCTGGTGACGTGTCCTGTGCTGCAGGTGTGCTGACCTGGAGGGCATCCACAGCCAGCTGACGTCCAGGAGGGTCAGCAACCTGCTGGAGCTGCTGGAGAGAGTGCAGAGCATCTACGTGCCAGCCTTCCAGAGCATGCTCACGGACGTGGAGGCAGGTGAGAACCTGGGACAGCTCTGCTGAATTCTGTCCTCTCTCACAGCCTGGGGTCCCAGGGGCATGGTGCTGCCAGAGCCAGAACCAGGCTCAGCTGAGCTCAGGCCCAGCCTGCTGATCCTGCAGCCCATGCAGAGCTGTGCTTTTGGTGCTGCCAGGCACTGCTGGGTTGTTGTGGCCTCTGCCCACAGCCCTGTCACACTCCCTGTCCCCCACCAAATTTTTTTTCTTTTTTTTTTTTTTTTTTACAGCTTCAAAGATTTAAAATGAGGAAGTTCAGTCAGTACTTGGTACATGAGTAGGATATATTGAATTGAAAACCTCCCTTCAATTTTGAAAAATCAGGAGACCCATTTGCACAATTTCAACGTGGTCTATTTTGAAATTATTACACTGAAAATAGGGCTGTGTCACCAAAATATAGAAAGTGGCAGTTTTACTCAGACTAGGATGTTTACTGCTACTGTCTCAGATGTTAAATGCAGCAAGAGATTTTAAGCTCCAAAAGATTAATTGTTCTAAAACTTGATCTGAGCCATCTCAAAACAGCTGTTTAGATTCCAGTGTGTATGTCTAGATGCCAGTTAAAAAGATGCTGGGATTCAATATTTAGTCACCCAGGAAGAAGTAATTTCCACTCTTATCCCACACCCTTGGTGGAATTGAGTCGAGTCAGGTTGTGTGCTGTGCTGGTTGTGCTGTAGGTGAGCAGGGATGGAGGTGATTGCTCTGCAGCACACACAGGTCAGTGCTCTGTGCCAGCTCCCAGCTCGTGACCTCCCTGCCCCTCAGCAGGAATTTCTGCCCCCCTTTTCATCACCTCCCTGCCCCTCAGCAGGAATTTCTGCCCCGCTTTTCGTCACCTCCCTGCCCCTCAGCAGGAATTTCTGCAGCTCGTGCCAGCTCCCTGCTCCTCAGCAGGAATTTCTGCCCCCCTTTTTGCCAGCTCCTCGCTCCTCACCAGCACTGTCTGCTCCCCTTTTTTTCCAGCATCCAGCTCATGACCTCCCTGCTCCTCAGTGGGACTTTCTGCAGCTCGTGACCCCCGTGCTCCTCAGTGAGAATTTCTGCCCTGCTTTGTGCCAGCTCCCTGCTCCTCCCCAGCACTGTCTGCCCCGCTTTGTGCCAGCTCCCAGCTTGTGACCTCCCTGCTCTTCAGCAGAAATTTCTGCCCCCCTTTTCATCACCTCCCTGCTCCTCAGCAGGACTGTCTGCAGCTCGTGACCCCCGTGTTCCTCAGCAGCAATTTCTGCCCCCCTTCTGTGCCAGCTCCTTGCTCCTCACCAGCACTGTCTGCTCCCCTTTTTTCCAGCATCCAGCTCATCACCTCCTTGCTCATCACCAGGACTTTCTGCAGCTTGTGACCTCCCTGCCCCTCAGCAGGAATTTCTGCCCCCCTTTTTATCACCTCCCTGCTCCTCACCAGCACTGTCTGCAGCTCATGACCTCCCTGTTCCCCAGCAGAACCTTCTGCTCCCCTCTGTGCCACCTCCCTGCTCCTCAGCAGAACCTTCTGCTCCCCTCTGTGCCACCTCCCTGCCCAGCAGAACCTTCTGCTCCCCTCTGTGCCACCTCCCTGCTCCTCAGCAGAACCTTCTGCTCCCCTCTGTGCCACCTCCCTGCTCCTCAGCAGAACCTTCTGCTCCCCTCCGTGCCAGCTCCCAGCTCGTGACCCCCACCCCAGCCCGTGCCTCTCACCCCTCTGCCCTTCTTCCCACAGCTCTGAGCGAGGCCCAGGACATCGACCTGCACCTGGCAGCCCTCCAGCAGCCCCTGGAGCAGGTGGAGGCCGCTGAGTTCAGCAAGGTGAAGCCTCTCCTGGCGCCTCTGCTGCACGCCGTGTGCTGGCTCTGGGTCAGCTGCCAGCACTACAGCGTGCCCCTGCGCCTCGTGGTGCTGCTCCAGGAGATCTGCAACCTCCTCATCCAGCAGGTGTGTGCCTGTGCTTGCACAGGAAGGCTTTTAGGGAAGCCTTTTCCCTTCCTTCCAAAGGGATTCCGATTGAGAGGAAGGGTCACAGCTGCTCGGTGCCAGAAGTCGCCGTTTGCTGTGGCAGCAAAGGGACATCTCTGGTGTGGTTTGGCTCCTCCAGGCCATGGTGTACCTGTCCCCAGAAGACCTGCTGAAAGGAGAGGTGGAAGAGAGCCTGGGCAAGGTGCAAACAGTGTTTGACATCCTGACTGCCTTCAAAGGGGCGCTGGAGGAGAGAAGGACAAACCTGCAGGTGTATTATGAGCCAGGCCAGCAAGTGAGGAGCTGGGACTTCCACTCCAGGCTGGTGTTTGCAAGGCTGGACAGCTTCCTGCAGAGGCTGCAGATGGTGAAGGTGAGGCTGTGAGGCATTGCAGCCTTGATCTGCCTTGCTGGCACCTTCCCTGATGCCAGGGGGTCACTCTGTGCTCTGTGGTCCCCCTGACATCAAGGCCAGGGCTTGTTTGCCCAGGTGCTGCTCAGTGCCTGTGTCAGATTTGCTGCTGTGTCCTTCTGCTCAGCCTGGTAGGTGTGGCAGTGCTCCCAGGGGTCCTCTGGGATTTGTGCTCTTGCTGGGACAAGGGGATGGGGGTCATGGGGCTGTGGTTGGCACAGCTGGGAATAAACCAGGACAAGCTCCTGGGGCATTCAGGGACACCTGGATGCCCCAGCTGGGCATCTCCTGGCTTGGACAGGGGGTCTGGGGAGGAGCAGAGACACATTCCACATCCCTGTGCACCTGCTACACAGACCTGTGCTCACCTGGGAGCTCTCCTGTGGGTGACAGCTCCCTGCAGCTGCTGGTCACACCTCTCTGAGGTGAATCTCTGTTTTTGGGTGGGCTGCTCCCAGCTGGGGGGTCAGGTGGGCACTGCACAGGCTGCTTGTGCCTATGCAAGGCAAGGGCTGGGTTGCTTTTCTCCTTTTCTCATTCTCTGAACTGCAACAGAAAGTTTTACTGGTTTAACCAGTAAACTGGTTAAATCACATTGTAAACAGTAAAAGGCAGGCCATGGTCACTCAGGGCAGTGGCTGCAAACAGAGAGCATTTTCCAGGGGAAAAAGAAGACATTTGCCCAGGGTCTGGGCATCAGATGAAAGCTGGCATTTGGGGCTCTGAGGACTGGCATTGGCCTAGTTTCTGGCAGCTTTAGTTTTGGAGAAATCCAGCAAAATTTGCAAATTTCTAGCTTTAAGGTCCCTTCCAACCATACAGTGTAACTCTGCTCCTTCCTTAAGGAGCTGTGTTGAAAACCACAATGGATGGCATCTGTTTTAAAATCACTCACAATCGTAGAATCACAGAGTGGTTTGGGTTGGAAGTGACCTCAAAGATCATCCTGAGCACCCTCAGGGTGGCCCAGGAGCAAACATGGCTCTGTGCTGTGGTAATTGTCATCTGCTCGTGGCTGAAGCTGTGTGTGCCTCCTCTGGCTCTGCAGGGCGTCCTGAGCACAGCCCTGGACCTGGCCCAGCTGGAGAAGATTGAATTTGGGGGGATGAAAGGGAAGGCCCTGGGCCAGCAGGTGCTGGACATGCACGAGGAGTTCCAGGAGGGCTTCCAGGTGTTCTCAGAGCGAGCCTACGACTGCCTGGACCTGGCCAACCTGGTAGGTGGGAGCAGCCTGAGGGATGCCAGCAGCACGTCCTCCTTCCCAGGGAGCAGCTCCCTCTGCAGCAGAGCCCTGCTGCCTCCTGCCAGCTCCTTCCTCCCTCCCTCTGTCGTGCTCTGATCTGTCCCTGTAGGGGACAGGGAGCTGCTGGCCTTTTCGGCAGACACTTGGCAGTTCTTGCAGCTGCACATCTCAGAGTCACACAGTGAACCAGGCTGGAGCAGACCTTTGAGATCATCAAGTCCAAGCTGTGCCCCAGCACCTCCTCATCTACCAAACCATGCCACTGAGTGCCATACCCTGGCACAGCTGAAGTCTAGCACACCTTGCTGGTTCAGTGAGTTTGAGCTTCTGTGGGTTTTTGGGGTGGTGGCGCGATCTTCAGGCCAGCTTCAGGGTCAGAGAGTGTGGAGATAGCTCCTGCCTTGCCTCCAGCTGATGTTAGTGCTTGCTGGACTCTGGGTCCATCCTGGGGAGCCTTGGACTCAGCCGTGGGATGGGACAGAAGTGCCCTTGACTCTGTGGAGGAATGTTTGAACTCCTGGTGAATAAGAAGAGGCAACACCTCTGTGCAGGGAGGTGACAGGCACCTCCCCAGTGCCTTCTCACAGCTCAGGACTTGCTGCTGCCCTTCCCACAGGAGTTTGAGCAGGACGCCCTGGACTTCCAGCAGAAGGTGGAGGACATTGACCGGCGGCTGGGCACCGTGTTCAGCCAGGCCTTCAGTGATGCCCCGGGCCTGGAGCACATCTTCAAGGTCCGTCTGTGCCTGCCTTCCCTCCCTGTGAGCTCCGCAGAGAGGCCAGGCAGGGCTGGAGCTGCAGGCTGTGCCCGTGGGGTGGACAAGGGGACAGTGGCATTGGGGGGGGATGCTCAGAGCTCGGGTCCACCACGAGCCCTGGAGCTGGGAGTGCCCCTGCTCCTCACCTCAGACACAAACACAAAAACAAAGTGGCCTTTGCTCCATTTGGGGACAGATAAATGATTCAAATCAGGCTTGTGGATGGCAGGAGTTGCACTGGTGTCCCTGGGAGAAAGGCTGCTCTGAGTTCCAAGGCCAGCTTGGACAGGGCTTGGAGCACCCTGCTCTACTGGAGGTGTCCCTGCCCTTGGGTGTGGAACGAGCTGGGCTTTAAGGTCCCTTCCAACCCAAAGCATTCTGGGATTCTCTGGTTTCCTGGTGAAAACTGCTGTTAAAACCAGGTGATCGTTGTTAATATCAATTTGTTAATACATGGATGAATTTCAGCTCTGAAAATGGAGGTTTTCTAGAAAAGAGGGGGCTTTGTTTACCAGTGAATCTATTCTGCAGAGAAAGTAAATTGTATTTTCTGAAAACAAATCAGAATAATTGTAAAAATTGCTATAGAAAATAGTAAGTGATAGCATTTATCTTTGAGTTGTTTGGGTTTTTTTTTTTTTTTAAATAGCAGATTTGAAGAATGACTGTTGAAATATGGTTGACCCACAGAGAAGGTCTGAGCATTTCTGTAACAAAAACATGCTTTGTGATATGGTTTAGGGGTGGGATCAGTCAAAGGTGACCTTGGAGTCCTTTTCAAACCTAAATGACTCCATGAAAGGCAGGAACTACTTGGGAAAGCAGGGGGAAAACCTTCCCTTTGACACACGTCCACCAGTGCAGACCTCTGAGCTACTGAGGAGCTGCATCAGTGAGGAAAATCCCAGCGGGACTTTGCGCAGGAATGTGACTTTTCCCGTTCTTTCCCTGCTCCTTCCCCTGCACAGCTGCTGGCCATGTTCCAGAACCTTCTGCAGCGCCCTGTGATGGCTGCAGCTGCTGCTGACAAAGTCCCCGTCCTGCTCAGCGTGTTCAGCACTGTCCTGGACCAGGCCAGGCTCACCTACACCAGGCACACCCAGGCAGGGCTGCAGCTCGGTGGGTGCCACGCCAGGAGGAAAACGGATTTTACAGGAAATTGTATTTAGGCTAATTTAGGGGGGGAAAACAATTTTATTTTTCTAAGGACACCAGAACTTCCCAAATTGCAAAGGTTTGCAGCTTTCCTGGTGGGAAGTGCCTGGGAATGCCCTGTCATTATCCTTGTTTTGTCAATGTCCTTGTTTTAAATGGGTGAGGTGTGGGTAATGCTGGAAAGGCAAGGCGGAGGTGGGAATCTGGGGGTTGATCAGCCTTTCCCAGGTTTATTGTTCCCTGGGAATGCTGGCACAGAAGGGAGTAGGTAAATTCCTATCAGGAAGCCTCAGGAAGTCTGTTCTGGAATCAGAGGAGCTCCAGGAGGGGCAGCACTGCTGGAACCAGTGCAGGTTAAGAAGGGGAATGGGGAGATTGGCGGAGGGTGAGTCCAGCATTGGCTGTGGCTTTGGGCACTTCTGTTCTGTGGCTCTGAGATGGGATGGTCACAGCCAGCTCCCAGCCAGAAATCCCCTCCTCAGTGCCTGTGGGAAGCAGAGAATTCACCCCAGCCTGGTTCCAGGACTTCTCCTGCGATGCCTTATTCCAAATCCCCAGCGGGGTTTGTAGGTCGCAGACCTCCGCGCAGTGACAGAGGTTGGATTTCAGGGAGGAAGCCTGGAGCCCAGGGCAGTTCTGTGGGGCTGTGGGGTTGCAGGGCTGATGAGATGCTGTTCCCCTGTGCCCTGCAGGCTTTCCCCCCCTGCACAAGAACGTCCCTCCCGTGGCTGGAGCGCTGGGCTGGGCGCGGGAGCTGCGGGCGCGGATCCAGGGGCCCTTGGAGCACCTCAGGCACATCCCAGGGCTGTGAGTGTCTGCTCCAGATGAGCTGCCACCATCTGGGAATCTCTCTCTGGGTGTTCTCTCTGTGTTGAATGCTATCCAGTGGCTGTAGCTGAAGCAGTGAGGAGGTGAGAAGTGAAGAGGTGCCCTGGAGGCGTTCACTTCCCCACCATTTTGGTTTTTTGAAGGAGCTTTTTAATTGGATTGGTTATTAAGTGATTGAGAGGCACAGTGGGACAGTAGATAGGCTCCTCAGCTTTTAACAGAGCCCTAGGTTGTAATTAAAATAGGTATTGCAAACCTTTCCCACTAATTCCTCTAGGAGCTCGTTGGGAGCAGCTCAGCTCTTGGGTGTTGGCAGAAGATAACTTTCTGAGCATTAAACAAAAAACATTCACCCAGATTGTGATCAAGAGAACAAACCAGGGCTGGAATTCTCATGGTCCCTGCATTTAGCACTGATTTTACCCCTCTGTTTAGAGCAGTTAAAAACAAGTCCTTCAGCAGGGTGGTGTGAGGCTCTTTCCCATGTACAACTTGAGAGGAAGAAAGGATTGAAAAGGAAAAATGAATATATGTGTGTATATACATATATATGATCTATATAGTATATGTTATTGCATGCATTTTGTATTTATTTTCTATACATTATATAAACAGTCATTCACACAGCTGTGACCTGCACAGTGGAGCACAAATGTCACAGGAAACTGCCAAGGGTGAAATGTTTAAAAGTGATGTTTGGTAACTGATTTTTCCAGCAGCCCTGAGTCCTTCTCCTGTCCCAGCTGCTGCTCCCCATTTTATCTGAGAGACAGCCCAGGGGGCTGGGCAGCCTTTGTGCAGGGAGAGGATTTGGGGTGAAACCCAGGCAGACTGTGCCTGCAGGCTGTGGGGGACCTTGGGGAGGGGGAAATGCAGATGCCAGCCCCCAGGGCTGGAGGTGACCCTGTCTGTTGTGCTGCCAGGAGCTTGGACTCTGCCCGTGGAAGAAGGGTGGTGCAGAAATATGAAGAGATGATCCAGCTGCTGGACAGGTACAGGGGGCTCAGGCAGGGAAAGCTTCCCCTCCCCTGAGGCACCTTCCAGAACATTTGGCAGCCCAGGGCTTGGGAATGTCCAAACCCAAGGGAATTTCCTGCTGGGAGAGGAGGAGGGGGCCTGGCACTGGGAACCACAGGTTTGCTGGGATGGCTTCAAGTGGGAATCCTGCAGGGGCGGGGGGGAAGAGGGGCTCTGCAGCCAGCAGGAACTTCAGAACAAGCTGCTGTGGGGTGGAGGAGCTGCTCTGGTGGAAAGCCTGGGCTGGGAGAAGTCTCTGTTCTCTCACTGGCTGTGTTTGCAGTGGCTGTAACGTGGATGTTCCACAGTTTGAGCTGGGGGTAACTGTCCAGGCCTTGGCATCTCAGTGTTTGAAGTTTCACCTGATTGCTCTGGGCTGTCCCTTGGGAGGAACCCTTCCCCAGGGAGGGGATCCCTGCAGGACCCTGCTCCCCACCCACACTGGAGGGAGCTGAGATGAGCCAGAGCCCACCCCGGGCTGCTGGGTGCTGCAGGGTGGTGGGGGGAGCCCTGTTCCCATCAGCAGAACAAGGCTGGGGGGTTCAGCAGAGCCCTTCAGAGAGGAGCAGCCCCACAGGTGGTGAGGGGTGACCACCTCGAGGTGCTCTCTCCTGGCTGCTCAGGTGGCAACGTGATTCAGAGCAGACTTTGTCACTGGGGAGGGAGGGACTGCCCATGAGTTGTGAGATGCCAGCCCTATTCTGCCCTCTGTGCCCCATCCTGGGGTGCCATGGCCTCACTCAGACAGGTGAGCTCAGCTTCAGCCACCCCACATCCCTGGGGCTTCAGGCATCTGCCCTGCTTAGACCTTTGGAGACCCCCAGCTGCTGGTATGTCACACTAGGCTAAGTGCTTTGGAAAGTCCATCTCCAAACCTGAATTCTCTGCTAAAACTGGTACTTGAGAGAGCTTTGCCCTCCTGACTTGATGCTGCCACTGTTTTTAGGGTGCTTCTCTTGGAAGCCCTGTTGTTGAGGTGGCATGGATGGGTTTTGAAGATTCCTTCACCTTCTTCAGTCCTCAGAGTGGAGTTGGCTTCCACTCAGTTTCAGCTGCACCCTCTGGTCTGGTAGCTGTGTGGTGCATGTTTCTCTCTTCTGGCAGGTATCAGGAAAAGCTGTATTTAGACTGGTCCCAGACAGTCTCAGAAAAATCCCAGTACAACCTGACCCAGCCTCTCATCCGGAGAGATCCCCAGACCAAACTGATCACGGTCAATTTTGATCCCCAGGTAAGAGCTGCTGCCCCTGGGCTCTCCTGCCCCCCAGAGCATGTCCCCAAGCTGTGGGGGACACCCGGTGGGGTTCTCTGTGCCTAAATACCAGCATTACAGTTTGAGCAGAGCAAATTCTGGTTAAAGGCAGTGGCAGGAGGTCCCTCAGGAGCCAGATGTGTGACTGGTGTCAGCATGTCCAGACCACACTGGTTGATACTGGTGTGGGGAGTGGTGGGACATCATCTACAGATGCACATTCAGGTTGTGTGTAGCTGAAACCTGAGCTTCTGAAAGGCTGTGGAAAAGCCAGGGAAGGTTTGTTTTGTGACTCCAGAAATATTTGATGGAAGGTGGCACCAGAAGGAGTTGTGTCAGTGGGTTTGTTTTTTACTATTTTTAAATGATTTTTTATACCAACCAGCCCAGCAAACCAAGAGAACTGGAGCCATCTTATCTTTCACTTTGACAATGGCCCATGGCTCTTGCAGAACAATATTGCTGAGACTTGTGCTGTGGCTCAGCCTCCATCTGAGAGGGGAAGCACATGGACGGGGGTGGCTGGGAGCAGGTGATGGTGATGTGAGAGGTGATGGTGGCTTTTAGGGGCTGGTTGGTGCTTAACAGAGCTGGCAAGGAATCCAGAGTCAGAGATCAATGGTGGTACAGACCAGGAGCTGTCCAGGCCCTTTCCAGCTTGCTACTTTGGGAATAAACCAGGAGGAACATCCTGTCATACTCAGGAGAGTTGGAGGGAATTCCAGGAGCTGGGAGGGCTGTGCTGAGCAGCAGGAATTCCCTGTGATGGTCAGAATGGGTGGGAGGGAATGACAGAAGCTGGAAGGGCTACGCTGACTAGTAAGAATGTCCTGTGATGGTCAGAAGGGGTTGGAGGGAATGCCAGGAGCTGGGAGGGCTGTGCTGAGCAGCAGGAACACTCTTTGATGCTCAGAATGGGTGTAAGGGAATGCCAGGAGTGGGGAGGGCTGTGCTGAGCAGCAGGAACACCCTGTGATGGTCAGAAGGGTTTGGAGGGACTGCCAGGAGCTGGGAGGGCTCTGCTGAGCAGCAGGAACACCCTGTGATGGTCCGAACAGACTGGAGGGACTGCCAGGAGTCACCCTGTGATGGTCAGAAGGGTTTGGAGGGACTGCCAGGAGCTGGGAGGGCTCTGCTGAGCAGCAGGAACACCCTGTGATGGTCAGAACAGACTGGAGGGACTGCCAGGAGTGGGGAGGGCTGTGCTGACCAGTGGGAACATCCTGTGATGGTCAGAATGGGTGGAAGGCAATTCCAGGAGATGGGAGGGCTGTGCTGACCAGCCAGACCCCCCTGTGCTGGTCAGAAGGGGCTGGAGGGAATTCCAGGAGCTGGGAGGGCTGTGCTGAGCAGCAGGAACACTCTCTGATGCTCAGAATGGGTGTAAGGGAATGCCAGGAGCGGGGAGGGCTGTGCTGAGCAGCAGGAACACTCTCTGATGCTCAGAATGGGTGTAAGGGAATGCCAGGAGCGGGGAGGGCTGTGCTGAGCAGCAGGAACACTCTCTGATGCTCAGAATGGGTGTAAGGGAATGCCAGGAGCGGGGAGGGCTGTGCTGAGCAGCAGGAACACTCTTTGATGCTCAGAATGGGTGTAAGGGAATGCCAGGAGTGGGGAGGGCTGTGCTGAGCAGCAGGAACACCCTGTGATGGTCAGAAGGGTTTGGAGGGACTGCCAGGAGCTGGGAGGGCTCTGCTGAGCAGCAGGAACACCCTGTGATGGTCAGAACAGTTTGGAGGGACTGCCAGGAGCTGGGAGGGCTCTGCTGAGCAGCAGGAACACCCTGTGATGGTCAGAACAGACTGGAGGGACTGCCAGGAGTGGGGAGGGCTGTGCTGACCAGTGGGAACATCCTGTGATGGTCAGAATGGGTGGAAGGGAATGCCAGGAGCTGGGAGGACTGTGCTGAGCAGCAGGACCTCCTGTGATGGTCAGAATGGGTGGAAGGGAATGCCAGGAGCTGGGAGGGCTGTTCTGAGCAGTAGGAACCCCTGTGATGGTCAGAATGGGTGGAAGGGAATGCCAGGAGCTGGGAGGACTGTGCTGACCAGCAGGACCTCCTGTGATGGTCAGAATGGGTGGAAGGGAATGCCAGGAGCTGGGAGGGCTGTTCTGAGCAGTAGGAACCCCTGTGATGGTCAGAATGGGTGGAAGGGAATGCCAGGAGCTGGGAGGACTGTGCTGAGCAGCAGGACCTCCTGTGATGGTCAGAATGGGTGGAAGAGAACGCCAGGAGCTGGGAGGGCTCTGCTGAGCAGCAGGAACCCCCTGTGATGGTCAGAAGGGGTTGGAGGGACTGCCAGGAGCTGGGAGGGCTGTTCTGAGCAGTAGGAACCCCTGTGATGGTCAGAATGGGGGGAAGAGAACGCCAGGAGCTGGGAGGGCTGTTCTGAGCAGTAGGAACCCCTGTGATGGTCAGAATGGGGGGAAGAGAACGCCAGGAGCTGGGAGGGCTCTGCTGAGCAGTAAGAACATCCTGTGATGCTCAGGATAGTTGGAGGGAATGACAGAAGCTGGAAGGGCTACGCTGACTAGTAAGAATGTCCTGTGATGGTCAGAAGGGGCTGGAGGGAATGCCAGGAGCGGGGAGGGCTGTGCTGACCAGCAGGACCTCCTGTGATGGTCAGAAGGGGCTGGAGGGAATGCCAGGAGCGGGGAGGGCTGTGCTGACCAGCAGGACCTCCTGTGATGGTCAGAAGGGGCTGGAGGGAATGCCAGGAGCGGGGAGGGCTGTGCTGACCAGCAGGACCTCCTGTGATGGTCAGAAGGGGCTGGAGGGAATGCCAGGAGCGGGGAGGGCTGTGCTGACCAGCAGGACCTCCTGTGATGGTCAGAAGGGGCTGGAGGGAATGCCAGGAGCGGGGAGGGCTGTGCTGACCAGTAGGAACATCCTGTGATGGTCAGAATGGGTGGAAGGGACTGCCAGGAGCGGAGAGGGCTGTGCTGTGCTCAGCTCTGTGCCTTGCCTCCCCAGCTGGTGTCGGTGCTGAGGGAGGTGAGCTACCTGAGGGGCAGCGGGGCAGGAGCCATCCCCCCGGCGGCAGCTGAGCTCCATTCCTGCAAGGAATCCTTCTGGCAGCTGGTGGCCAGCCTGGAGCTGATGGGGAACAGCTACAACAAGGTCCTGAGGACCGTGCTGGAGGTGGAATATCCACTGGTGCAGGGGCAGCTCCAGGACATCGACCTGAAGCTGAGGGAGGCAGAGGAAACGCTGACCTGGAGGACGGAGGGTGAGCTGGCTCTGTGTGATGTTGGTTTTCCCAGCTTGTACAGAGATGGGGCAGCTGAGAGGTGTTTTAAAAGATCTTATTTCGTTATCAGTCTCGATGGATAGTGAGACAGATGTAAAACTCAACACCATTCCACCAGAAGCCAACCCATTTCCTGGTTACAATACATTATAAATGTTTTTCAGCCTATTAGCTTTTGCCCCACAATGCTGCTGTTACTTCTAATGCCAATCACCTATATTTTTACCTATATTTAACACCAATCACCTATATTTTTACCTATATTTAACACCAATCACCTATATTTTTACCTATATTTAACACCAATCACCTATATTTTTATCTGTATTTTAACCTATATTTAACACCCATCACCTATATTTTTACCCCATGTAATGCTACAATGCATCTTTCACAGTTCTAATTCTCTAAAGCATCTGGTCTTTTTGCAAGGCCATATTTTGAAGCTTGTTGAAACTTGTTTCCGGTTCAACCTCTCTCTCTATAATGCCATCTCTATTCTGTGGCCTTCCTAAGCCAGCACACCTTATCTCAGAGTTTGCTCACAGATGTGCAAGGCTGTGTGAGCTTTCTGTCAGGTTTTGGGGATTCTTTACAAACCGGTTTCCCTCAGTGTGACACCTGGGGCTCCTCCTGCTCCCCCGTGTGCCCAGTCTCTGCTCCCTGGCTCCCGGTGGCAGTTCCCAGTAGGACAGGGCTCTCTCTGGCTATCCAGCACTGGGGAGATGAGGAGCAGCTCTCCTGGCATTCCTGCTCCTTCCCACATCCCAGATCCGCTGGGGCTGTGGGCAGGGTCCTGCTCCCTCAGGTTTAGCCCCAGCTCTGGGGAGGAGAGGCTCTGCTGGTCCCTCTGAGCCTTGTTGGGGTAGGGGACAGGTAGAGGTGGCTCTGCTGCTCGAGGTGGTGAATCTCTTTCCTTAAGGATGAGTGAGAAACACGTGAGACCACGGGGAAAAGGTCTGAAGGAGAGAACACCAGAGCTTGGCCCAGCAGCTCTGAAAATGGAGGCTCAACCATCTCATCTTCCCCAGGTGTCTGGGACCACATCTCCGGGGTGATGGGCGATGTCTGTGACCTGGAGCAGAGGGTGCAGAAAGCCAAGGGCAACGTTGAGGAGATCCAGGGCATCGTGCACTCGTGGGGGTCACCCATCCTGGAGAGGAGGGATTCCAAAAAGGAGGCAGTGCTGAGCCTGGAGGAGTGCCAGGAGCGCCTGGAACGGCGCTACAGCCTGGTCAGGGACTGTGGGCAGAGGATCCACTGGCTGGTCAAGGTGAGGGGGCACCTGCAGGGCTGGGGGCTCCTCAGAGGCTCCGTGCTGAAAACTGAAAACTTCCGGAGCTGCTTCGCCTTAAATGAACTCCCTGAACCCATCTGAGAGCCCGACCCGGGGTTAATTGCTGTTGTCTCTGAGGGGTGAGCTGGACTGGCTGTGGGGCTGGCTGGGCTCCCAGCCCCGGGCAGGACCAGCAGCAGCCCAGGGAAGGGTCTGGCTGCAGCCCTGGCTGCTGCAGAGCCACTAGAGGGGAGTGGTGCATCGCGTTTGGGATGCTGCTCCAAGGAAAAATCCCCTCTGAGGACCACCTGGGAGCACAGGCTGGGGCTGACCCTTCCGTTCCAGGCTCCGTGTCCCTCTGTGGACATCACCTCCTGCTGACCACCCAAGGAGAAGCTGAGTGACAGGACAGAAACTGCTGTCCCAAACCTCGGTGCTTCCCAGCAGTTTTGCCAGAGCTCGGAGTCCTCTGCAGGCCAGGAGAAAGCCCAAAGCTCTGCTCCTCACCTGCCTGGAGCCAGGTGTTGTGCATGGCCTGGAGGAGATGGGCTGTAAGCCCAGCCCTCTCCTGAGGGTCATGTCTGGCCTTGGACTCTGAAGAGAACCAGATGGGTTCATCAGGATGAATGAGACCCCCTTGAGACCCCCAGTTCTCCCTGCCCCAGGGGTGCAAAGCAGCCCCAAGTCCTGTGGTCTCAAAGAAGAGGGAGGAGAACATGTGGAAGACCTTCTTAGGCTCTTCTGCCCTCCATTTTCACCTTGAAGTGTTCCTGGAGACCAAGCAGCCCTTGACAGGAGCAAATCATGGCCATGCCCCAGTAGGAAGATCCACCACCAGGAGGCTGACACTGCTGTGCTGCCCAGCATCAGCCCTTGGGTGTGGGCAGCTCTCCTTAGGACATGCTCAGCCCTGCTGTGTGTGAAGGAATCTTCTTTGTCTCCCAGGAAAACCAGAGCCTCCTACGTGCAGACCCCGCATCTGATGCCTGGAAGGTGTACTTGGATTATGTGGATGAGATAGTCCTGGATGGATTCTTCACTGCCATTGAGTGCTCGCTGAAATACCTCCTGGAGAACACAGGTGACACCTGGTTCCTGTCCCCTGGCTGCAGGGGCTGCTCAGCCTCTCCAAGGGGACCTCTCTGGCTGTGCTCCCTCATATTCAGTGGTTGTTCTCTTCTTCCTGGCTTTCCTCTGGCACTGGAGCCTGCAGAAGGGGAGGGTGACTCCAGCCCTGGTCACTGGATTGCCCAGGGGGAGGGATGGAGGTGACTGCACTGTCTGCAAGGGTTAATGGAGACAGCTGAGGCTTCTCCCACATCTGTGCTTGGACATCAGCCACCTCCCACCCTCCCATGCCCAAAGCAGCAGGGTGGCACCATCCTTCCTCTGTGGGGAGTCTCAAGAGCCAGTTCTGCTCTTGAAAGGCACAAAACAAAGCCCTCAGTCCCTGAGCATGAGGCAGAGGTGAGCTGGGCCCAGGAGCCACCAGCCCAGCCCTCCTTGCTCTGCTGAGAGCAGCTTGTGTGCAGCTGAAGCACATCTCCAGGAACGCTTCCCTTCTGGATGTGGAGGCACAATGAGCCGGAGAATTGCAAGCAGTTCTTCACCACCTTGTTAAAAACTTGCCTAGGTTGTCACATTTGCATCTGGCTTCACTTTCTGGTTGCTGTTTGGTTTTTTTTATTTCATGCCTTTCACCACTAAATTAAAGAGCCACTTGGTTCCTGTTGTTTTTCTCCTCTGCAAGCACTTCCATGCTGGCATTGTGCAGCTCTCAGACTCCCTCTGCATTACCTGAAGAGCCTTTCCTCCTCAGGGTGTTTTCTGCTCCTTAAATCACCTGTGTCTCACCTGTTCCCCACTGCTTTTGGTGGGTACCACAGCACAGCCGGTTTGCCAACACCTCCATGGGTTGTGCAGGCACCAGTGAGTGTGTGCCTGCCACCACACCCTCCTGCTGTCCCTGCAGGCCTGTGACATCTCGTAATAGGAGATGAGTGGCTCAAGATTCCTTGATAAAGTCCCTGACATCTCTGTTCTTCCCTACCAGATCCCAAGGCAGGGCTCGCTCCCCTCTTTGAGGTTCAACTGGATTTGGTAATCCCAGATTTGGTGTTTCGCCCTTCCTTGGACCCTGGCACCAACGATGGCTTCTGTGACATGGTGGAAAGTCTTCTCCAGGGCATCTACCACATCTCCTCGCTGGTGCCCCGGCTGGCCACGCACAGTGGCTTCTGCCACTACCAGGTCTGTGTTCTGGGGCTTCCCCAGGCAGTGAGGAGGTGCCACGTGCTCCCACCTCACTGTGCTCTCCTCTCCCCTCCCTCTCCACTCTCTCTTTTCTCTTCTCTGCCTTCTTCCCTCTTCTCTCTTCCTTTCCTCTCCTCTCTCCTTTCTCTCTTCTTTGCCCTCTCCCTTCTCCCATTTTCTGTCTCCTTTGTCTCTTCTTCTCTCCTTTCTCCTCTCCTTTCCCTTCTTCTCTCCTTTCTCCTCTTCTTCTCTCCTTTCCCTCCTCCTCTCTCCTTTCTTCTCCCTCTTTTCCCTCCTGCTCTCTCCACTCTCCCTCCTTTCCTCTCCTTTCCCTCATTCTCTCCTCTCTCCTTTCTCCTCTTCTCTCTCCTTTCCCTCCTCCTCTCTCCTTTCTTCTCCCTCTTTTCCCTCCTGCTCTCTCCACTCTCCCTCCTTTCCTCTCCTTTCTCTTCTTCTCTCTCTCCTCTTCTTTCCTTTCTTCTCTCTCCTTTTCTCTCATTTCTTCTCTCTCCTTTCCCTCACTCCCCCTTTCTCCTCTCTCCTTTCCCGTCTTCTCTCCACTCTCCCTCTAACTCTCTCCTTTCCCTCCTCTCTCCTCTCTCCCATTTTCTCTCTCCTTTCCCCACTTCCTCTCTCTCCCCTTCCCTCTGTGCCCCCCAGGCTGACCTGGAGGCCATGCCCGCGCTGTGCCCATGGCGCCAGGAGCTGCTGGGTCGCGCTCAGGCGGCGGCGGCCGCGTGCCGCGAGCACCGCGCGGGGCTGGAGCGCCGCTTCTCGCACCTCTGCGGGGACGACAGGCGGGAGCTGTGCCGCCAGCTCCTGCTCCACGGCCGCGTCCCCACGCCCGCAGACGTCGAGGCCCACGGCGAGGAGGGCGTCCCCGAGGCGCCGGCCACGCTGCAGCAGTTCAGGGAGCAGATGGGCTCCTACGAGCAGCTCTACGAGGAGGTGGCTCGCATGCAGCCCCTCTGCACCTTCCAGGGCTGGCTGCGGCTCGATGCGCGGCCCTTCAAGGCGGCCTTGCTCAATGAGATTAAAAGGTGGAGCTTGGTGTTCAAGCAGCACCTCCTGGACCACGTCACGCACAGGTGAGGGCTGGTCCTGCCTCTGCTCCTGGGGTTTCTCTTGTCCTGGCTGGGCTGTGTCATTTCACACTGGTGGCCAAAGGATAGAGAATCGTGGAACGCCCTGGGTTGGAAGGGAGCCACAAGGACCAACCAGTGCAGCTGCTGGCTCTGCACAGACACCCCAACAATCCCACCCTGTGCATCCCTGGGAGCATTGTCCAAAACTCCTGGAGTTCTGGCAGCCTCAGAGCTGTGACAACCTCCAAAGATGATACAGGAGCAAGAGAAGGGCCCGTGTTGCACAGCAGCTCCATCCCAGCGCTGTGACTTCTGTGCCCTGGTCACTGCCTGTGTGTGAGCTGGGAGCAGTGGTATCCCTTGGTACCCCTGGGAGCAGTGACATTCCTTGGTACCCCTGGGAGCAGTGGCATCCCTTGGTACCCCTGGGAGCAGTGGTATCCCTTGGTACCCCTGGGAGCAGTGACATTCCTTGGTACCCCTGGGAGCAGTGGCATCCCTTGGTACCTCTGGGAGCAGTGGCATCCCTTGGTGCCCCTGACATCCCTGAGCTGATCTGATGTAGGGTGTGTGTTTGCCCAAGGTGTGTGTTTTGCTCCTCCTGAGCCAAATAATCCCATCTCTGCCCAGAGATTCTCTGCTTTACTGGATTTGGTGATGGCCATCAGTAAATCTGCATTGATGTGAGGTTTCTAAAAGCCCATGATTCAGGTAGCCTGGCATGAGCAGTCACAGGGAGGTGTCATGGGGCAATTTGGGCTCCAACTTTTGCATTACCATGTGTTCCTTGCTCTGAAGAGCTGCTCAGGTCTGTGCAGGACAATGGCCTGGGTGATTTATTGGTCACAACTGAAGGGTGTCTGAGGTTGTGGATGCTCCCAGGGGAGTGCTCATAGACATCTGAAGAGGAGGCTACTGCCTGGGGTGGTGATGTGATCTCCTGTGTGCTTTTCAGCACCGTAAATCTGTCTGATAATTTCTTTGCAAAGAGGTTTAGTGTGGCAGAGAATGAGCACTTAGGAGCTGTTGAGAGTCCCTGAGTCAGCAGTTTAGTCTTTATTAGGTGAAGTATTTAAGGATACTTTTAGGCCCAGCAGCATCCAGAGAATTTAAGCAGACACTTAAAAAGTGTTTTGAGACCCAGGAGCCAGTGCTCCTCTGCTGAAAGTGCCCAGTAGCTGGTGAGGTTAAGAACAGGATAAGCAGGTGAGGAAACGTGCCCCAAACACTCTCCTATCTGTGATGGTTTATAGCTCAAGGGCTTTGAGAGACAGGGATCTTAATTTTAAAGTCCTGGAGGGATTATTTTTCCTCCCACAAATGTCCAGTTGCTTTCCTAAACTGCTGTGAATTTGCATCACCTGCAGGAGGGAGCTGCCCTGTGAAGAGAGGCAGTGCACGAAGGACAATCCCTGTTTGTTACAGCTTTCAAACGTGCCAGCTTCACCTGAGCAGCTTGGATCCTTGTGGAGGAAGAGATGGGGTGAAAACTGTCACAGAATCCCAGAATGGTTTGGGGTTGGAAGGGATCTTAGAGCCCATCCAGTGCCACCCCTGCCACGGCAGGGACACCTCCCACTGTCCCAGGCTGCTCCAAGCCCTGTCCAGGACACTGCCAGGGATCCAGGGGCAGCCACAGCTGCTCTGGGCACCCTGTACTGATGCCTCCTCACTCTCCCAGTAAAAACTGGGACAGTAAAATCTGTCCTCTCAGACAGCCCCTCCTGAGCTCCCTGTCTCTGTTCAGGTACTCTGTCTCCAACTTGAGAAGTCCCAACCTGTCTTTGTGTTCCTTGAAGGAAGCTGTACCACATCCAGGGGCCTCTTTGAGCAGGAATTCCAGTTCTGGGGCTGGATATTCATTCCAGAGGAGCTGGATGAATAGTAATTCCAGAGGTGCTGCCCTCATCCTGTGCTTCCTTCCCTGCTTTGTGCTCTGCAGCTTGGCTGACCTGGACGAGTTCATCCAAAGCGCCGAGAAAGGTTTGAGCAGAAAGGTGGAGAGAGGTGACTACGGTGGCTTGGTGGAGGTCATGGGTCACCTGCTGGCTGTGAAGGAACGTCGCAGTGCCACTGATGCCATGTTTGAGCCCCTGAAGGAGATCATTGAGCTGCTGAGGGCCTACGAGCAGCAGCTGCCCGAGGAAGTCCACCAGCAGCTGGAGGTGGGTGAGGGCTTGTGGTGGGCACAGCAGCTTGCCCAGGAGCAGAAGGCAAAGGGGGCAGGAGTGGAGGAGCATCCCAGGGATATTCAAAGCCCTGCTCCCTGTCATTAGAGGGCCCCAGTGGGCAGCGTTTTGCTGTTGCAGGATGTGCCTTAGTAGCTCTACATTTTGAGATTTTTTTCTTTTAAAGCAGAGATTAAGCCTTTTGTTACGTGTGAAAAACATGGAATTGCCTGCTCCAGCTCCCAGCGATTGCTTTTGAAAAAAAAAAAAATTAATGCATTTTCAGATCCATCTGTTAATTAGGTTGAATTATAATTATTTTTAAATAAGCTGGTTCTTGGCAGCTATGGAGATGGGAAGGATAATGTTGCCAGAGGAGCTGCTTTCCCACAGGACTTCAGTCCTCCTCTGGGTCGAGACCACCAGATCTGCTTTACCCAGAGGACATCCCTGGCAGCAGGTTGTGAACATGTTTTGGCATCTTTCCACATCTGGCTCTCATGAATCAGTTCTTTGGGAATTCCTTTCTTTTCTGCAAAGGGGACCATGAGAAGGTTGTAAGAGATGGTGAGTGTTGGGGGACAGAGACAAGCCCTGCCAGCTGTGTCTTCATCCACCAGCAGCCTCGCCCCACTAAATCCCCCTGCCTGGGAGCTGCTGGTGCGTTCCTGCTTGTGCAAATACCTTCAAATAACTGATTTACTTTGCTGACAGAAGAAATGAGGGTGTGGAGCAGCCATCCACACGCAGGAGACAGCCAAAGAACTGTTCTTCCTGTGAATGATTCATTCCCTCCTGTACGGAGTGGGAAAGGCAGAAGTTCCTCTAGGCTCCTCTCCCTCCGTGGAGATGGATGGGCTTGGTAGGAAGGAGAAGGGGCAGCCAGCAGTGCCTTTGTGCCCGCAGGAGCTGCCGGAGAAGTGGAGCCAGGTGAAGAAGCTGGCTCAGGCCGTGAAGCAGCAGGTGGCCCCGCTGCAGGCCGGCGAGGTGACAGCCCTGCGGCAGAGCTGCGCCGCCTTCGACGCCCAGCAGCTGCGGCTCAGGGAGCGCTTCGCCGCCGAAGCTCCCTTCAGGTACGGCTGCTCCAGCGCCACACGGGCTTGAGGAACCTTTGGAGGAGCTGGCGTTGTGCAGCCTGGAGAAGAGGAGGCTCAGAGGTGACCTTATTGCTCTCTACAGCTCCCTGAAGGGAGGCTGCACACAGCTGGGGTCGGTCTCTTCCTCCAGGAGCACTGGCAGAACCAGAGGACACAGTCTCAGCTGTGTCAGGGAAGGGATAGGTTGGATATTAGGAAAAAATTTTCACCAAAAGAATAATAAAGCACTGGAATGCTCTTCCCAGGGAGGTGGTGGAATCACCATCTCTGGGTGTGTTTAAAAAAAGCTGGACATGGCACTTGGTGCTATGGTCTGGCTGAGGTGTGAGGGCTTGGGATGGACTCGATGATCTCAGAGGTCTCTTCCAACCTCATTATCCTGTGATTCTGAGCCTGGAGAGGGAAGAGCTCATCCCTGTGGTGCCCTGGAGTGTATACCTGGAACAGAGGCTGGGCAGAGTTAAAAGGATAAAGTGTGTATTTACTAAAGGCCTTCCACAGATACACCTTGGGCGCACAAAGCCTCACAGAGGCTGCACCCAGGATGAACCATGGTCACCAGTTTTTTATACAGATATCAGTTTGGTCTATTTGCATATCGGGGTTAATCCTCCAATTACAGCTTCAGGTAATGAAGTCACATTCTCCCAGTTTGCTCCCCACAATTCACTTTTGTTTATGCTTTTCAGGGCCTGTGGTGTGTCCTTGGACCTCGGGCCCAGAGGGATTGCTCTGTCTGACCAAAATGTGAAGGCAGTTAACTACATTTTATATGGAATTTAGAGCTATGCACTAATGCACTACAGGACTTGAAAAACGTAAGAGCTAAAATCTTAAGGCATCACCTGCATGTCCTGGTGATGCACAGATCTCCTCCCTGCTGTGCCTGCAGTGCTGTGTCCCTGGGAAGAGGTTGGCTTGGGTGGTGTCAGCAGTGCCACGTGGCTCAGCCATCAGGGTGTAGTGGAGACCTTTCATCTCTCCCGTGGCTCTCAGAGGCTCTGTCTGTTTTATGGGTCCTTTAGAAGTTGTTACAACATCACTTATGAAGAATAAACATTTATTTCTAGGTTTGACACCGAAAAGCCTTATCAACTGCTGGATGCAAAGCACATGGAGATTAAACAGATGGAGACAGCCATGACCTCGATTTATGAATCAGCTGGTCTGTTTGAAGTCATGGTGCCAGAGTATAAACAGCTGAAGCAGTGCAGGAAGGAGCTGTGTCTGCTCAAAGAGCTCTGGGACATGATCTCCCTGGTGAACACCAGCCTCGATGACTGGCAGACCACCAGGTGGGTGGATATTAATGTGGAGAAGATGGATCTGGAGTGCAAGAAGTTTGCAAGGGAGATTCGGAATTTGGACAAGGAAATGAGGGCGTGGGATGCTTTCAGCGGGCTGGACAGCAAGGTGAAGAACATGCTGACAGCCCTCAAGGCTGTGGCAGAACTTCAAAATCCTGCCATCAGGGAGAGGCACTGGAACCAGCTGATGCAGGTGACGGGCGTGAGGTTTGCGATGGACTCGGACACCACCCTGGCTGACCTCCTCAAGCTCAACCTGCACGAATTTGAGGGGGAGGTCCATGGCATTGTGGACAAAGCAGTGCGAGAAATGAGCATGGAGAAGGTGCTGAAGGAGCTGAGGATGACTTGGAGCTCCAGGGAGTTTCAGTACGAGCCTCACCCCCGCACCCACACCCCCTTGCTGAAGTCGGATGAGGAGCTCATTGAAACTCTAGAAGACAACCAGGTGCAGCTGCAGAATTTAATGTCATCCAAGTACATTGCCTTCTTCCTGGAGGAGGTGTCTGCCTGGCAGAGGAAGCTCTCCACTGCTGACTCGGTCATCTCCCTCTGGTTCGAGGTGCAGCGCACGTGGTCCCACCTGGAGGGCATTTTCATAGGCTCAGAGGACATCCGGGCACAGCTGCCCCAGGTACCAGCCCCCAGATCCCAAATTCCTGTTTGGGAAGTGTTGAAGAAGAGGCTCCATTATTAAATGGGGTTATCTATAGTGCCAAATTCAGCCAAATTCCCCAAAGCAGGGCTGTTCTCCTGCTGCCTCGCTCCTCTGGAGGCTTCCTCAGTGCTCTGGTTGTTCTCTCAGGATGTTTTTGTACCCCAGGCTGTGCTGAGGGGCTGATCCTCTCCCTTGTAGCACTGCATGGCAAACACAGAGTTCCTGGGTGCTGAGTGGGAGCTGCTGCCTTCCTTCAGTGCTGCAGGTGTGTTCCCTCTTCCTTCAGAAGGGAGAGGACTGAGATCATTGCTCAGACACTGCAAATCATCAAACAGAGCTGGCCCAGGCAGCTTTGGCCACTTTCCCTCCCTGTCCTTCCACTCTGGTGCTGGGGGAGAGCAGCTCTTCTCCTGCTCCTGCTCTGGGGAGCTCCTCAGGTGCCTCCAGCCCAGCTCCCAGTGTTATTCCAGGCTCACAGCCGTGCTGAGGAGGAACATGCCTCTCACTGGTGAGGGAGGAGCTTTCCCCTCACCCCAAAGACAGCTCTCAGAGGATGGGATCTCTCAGCACACCAAGAGAGCGTTGCTGTGACCTTTGTGTCCCCTTTGTAGGACTCCAAACGTTTTGAAGGCATTGATGTGGATTTTAAAGAACTGGCGTATGAAGTTCAGAAAACCCCAAATGTGGTTGAAGCCACCAATAAACCAGGTCTGTCCCAAAAGCTGGAGGACATCCAGAGTAGGTATGTAGAGCACCAGCCCCAGGGTTTTGTCAGAGGCTGGAATCAGCCATGAGAAGTTGGTTGAACCTGTGCTCTGAGGCTCTGCTTCCTCTGCAGTCACAAATCCCCAGCTTTTCTGACCTTTCTCAAATGTTTGTATCTGTGACACCTCACCCTGGCAGAGTGGGCAGGCCCTGGCACAGGTGCCCAGAGCAGCTGTGGCTGCCCCTGGATCCCTGGCAGTGCCCAAGGCCAGGCTGGACAGGGCTTGGAGCAGCCTGGGACAGGCTGGGCTTTGAGGCTCCTTCCAACCCAAACCCTTCTGTGATTTTGTGATCAAAAAAAGCAGAGTTGAGCCCACTTAATTTACAAAATTATGTCTGTGTACCCTTGACATGGGGCATAACACAGAGACAGACCTGAGTGTCCTGGGATGGAGACACTTCTCACTTAGCACATGAAACTGCCTGAAAACCACTTCAAAGTCCATGCTAAGCTGTTGTGTCAGTAGCAGCTCTCCATTTCAAATAAGGATTTGATTTTATTTTCAATCGAACAAGGCCAATGTTCCTCACAGAGAATGTTATTTAGGAACTTTGTAAGCTCAGCAGCAGTTTAGCATGTGAACACTGCAAGATTCATTTTAGATCGGAGCAAACAACTTTCCTTTCATGCTTTGCAAACACAAAAAGCTGAGTTGGTTGGAATCAGACTTTAAAATGTGCCTCATTAGAATAAAAGCAGTTCTGGAAATGTTCATCCCAGTGGATGCCACCACCTGTGGCAGCTACGAGCTCGTCTAAAGCAGTGGGTCAGACTGCAAACCTTTCCAACCTCTTCTTCCACTCGTGCTTCTGCTTTTTCATGCGGCTGCCCTGACTCTTGGGTGTTTGACCCCTGCAGTAGAGAGTGAGCTGAGTTCCCTTGTGCTTTGTGGATCTATTCAGGGCTGTGGGAAGGAGCAGCCTGCAGGCTCAGCTCAGCCTGGCATTTCCCCATGGTGGGGAGAACCTGCCTGAAAAGGGCAGCACGAAGCATGGCAGGGTATTTACCCGCTGGGCTCTGCTCTGTCTCCCCAGGCTGTGTCTCTGTGAGAAGGCTTTGGCTGAATATTTGGACATGAAAAGGTTGGCTTTTCCCAGATTTTACTTCATTTCTTCTGCAGATTTACTGGATATTCTTTCCAACGGCACCAACCCCCATCTGGTAAGGCTTGTGCTGCAGCACCTTTGCATTTTCAGGAGTGTCACAGTGGAAGTGTTGTCCTGGGACTCTCCTCAGAGTCCTTTCTGGAGTGATTTTGTCCCATCCTACATGGATTAACAACTCTTTCAGAGCTGATCTCCACCTGCCATCACTGACAGGCAGCCCTGCCCTTGGTGTTGTCAGATCTAGCCCTGGGGATGCTCGTGGCAGGTTCATAGAGCACCTCCGTGGGTTTTGTGCCATAAAAACAATGCCTTTGCTCCTGCTGGGATACAGTGAGAGAAATGACCTCCGTGAGGATCTCATCCAAAACTTGTTGCTGACCTTGGATCCCAGCCTGGGATGCCACCAAACAAAGAGCCCCAGGCTGGGCATTGCAGTGTGGGAGGGCTGGTGGCTTGTAGAGGGCTGATTTTTTAGGCAGAAGAAGCAATTTCCTCTTCCTTTCCCCTGCAAAGCCTTTGGGATGTCCTGATGGCAGGGCAGGGAGGAGCAGAGCCTGCAGGAGGTGAGCAGCCAGGTCAGGCAGTGGCTGTGGCCAGGTGGTGTCTGACCCTGCACTGGGCTTGTGGGATGGGGTCTGAATGCCAGGTGTGGGGAATCCCCCCAAGCACACCATTCCTCCTCCCAAATCCTACCAAAACACCATTCCTCTTCCCAAATCCTTCAAACACACCCATCCTCCTCCCAAATCCCCCCAAACACACCATCCCTCCTCCTGGCTGAGCAGGATTGCTGCATCATCCCGAGGAGGAGCTGGCAGTGACCCTCCTGTTGTAAGAAATGGCTTCCCAGTCCCCTTCCCCCCATTCCCAGGGATCAGAACCCTCTGTCCCCCATGGGCAGAGCTCAGAGGATTCAGTCCTGCAGGGCCTTTTCCACGTGGAGCTGCTGCCAGGGAACTCAGCTCCTGAGCCTGGCACTGCCGTGCCCTGCCCAGCCTGGTTTGGGAGGCATCACTAATCCTGAGGTTGGTGTGTGAAACAAATCAACAGCAAATGGAGCCTGTTGGGTAAGGAATCAGTTCCTTATTCCACCTTTTACTAGTGAGCAACCTCAGCCTCCTTAAGCTTTTCCTCCTTTTCAGCGTTTGTGTCAGGATGTGAATGGGGCAGGCTTGGAAATGCTCTTGTTGCCACTAACCTTTAACTCTGCTTGGATCTGTTTGCTGCTGCTGGGTGATTTCAGCCCACAGAGTGTCATAAACACACAGCTGATTGATGCTTAAAATGGAGAGAGAGAAAGGGAACACAGGAAGCAGAGAAAAGCTGCTGTGCTGAAATGCTCCACGGAGTAAGGAGAAATTCCTGGCGCTTTCTGTTATTCAAAACTATTTGCAGTAAAATCAAAGTAAATGTCAGGCAGGATCACACACAGATACGCTCTCAGCCTTTCCACTGTCGTTTCAAAGCCTGATAATTCCTAAAGGAGGATTAAATAGACAATGATATTATCCACTTGAACTGGGTATTGAGCTGGTGCAGATTCAGGTGCATTTTGGGCTCTGGTGGCAGAATTGTGTCGACTGCTGGAGCACAGCCAAGACCCTGCACAGTGGCCAGGGGGGGTTGCTGAGCCTGCCCACTTGCAGGGGAAAAACAGGATTCCATGGTTTGTGTAAGATTTGAAAGGATGTGTGCTTGTCCTGGTGGGGAAGCTGGGTGCCCATTGCTTCTCCATCCACTTGGCATCTCCTGGGATTTGGCCAGCCAAGAAACTGATTTGACCACCTGTGGGACAGCTCCTGAGGAGGGGTTGGAATCCTCTGTGGGGCAGGGAGTGAGAGCTGGGCAAACAAGCCATAGGATGGATTATAGGACAGCCTGGGCTGCAGGGAACCCACCAGGATCATCAAATCCAGCTCCTGAGAAGGACAGCAGGAGGCTCCTGTTGGCAGCATCCTGGCCACGAGTGACAAGATGTGGTGCTGCCAAGATGTCCAGGAGCAGGACTGTGGCTGTCACACCTCTGCTGCTCTCTGCCCTGCCTCTCCTGCTCCTGTCCCCCTCACTTCATTTACACAATCCCTTTGGCAGGTGCAGCGTCACCTTCCCAAACTCTTTGACAACTTGGCCAGGCTGAAATTCCAGGTGGACTCTGAGCAGAAGACAACCAAGGTTGGCCTGGGAATGTACAGCAGAGAGGAGGAATATGTCCAGTTCAGTGACCCCTGTGACTGCAGTGGGCAGGTGAGAGGGGCCTTAGTGTGGCATGGGATGACATATCTAGAAGAAATATATTAGAAAGAAAAATACATGATGTTTACATCTGAAATTTAGTGAGGGGGAAGAAAACATACTAAAGGTAATGTAACTAGATTTATTTTTTTCTGCTGAGATGCTGGTAAATTTAAGAAATTAATCCAAATATTTATAGTAATATTTTTTTAGCATTCCTATAAAACAGTTATTTAAATCAGCACTGGAATGTGTTTTAAAGCTGATTAAGACTAAAATATGAAGAACAGATAGCTGTCTGTAGCCATGAGCTGTGTGACAGAATTGGCTAGCCACGAATAAAAGCAAAAAATTATCATCCAAGAGTTCTAACTAAGTGGGCTCTGAGCAGAAGACAACCAAGGCTGGCCTGGGAATGTTCAGCAGAGAGGAGGAAATGTCCAGCTCAGTGACCCCTGTGACTGCAGCGGGCAGGTGAGAGGGCAGACCCTGTCTGTCCAAGCTGCCTGGTGGAACCTGCTCCCACCCTCTTGGGTGGGCATCCCTGGCCAAGGTCTTGTAGAGTTCCACTGCAGTGCTTCCATGGGAAAAGCTGGAAGAGCTGGTGTGGAACTTAATCCTTGCTTACACCACAGCTCTGGATGGGTCCTCACAGTGTGAGGAAGGGCTGTGGCCTGTTCTTCACTGGGCTTTTTAATTTTAATTCCTGAAAGATGTTTTGAAGGTTGCTCTTACCCTCCCAGTTGGGAGGGGATGCAGTCTGAAAACAGATTAAATTATTCCATAGTACTTCTGCATGGATACCTTTGGAAAGAAAAGGGTTTTTCCCCTGCTTTCCAAATCTTATTTCATAGGACGTGTTGAAGTACAAAATTTAAGAATCAAATTACTGCTCAGCTTTTCTGTCCCTGTAGCTGCATTTTCTCCATGGACTGTAAAAGGAAGCTAAAGTAGGTAATACCAGCTCTGAGCTCCCCGGTGATGGCACTTGGCATTTAAACTCTCCTCTCAGTGAGGACTTTGCCTGTGAAACACTAAATTCAGCAGGAATTGTGTTCCCAGCATGTGAGAATTCTCATCAAGAATTGTGTTCTTGCTGCTGGCAGATTGTGCTCCAGTCCCACAGGTGACTCTGCCGTGGCCCGGAGCTGGAACACGCTGAGCTCAATTGCTCCTCAGTGGAGCTCAGTGTGGTTCTCCTCTAGCTGGGAGGGTTTTTTTGGTGGAAAAACCTCTCTGGGAAGAGATGCTGATCCTGCAGAAGCAGAAATGGCTGAGTCCCCCCGTCTGGAGGAGGCTTGAGGCTTGTTTCGTCTGCCTGTCCCCCTCATTGCTGAGGCACAGCAGGCGTGCTCTGGGATCATCCCTGGTGGCCCAGGGGTGAGAAGCAGGAATGTTCCTGGCATTTAACCCTTTCTGCAGGTGGAGGTGTGGCTGGGTCGCCTGCTGGACACCATGAGGGCCACGGTGAGGGATGGCATGGGCATGGCTGTGGCAGCCTACGAGGACAAGCCCAGGGACCAGTGGCTCTTTGACCACCCTGCCCAGGTACTGCCCCTGCCCTGCTTCCCCAGGGGAACGGGCTGTGCATGGGAATGGCTCTGGCTGTGCTGTCCAGGGGACACAGGAAGGGTGTGATGCCTTAAGGAGCTGGAACAGAGGCTAGAGGGAGTTAAGAGGAATAAAGTGGATTTTTATTGAAGTGCCTTCAAAGGCCACACCCTGGCAGTGCCTGAGCCACAGTCGTGGCTCTGCCCAGATGGCTCCAAGATGGAAGCAAAAGAAGGCTTGGTCGTGAGATCTCACATTTTGATAAGTCTTAGTCCATTTGCACATAGGAGTTAACTGTCCAATTAACAGCTTCCAATTATGAAGTTTCATCCTCCTTGCTTGCTTGCCCGCCCTCCTCTTTTTGCATTGTTTGTGCTTTTGGCCTGAAGTTTGAAGATCGTCTTTGAGTCTCCAGCTAGAATGGAATTGTTTTGTCTCTACCACCCTGTGAAAAGATCCTAGTAACACTTAATATAAAGCTAAAGCTGCACACCAAAGAACAGAAAAACTTAAAACCTAAGGTATCGGGTGAGAACTCCTTTCTCCTGGCCATCTTGTGATGGATTCCCAGGCTGAGCTCCGTGCTCTGACCAGAGCTCCAGGCAGGATGCAGCTCAGGGACTTGGGCAGTGGCTGCTGCACCCCAGGGGTCTCAGGAAGCTCCTACCCCCAGTGGGGTGAGGGGACAAATTGATGGGGCTTGATGAGAGGAAGGAGGCCCTTGGGTGCCCCTCTGGCAGCCTCCCATGTGTCCAGACATGAGAAAGGGGCTCATTTACTGATGAGCAGCTGCTAATTGTGTCTGTCCCTGATGGGAATGTCAGTGGACGTAAAATGGATCCCCGCTCTCCTTCCTGCTGTGATAATATAATTATAACAAAACTTCATTTTACGTCAGGGATGCCTCATCCCTGACCTCCCCATGGGCCAGACCCTCTCAGAGGTGAGGAAACCCCTATGTTGCCCTGCTGTTGAGCCAGTCTGTTTCCCCAGGTGGCTCTTTGCTGCACCCAGATCTGGTGGACAGCTGAGGTGGGCATGGCCTTCTCCAGGATGAAGGAAGGCTACGAGAAGGCCATGAAGGAGTACCACAAGAAGCAGGTGGCCCAGCTGAACACGCTGGTGACCATGCTGCTGGGGCAGCTCTCCAGGGGCGACAGGCAGAAGATCATGACCATCTGCACCATCGACGTGCACGCGCGGGACGTGGTGGCCAAGATGATAGCACAGAAGGTTGGTGTTCCCAGCTCAGTGTGAGCCAGGCTGGGCACTGAAGGGGAGATCATGGAGGGACAGACCAGGGACGGGCACTGGGAGCACTGCCTGGCTCAGCAGGGCCATAAGAAAAAGCATTTGGGATTTTCTTCTCTGGAGATTCCTTGCTGTGGTGTGAGCCCAGAGGGAATCCCTTGGGATTTGTCCACCACTCCCACTCCACTGCCCTGTCATCACATACTCCCAGAGTGGTTTGTGTTGGAAGAGACCTTAAAGCTGTTCTCATTCCAACCGCCTGCCATGGGCAGGGACACCTTCTGCCATCCCAGGCTGTTCCAAGCCCTGTCCAACCTGGCCTTTGGCTCTGGTACCTTCTGGACCACAGCTGGGCTCCCCTGGGAGTGCTGGCAGGAGTGGGGGCAGGAGCTGGGTGTTCCTCTGCTCCAGGGGTTTTCCAGATGCCTTCTGTCCCATCTGGGGTGCCAGAATTGATGCCTAGAGAGGCTGATCTGGAGCAGAGACTAGACAGAGCTAAAATAATAATAAATAATGAATAAATAATAAATAATAAAGTAGGGATTTATTTAAAGGTCTTTAAAGGATGCACCTTAGGCAGTGCAAGAGCCCAGCCATGGCTACACCCAAGATGGATCCCAGTCATGAGGTTGCACACTTTTATAAGTTTTGGTCCATTTCCATATTGGGGTTAATTGTCCATTTCCATATTGGGGTCCAGTTGTCCAATTCCATATTCCAGCTCCAGGAATGGAACGAAATATTCCATATTACATTTCCATATTGGGGTCCAATTGTCCAATTCCATATTCCAGGAATATGAAGTCCCTCCAGGGCTCCATGGACCCTCCAGGTCATGAAGTCCCATCCTCCTTCAGTTTGCTCTCTTCAGTTCCCCATTGTTTATGCATTTTGGGCCTGAAGCTTGTGTCGATTGTCCTTGGTCCCAAGCTGGAAAAATATTCTTTTGTCAACCTACCCTGTAAAGAGAACCTACTAACTCTTAACACAAAGCTCAGAGCTACACACCTAGGCAGCACAGAACCTGAAAAGTACAAAAGCTGAACGTGAAGGCATCACCCCTGCCCTCCCTGGTGGCACTCTGCAGGTGGACAATGGCCAGGCCTTCGTGTGGCTGGCGCAGCTGCGGCACCGCTGGTCGGACGAGGAGCGGCACTGCTGGGCCAACATCTGTGATGCTCAGTTCCTCTACTGCTACGAGTACCTGGGCAACACCCCCCGGCTCGTCATCACGCCCCTGACCGACAGGTGAGGCCCTGGTGATGCCTGGTGGGACCACCTGAGGGGGTGGTTAGTGCCCACCAGGGTTTCAGCTCGGCTGTGCTCGCACAGAGCTGTGCCTAAGGAGGCACGGGGCCCTGCAGAGTGCACTGCAGTGGCCTGTGGCACCCACGTTAGGGAAATTAATCCACAAACATCAGGGGTTTGTGTGCAAAAAGGAGAAAGAGGAGTCCTTTTGCTTTATTTGGGTAAAGAGAGAGGCCATGGGGCATTCCCCTGGGGTGTCTCAAGTTTTTGGAGGATGCAGCCTCCTTTTTACCCCAATTTCCCAGCTGCATTTCTCTTCTCTCTTCCCCATTTCTGAAGTACTTGGGAGGTACAGACTTCACAATATGCCTGATACCAGAGATTTCCCTCTAATGTATAACCCTCCCATTTAATTTTTAATTCTTACAGAATTTAGGGGTTTTCCCCATTGTTTCTTTCATCTTTCAATGTCCAATTTAATTTATCAGCAACCCTGCAGCTTATTTGTAAAAGCAAATATCTTTCTCCATTCACCAATCAGCGGAACCCTTCCCATCATTTATTTTATCTCTCACTGCCGGGTTTATCTACCCGCAGCTTGTTTGGAAAGGCAAATCTGCCGTTCCTCTCACCCAGCTCAGTCTCTCTCCCCTTTCCCCTCGCCCCGTGCAGGTGCTACATCACCCTGACCCAGTCCCTGCACCTGACCATGAGCGGGGCCCCCGCGGGCCCTGCAGGCACCGGCAAGACGGAGACCACCAAGGACCTGGGCCGAGCCCTGGGCATCATGGTCTACGTGTTCAACTGCTCCGAGCAGATGGACTACAAGGTGCTGCTTCCCCCAAACCCGGGCTGCTCAGGGCCCCTGGAGCCTGCAGGGTGGGAGTGATCCAGCTGGGCTTGCTCTGATCCATCCCCTCTCCTCACATCCCTGCTGCCTCCCCTTCCTGCTGAGCAGCTTTTTCTCCTTCTCCTTTTCGTCTCTGAGGCTTGCACGAGGTTCTTGAGGAGGGGGAGAGCTGAGCTGTGCTCTCTGCCCTGATCCACCTTTCCCTTTTTTCTGGAGTTAGGTTCCACGTTAAATTCTTCACAAATTCTGGCCTGCCCAGTGGAGAGCGAGGCTGTGCTGATGCATTCCCTCTCTCCAGACCCACAGGATACCTGTCCCAGGCACGGGGTCAGAGCTCTCCTGGTTCCTCAGGATCCTCTGCTGGGATAAGGCCAGCACTGGTCATGGGGCTGATCCCTGTGCTCTCCAGGGGCACTGGGTTTGGTGGCCTTGGACCATATTTTATCCAGCTGAGGTCTCTCATGGACGTGGGGCCATCAGTAACTCAGCCCAGGTGACCTTTGGATGGAACCAGAGTGCAGAGATGTTAGAGAGGGCAATTAGCAAATCAAGTGGCAAACTGTGCAGAGCTATAAATATTATAATTGAGTTGTGCCTGCTGCTCCCGTGCACTTTCTAAATACCCACAATAGGACTGTAAATTGCTATAAATAAACAGGCAGGGAAATTAAATCCATTTTTTGCTGGAGTAGATTCTGTTTGTGATTTCACTCTTGTAATTTTATTTTTCTTTTTTTTTTCTTTTCAGTCTTGTGGGAATATTTACAAAGGCCTTTCCCAGACAGGAGCCTGGGGCTGTTTTGATGAATTTAACAGGATCTCAGTTGAGGTCCTTTCTGTGGTTGCTGTACAGGTAAGTGGAGAAAAGCTTGTGGATAAATACAAGCCAGCCTTCCTTCCCTCCCTCCCACAGGGCCAGAACAGAAGGATTTGAGTCTTGGGGAACTTCAGTGCTGAAAACTGAGTTGCTAAAATATCAAAGCTCTTCTGGTTCCCAATGTCAGCTGTGAGTGCAGGTTTTGGGATCCCAGTGTTTGACTGAGGTGCTGAATTCTTCCTAAACCCACTTTGGGGCTTGGCATTGCAGAAATTAAGGTGTAGAGCCCAGAAGTTTCTACACTTTTGTAAATGTCGTGGTCAAAGGAATTGTTCTGAACCCCTTCACAAACTCCTCGCTCTCATATCTCTTTCTCTCATCTTTATACCTCCTCTGATGTCCCAAAAAATTCCCAGGCAGCTACAGGTGTTTGTGTGTCGTTCCCTCTCCATTTCCCTTCCATCAGGTTCTAGCTTAAAGTTGTCATTGAAAAACGTCTTTGAGGAACTTAAAATAAAAGGGGGAGCTGAACAAAAGAAGCCCAGATATGACTCAGCTGCTAATGATTCCATGGCTCCTGGCTGGAGCGTGGTGTCTGAGCGAGCAGGGCTGTCACTCCATCATCGCCTCTGCTGCTATTAGAGGGTAACCATGGTGATGGTTAATTGGCTGCCTTAGTCATGCAGCTCCTGTCGATGTGGGTCCTTACACTGAGAAACTCCCTTAATTGCTTTGCTTTAAGGTGGCAAACGGGTGAGTTTAGGGCAGAGATTCCTCCCTGGTGAAGTGGTGTTATCAGGAGGTGAGCTGGCTGCAAGGGGCTGCTCCCTTGGGAAGCGGAGAAGGAGGGTCTGGCTGGAACGGACTCGGAATGGGAGGTGGGCAGTGAGGTGACCTGGCTGTGTTGGCTGTTTAGGAAAACGTTTTTTTTACAGAAAAAATGATAAAGTTCTGGAATGGCTGCCCGGGGAGGTGGTGCAGTCACCATCCCTGGGTGTGTTTAACAAAGCCTGGATGTGGCACTGGGTGCCAGGGTTTAGTTGAGCTGTTGGGGCTGGGTTGGACTCGATGATCTTGAAGATCTCTTCCAACGCAGTGATTTTGTAAATTCTGTGACTCGCTCCATGGGAATGGAAGGTGGGCAGTGAGGTGCTCTGGCTGTAGTAGACCTCTTTGGAAAGTGGGGGATGAGAAGAATAAAGCTGCAATCAGACAAGTAGAAAACACCAACCAATTGTCCTATGAAGCTAAACTAACTCTTGGAACTCTTTTCAGTTTGACTGTCCAGTCTCTTCAGCCCTTTTCTGTTTTGTCAGAGCTGGATTGTGAGGGGAGACACACAGATTTACCCCAAACAGTGTAGAAAGATTTATATGGTCAGTAAAGGCCAGACCAGAGCAGTGACAATCCCTGGTCATCATGGGCCAAGGGCAGGGAGGGCAGCAGTGCTGTCTGGGGTGTTTCATAGCTGAACCACCAGCACTGAGCACTGCCTTGGTTCCCAGGTGAAGAGTGTGCAGGATGCCATCCGGGAGAAGAAGAAATCCTTCAATTTTCTTGGAGAAGACATTAACTTAGTGCCCTCAGTTGGGATTTTCATCACCATGAACCCCGGTTACGCAGGACGAACCGAGCTACCTGAGAATTTGAAAGCTCTCTTCAGGTGAGTCAAGGTCAGGTTTTGTGACCTGTGTGATAAAACTGGCAGAAATTGTCTTTTGGAACATCCAGGCTTCATTTTGTTGGGGATTCACAGATGGTTTCAGCCTTGTGCACCAAGCCTGGATCAGGGATAGCAAGGGATCTTTGTCCGGTGCCATGGGAAAGGCAGTGTGGGCAGACTGGGAGAGACTCACTGGAGAGGACTTGGAAGATAAAGCTACAAATCCACTGCCCTCGAGCTCTGTAGTCAATGTTTGCTCTGCAATCCTCCCCTGCCTGTCTCCCTAGGCCCTGTGCCATGGTGGTGCCAGACTTTGAGCTGATCTGTGAGATTATGTTGGTGGCCGAGGGCTTCCTCCAGGCCCGGGCCTTGGCCAGGAAGTTCATCACACTCTACCAGCTCTGCAAGGAGCTCCTGTCCAAGCAGGTGAGCCCTCTGCTGTGCTCTGGATCCCCAAAACCAGGGATGTGACACTCTGCTCTGGATCCCCAAAACCAAGGATGTGACACTGCTGTAGATCCCCCAAAATGAGGGATGTGAGACATTGCTCTAGATCCCGCAAAATGAGGGATGTGACACTCTGGTCAGTATCCCCCAAAATTAGGGATGTGACACTGCTCTGGATCCCCAAAATCAGGGATGTGACATTCTGCTCTGGATCCCCAAAACCAGGGATGTGGCACTCTGCCCTGGATCCCCAAAATCAGGGATGTGACACTGCCATGCACCTCCAGGGCTGAAGCTTCACAGCTTTTAGTAACTGACTGCCTTTGTGGCAGCTGCTGGGACGAGGAAGGGGTTGTGATCACCAAAGCAATGACATTTTCAAATTGCTCTCCTGGAGGATCTGCAAGAGCAGAAGCATTTGACAACTGCATTAGTGAGAGAGATTTTTCAAAAGCCTCAAATGCCACCATGACTGGGGCAGTATTCAGTGACTCTTTGCTTTTCCTCTTAGCTCCTATTGATTCTTCAGCCTGCAAGGGGTTCATGATGACTGTTCCTCTCTTAGTCCAAATAAATACTTCTCTTTCATGTCAAGTGTTGACCATGTAAGGTCACCTCCAGTGCAAAACTCTTGTTAATCAGATTTTAACTTGGCATTGTCTGCATAGATCCAAACTGGGGTGAGTTGAATCAGGAGTCCAGATGGAAAACCTGATCTTGGCTGTGCCAGCCTGAGCTGGGGTGGGTTTCTGCCTCGTCACAGAAACTTTGTGCTGTGCAGCTGGAGGCCCTGTGGGAGCTTTGGCCTCCCACACAAAGCAGTCAAGCTGTTGGGCTGTGCTCTGCAGGGTCTCAATGGAGCACAAATAGAAGGACTTGATTGTTGGCTTGGGAGTTCCTCTCATGCCTCTTTAGCATTCCTTTCCAGCAGTGTCCTTCCTGCCCCTGCTTGCTGGACTGTCCCCAGGACCAAATGTCCCTGGTAACCTGGTGATGGAGAAATGTGGGTGTCTGAGGCCTCAGAATGGACTAACAAGCCTTCCACCTCAGTAGCTCCTGCAGATCCAGGGCTTTGGCAGGCCTTGCTTAACCTGCACCAAGGCCAAGGTTTTAGGGTTTAGGAGAAAGAATTGCTTAGGTCTCCAGAGTTCAAGTCCTACTGTTGACTTAGTGCCAGCTCTGAGCCCATGTGAAGGCAGGGACAGCTGAATTCCTTGACTCCTTAGTGCTCTCCCTGGTGGGAAGCTCACCTTGTGAAATGTAGACCAGGTGACTCAGGCTGGTGGAGGTCTCAGACCATGACACAAATGACGAATTTGGCTGCATTTCCACTGCTGACTGCTCTGGCAGCTGGGACTGCTGGTTTTTACCCCTGCCTAGGCATAAGCTCAGCCCTGTTTTTATGTCTCTCTTCCCCCTCACGCAGGACCACTACGACTGGGGTCTGCGGGCCATCAAGTCGGTGCTGGTGGTGGCCGGCTCCCTGAAGCGCGCGGACCCCGAGCGGCCCGAGGAGCAGGTCCTGATGCGCTCCCTCCGCGACTTTAACATCCCCAAGATCATGACAGATGACGTGCCAGTGTTCATGGGGCTGATTGGGGACCTGTTCCCTGCGCTGGATGTGCCTCGGAAGCGCGACCTGGATTTCGAGGCCGTGGTGAAGGAGGCTGTGCTGGAGCTGCGGCTGCAGCCTGAGGACAACTTTGTGCTCAAAGTAAGGCCAAGGGGTATTCTGCTCTACCCACACCATCATCAGCTCAGCGGGGTTTTTTCAAGCATCTTTGCTTCTTCAAAGAGGGCTCTGCACAATCACAGAATCGTAGAATGGTTTGGGTTGGAAGGGGCCTTAAAGCTCAGCTTGTTCCACCCTCTGCCATGGGCAGGGACACTTTGCACTATCCCAGGGTGCTCCCAAGCCCTGTCCACCTCGTCTTGGGCACTTCCAGGGATGGGGCAGCCACGATATTCCCTTTGCAGACAGACCTTGATGGAGGACAGTCAGCTGTGCTGGGTCTGACTTCTCCTAAATCCAGCTCTGCCTCTTCCCTGGATTTCCAGAGACTGGCTCTTGTGCACGTGCAGCCCCCAGAGTGCAGAGCCTCTTTGGCTGGTGGCTGTCACCTGTGAGCAGTGCTGGAGGTTTGTCTGCCTGCTCAGGATTTCATTGTCATGGTTTGATTGGTCAGACCAAACTGGGAGTCAAATCCCTCTGTGTGTCTGGGTCACAAATTTCTATACGAGGGCCCCAATGAGAGCTAATTTCACAGAATGCTTTGGGTTGGAAGGGACCTTAAAGGACATCTCATTCCACCCCTAAACCACGGACAGGGACTCTCTCCCCTAGAATTTGCACATGTGAGCTTCACTTTGGCGTGTCTGTCAGCTCTGGGGGTGTTTCCCCAGGTGGTGCAGCTGGAGGAGCTGCTCAGTGTCCGGCACTCCGTGTTCGTGGTGGGGGCTGCAGGCACAGGCAAGTCTCAGGTGCTGAGGTCCCTGCACAAAACCTACCAGAGAATGAGGCGCAGGCCTGTGTGGACAGACCTCAACCCCAAAGCAGTCACCAACGACGAGCTCTTCGGCATCATCAACCCAGCAACGAGAGAGTGGAGAGATGGTAAATGTCTTTTTGTGGCTGAATTTGGAGAGAAAAAGGGTATTTTTAATGAAGCTCCTGAGCGGATGATGGGTCTCTGCGTGCAGGTTTCACCGTCCAGGTGCTGCTCCCAGCCCTGTGGGGGTTTGCTGTTGGAAGGACATGTAGGGTGGCACAGCTTTTTGGGAATTTATCTTTTTGCCATAAGGAAAATCATCATGTTCATTAACACCAGTACTTTCCAATTCCTAACTGGGCAGGTTGTTTTTTGGGGCTGGGCTGCTGATGGAAGAGAATTCCCTCCTGCCCTGTGCTGTGCACTAGGGTCCCCCAAAAAATATCCCCCAAAATCCTGCCATTTCCAGGTTTCTGTGGCTGGACACTCCCAGCAGCCTTTGAGAGGTGTTTTTCCTCTGAATATCCCTGCCTGATCTCCAGCACACGACGTTTGCCAGGCTGTTGATCCTGATTGCTCCTGAGGAGGATGAGATGAGCATTTAAGACCTGCTGAAAGATAACAGAGATGCAGAGTGAAAACGTTGGGTTGTGACTAATCCAGGAAGGCAGCTTTGATTCCCTGTGTGGCTGTTCTGGGAGCTGAGGGGGAGGTGAGGGACAACAGCTCCATAAATCATCCTTGGCCAGGGAGAGTCCTCCAGGAGAGGAGCTGCCACCACCTCCCCTGCCCCCTGCCACCACCCCTCCTGCCCCCTGCTCCGCTCCACTGCCAGGGTTAATTTCTTTTTAATTGTGATTAGGGACCCTAAATCAAAGAGCCAGAGGGAAGTGTGGGATGTAGCCAGCCCTCTGCAGAGGGAGCTGCACGATGGGGATTGTGGATCAGGGGCTGTGGGTGGCACTGGACAGCAGGACAGACACTGGCAGGTGGCTGGCCAGCGTTCTCAATCCTCTAATGTTTCAAGAGAACTTACAGGGCTCCTCTCTGATGGCTCAAGACAGATATTTTCTGCATTAACCATTCCTGAAAATGTTGTTTCTTGATGCCGAAGAGCAGCCAGGCCATTTTCAGCACGGCCTGACAGGAGAGGACGTGTCCCCTTATGGATCAGCTCCTCCTTTTCCTCTTCCCGAGTTCATCCTGTCACTCATTTCACTGCCAGCAGCTGGGAAGTTTGCACATCTTAGGTGGAAAAAGGCCCCACAAGGGAATCCTAAAAGTGTTATTTGTAGAACCAAACTCTCCTTTCAAATCCCAAATCCCCTCTGTGGTGTGGATGCCCGAGGTTGGGAGAGGAGCGCTTCCCTCCAGCAGCTGCTGTGGTTGTGATGCTCCCAGGCAGGAGCTGCTGCTGGCAGTGCTGGAGAGGCTGCCAGGCTGTGTCCAGCGTGAGGAATGGAGTCCAGGCAGAGCCAGGGAGGTGTTATTTATCCCTGACCCTCTCTCATGGCTGTGTGGCGGAGCTGCTCTGCACAAGCTTTGTTCTGGTCGTGCGGTGCCACCGGCGGCTCCTGACCCGCATCACGAGGGAATAGCTGGTCCTGGAGAAACAAAAAGCATGCCTGTCACAATTCACTGGAAAAGAGGTTGTTTCTAATGCTTGCCTGATGTTCCTTCATGCAGACCAGCCTTTCCCTAGGTATTTCCTCGTGTGGAGGAGAGTGATGGTTTTGTGGAGCTCTCATTTGCCCTGCAGTACTTCTGCTCTGTTCCCAGCTTCTCTCTCTTCTTAGCATTCATTATTTACTCCCCTTGAGACTCTGCATATTCTCTGTCTCCTTGATTTTACTGACATTTTGTACTGTCACTCAATGTCATTCTGGGCTTGTTCTCCTCTCATTCTCACTAAAGCCATGACCCAGTGTTTAAAGCATCTTGATTTTCCTGATATACTTCAAGCCACAGAAGAAAGAAAAAAAAAAGAAAAAAGAATTTTCAAGGCATATTCAGATGGTTTTCTCTGCATTGTGTAGTTTGTGGAGCTTTTTCCTCTGAGTATCTGCTCTTCATTTTTCCTGTATGTTATGGTTTTCAGTGGGAATGAAGCTCATGTAGGCCCACCATCATTCTCAGTGATAATAACTCTGATAATATTTTTTTTCTTCAAAGGAGATATCATTATACAGTATTATTTATGTCCAGATGCAAAGAGTTATGAATGCATAAGGGGAAAGCATAATTTTTTAGGAAGTTTGCTGGAAAAATCTGTTAGAGCAGGTGACAACTTCAATGTTCATCAACATATTCATGTCACCCTCCCAGGACTGTTTTCATCAATCATGAGAGAGCTGGCCAACATCTCACATGATGGTCCCAAGTGGATGGTACTAGATGGAGATATTGATCCAATGTGGATTGAATCTCTGAACACTGTGATGGATGATAATAAGGTAATGGATGTCAGCTAAAGAAGCAGGTATTCCTTGTCAGGGGTGATTCAGCCTGGGAGAAATGCGGATTGTAATAACATCTCCTGGAATAATGCAGCTGTGCTTCTTCAGACACACCAAACAATATTGCATAAAGGCAATGGTGCATGAGGGAAATAACTTAGAGCTTGTTTTCATTGGAATTTCCCTTTTCTGGAGAGGCGTGCATGTGAATAATTGCAAATGTCCTGATCATAACTTCAGGCCCTTTAGAAGTAGGGGAGGTTCATAATTCTGTGTCTTTCCCCCACCCTGAGGGAGTGCTTTGGATTCTGGGTTGTGGAAGAGAGAAGGAGCATTCTGTGCCTGTCAGAAATCGTGTCCTGGCATCACAGAATGGTTTGGGCTGGAAGGGATCTTAAAGTTCACCCCATCCCAGTCCCTGCCATGGGCAGGGACACCTTTCATTATCCCAGGCTGCTCTAAACCCTGTCCCTTGGGCACTGCCAGGGATCCAGGGGCAGCCACAGCTGCTTTGGACACCCTGTGCCAGGGCCTGCCCACCCTCACAGGGAACAATTCCTAATTCCCAATATCCCATCCATCCCTGCCCTCTGGCAGTGGGAAGCCATTCCCTGTGTCCTGTCCCTCCAGGCCCTTGTCCAAAGTCTGTCTCCTGTCTCTTGGAGCCCCTTCAGGTACCAAAAGGCCACAGTAAGGTCACCCCAGATCCTTCTTCATGCTGAACACCCCCAGTTTTCTCAGCCTGTCTGAGAACTAACAGAGCTTTTCCATCCCTCTGCCCATCCTGGTGCCTTCTCTGGGCTCTCTCCAGCAGCTCCAGCTCCTTCCAGTGCTGGGGCAGCTCTGCAGGAGGGCTCTGACCAGGATGGGGCAGAGGGGCAGAATCCCCCCTTGTCCTGCTGGGGCTGCAGCCCTTTGCTGCTGTGCCTCAAGGAGCTGGGCTGGGCAGCCAAGCCCAGCAGTGCCAAGTGCTAAACACTCTCCATTCCTGTTCCTGGCAGAGCTTCAGGCTGTCTGTCTGCCTGTCTGTCTGCACATGCAGGTGCTGACCCTGGCCAGCAACGAGAGGATCCCCCTGAAGCCCACGATGAGGCTGCTGTTTGAGATCAGCCACCTGCGCACGGCCACCCCGGCCACCGTGTCCCGGGCAGGTGAGTCCTGCTGGGCTGCTCCTGGGGCTGCTTCCAGCCTTTTGTTGGCCAGTCTTAAGCTGTGCCAAGGGAAATTTAAAAAAAAAGGATATTACCAGCCTTTTTTCATAGAAAGGGTGATCAAGTATTGGAATGGTTTGCCCAGAGAGGTGGTGCAGTCACCATCCCTGGGTGTGTTTAACAAAGCCTGGATGTGGCACTGGGTGCCAGGGTTGAGTTGAGCTGTTGGGGCTGGGTTGGACTCGATGATCTTGAAGGTCTCTTCCAACCCAGTGATTCTGTGATTCTTTGCAAGCTGCCAGGCTGGGAGCACAGCTGCCTGTGGTGTGCAGGGAGTGTTCCTGAAGCTCACAGATGCACTGAGGATCCCAAGCCCAGCCCCACCTGGGGTCTCTCATCATCTTGGGGGTGTACTCAGAGTGTTCCTGCTGCTGCAGTGGGGCCATGGCTGCAGCACTGCTGAGGGAACTCTCCTGCACAGCTCTGTGTGTGCCTGATGAGGAGAGAGCAGCCTTTATCCTAAAGAGTTTTTGGAGCAGGGCATGGGAACAGAGAATGAAGGTTTCCCTTCTGTCTGGTGCCCAGAGCAATAACATGGCTCAGGAAACACCACGTTCCAAATTTGGGGCAGGATCATGAGAGTTTCCTGAGTTACATCTCTTCACTGTGAATATTTCTCCTCTTCAGTGGGGCATGTAATGCGGGACCAGGTGCATTTGACAGGGTTTCAGTTGTTTCAGAGAGTAGCTGAAATTTCCTGGTGGAAAAAGGGAGAGCCTCTGCTGTGTCCTTACTCTTGTCTCTTCTCCTGCACCTGAAGGGATCCTGTACATCAACCCCTCAGACCTGGGCTGGAATGCCCCTGTCAGCAGCTGGATTGACCGGCGGGAGGTGCAGTCCGAGAGGGCCAACCTGACCATTCTGTTTGACAAGTACCTGCCCGTTTGCCTGGACACCCTGAGAGCCAGGTACCACTGCAGGGGGTCACTCACACGGTCCAGACCAGCTCCAGGGCTGGCCAGTGTCCTCCTTGTCCCCAAGAGCCCTGAGTGTCATTGGCTTCAGCTCCAGGAAGCCGTGGGTGAGGGGGCAGCTGGCACTCCATCCTTGCTTGGTGTGGTCTGGTTCTCCTTGGATATTGATTTGATGGTTCCTGTGCTGGTATCAGTTCTGTATCTCTTGGAAATGAAATCCAGGAGATCCTAAAGGGAAAATCCAGTCTCCTGATGTGTCAGGCCAGACCTGAGTTCACTTCACAAGTTTTGGGTCAGTGGAGCAGATTTCAGCCTGCTGCTGAAAGAAAGTGTGGAAGATGCAGAGCAGATCCTCTTTTATCCTCTCCCCACATCTTTTCTACTCCTTTGGGGGTGAGGAGGAAGCTGCTGTTTGTGTGAGAGGGTGGGATTGCTCCAGAGGCAGTCCTCTCTTGGATTTCTTTCCTGAAGCATTTGAGCACAGCTGAGTCCCTCTGTGTGAGCTCCCAGTCTGGCTGTGTTCCATGGCCGGACACTGACCACTGAATGTGAGAAACAGCACAAAGAGTGATGGCTTTAAACCAAAAAAGGACAAATTTAGGTTGGGTATTAGGAAGAAATTCCTGGCTGTGAGGGTGGGCAGGCCCTGGCACAGGGGGAGGTGTCCCTGCCATGGCAGGAGGTTGGAATAGATGACTTTTAAAAGAAGAAAAGTCAGTGAACAACTGAACCTGGGCACCATCAGCCCCAGTGAGGAGGTGTCAGGAGGAGCTGCTGGAGTGCAAGTCTTGCTCCTTGGGACTGGGAGTTGGGAATCTTGCTGGGGAGCTGCTCTCTGGGTGCCCAAACTTTAAAGCTGTTGGCAGCAAAGCCCATCAAGCATCTCCAGCTCTCTCTGCTGAGCAGTTGTCAGCCCATGAAATCCCCAGGATTAGCTGCACCAGCCCCGAGCTGAGTATTTTGGTAGCTTGCTTAATTCAGAAATTGTAGAACCAACCTTTCAAATAGCTCTAATTACTTTATGGAGGACTTCAGTGCTGCTACAATATTAGTTTGGAATTCTGTAAGTGCAGCTTAAACGAATGTAAAATGGCAAGATGAAAGGTTTTATTTTATTACTCCTCTATTTGACCGCTTTTGAACTCCTGGCACTCCCAGGAAATCATCGCCTTCAGCAACTCCTCCATTTTACTTCTTTCAAGAGGATCAAAGTTTTTAAATGCCTGAAACTTCTGATTACTGTTATTATGTGCGTGTGTGCCAGTGCCAGTGGGGCTAGGAAGAGGATGGCTGTTCTCTTCTTCCTGCTGACAAGGAAAATGCTGATATTCTGGCAAAGCATCCCTGCCTTGCTTTCCTGGGCTGGGAGCACCCTGGTGCTTCACCCAATTCTGTTTTCCATTTCCAACCCTCAGATTTAAGAAGATTATTCCCATTCCTGAGCAGAGCATGGTTCAGATGCTGTGTTACCTCCTGGAATGCCTCCTGACAGAGGACAACACACCTCCTGACTGTCCCAAGGAGCTTTATGAACTTTACTTTGTCTTTGCTGCTGTCTGGGCCTTTGGTGGCTCCATGTTCCAGGACCAGGTAAGAAGGGATGAGAAGATCAGCATCTTTCAACAGACCTTTTATTGCCTTTTTTTTCCCCTGCTTTTTTCTACTTTCCCAGACCTAAAGCTGTGTCAATGCTGCTGTTTGACCAACAATCCCTTTCATGAAAAGCCTCATTATCCAGGGGGGAGCACTGGAGAATGGCCAAGCCCAGCGTGGTGCTCCCTTGGTGCCATCACCTCCAGGCCGTGCAGAGCCAGACCAGCTTTTGTGGTCCTTGTGGAGGATTTAACCCTCCATTCCCTGTGTGCCAGCTGGGAAAACCACAGCCCAGCTTCTGTCAGTGCAGGGTGGCTTTTAATCCAAGCCTGGGGGGCACGGCTTAATTCAGAAATTGGCTCTTGCCCAGCAGCTGAGGAACTTCAGCCCCTCACTGTGGCTGGTGGCACTTGGACGTGGCATTGCCGTGCCACAGCAGCTAGCCCTGGCGTGGCAGGGCCTTGGCACAGCTGGGTGTGTGGCAGGAGGAGCTGGGAGCAGGCTCAGCATCCCGCTGGGAGGATTCTGGTCGTCGCTGCTCTGTAAATGTCAGGGAGGAGAGCGTGAGCACACGGCGTCCGAGCGAGGGGGAGCCTGATGAAAAACGATCCAATATAAAAGCTGTTTATTGCTCCCTGCTGAAGGTGCCCTTCCTGGTGACCTTTTGCTGCTGAAATGTCAGGAGAAACACGCTGGAAGGCTTCCCACTGCTCAGGGTTTGTTGGTGGGGAGCGAGGCCCCTCTATAAAAACAGATGATAGATTTGCCATTTCCAGGCCCTCAAATTAGCAGAAATCCACACGGGGTTTTTGTTAAGGAAGCAGTTTGAGCTCGGCACCATTCTGGCAATAAAGCTGGGGCTGGGACTGCTCCACTTAAGGGCTCAGCCCCTCCCAGCGCTGCGAGCAGGGCGAGGCACCACTGTGAGAAAGCTTTTAGCAGCGCTGCACATCCCTTCTCTGCTGCCAGGCTGAGGAGCAGTGACAGCAGGAGAAAGGAGATTACAGTCATTCTGCCTCTCTGGGCAGCACGAGACTGCAAAATCTTGGATGCTAATAATGTGTTTTTCAGATCATCTGGTCTTTTGATGCGTGGTGGCTCGGGGAGGTTTGCAGAGGACAGTCAGTTCAAAGCCAGGTTTCCTGAGGGTGGCTGAGCAGTCCCTGGTCCCACCTGCTCCCAAAAACCCGTGTGGTGGCTGTGGGGAGGAGAGACCTAATGGAGATGCCCCAGGATCAAACTGTGCTGCTAAAACTGGCTCAGTGATGCATGTGCTCTCTCCCAGACATCTTTTTAGCAGCACTTTCCCCCTCCTTCCCCCCTGTTTCTCCCCAGGGCTGAGGGCTGCAATCCCTGTGCTCTGCATGGGAAGGGTTCAGACAGTGGCTGGCCCAGTTTCACAGAGGAGAACTGAGGCAGGGAAGGGGACTAAGCACATTTTGCAAATCCTGACTCAGTGTCTAAAGCAAAAACTGTCACCCCAGCTCCCAAAGAAAAAAAAAAAGTTCAGATACTTGAAAATCTTCACGCATGGAGGGGAAGGGGACTAAGCACATTTTGCAAATCCTGACTCAGTGTCTAAAGCAAAAACTGTCACCCCAGCTCCCAAAGAAAAAAAAAGTTCAGATGCTTGAAAATCTTCACGCATGGAGGGATAGAAGGGGGGAAAGCAGGAAAGCAGGAGCTTGCTGGGCTCTGTGGCAGCAGCCCCTCTCCCATTCTTTGCTGAACTGGGGTCTGCTGCTCCTGCTTGAAAATAGGCCAGAAAACAACAGCTAAGTGTTTGCAGGGTGGTGTGATTTATGAGGAAGAGATTTGGTATGCATGCTCTGACTGTCCATGGCCACGGATGGAGATGGATGTGGTGTCCTTGTCTGTTGGAAGAAGTAGGCACCAAAAATCAATCAAGTGTCTGTTTAGTCATAGGCACGTATTTCTCTTTTTCAAATTGATCCATCTGTCTAATCTCAGACATTCTAGGAGTGATCAACACAGAGGATGAATTATTTAGGGGAATAAATAGGAGTGATGAGAAAAATTAAGAAAATGAAAAATTAGACTTAATAATAGGAAAAAAGATAAGATTGTTATGCTGTGGAATATATTTTTAAGGACTAATCCCACTCTGCTGGACTGGGATAAATAGCATTCTCCATTTCTAATGAATTTCTCTGGATTTGTCTAATTTCTCCTCTCTTCATCTGGCAGCTCGTGGACTACAGAGTGGAGTTCAGCAAGTGGTGGGTGGCAGAATTCAAGACAATCAAGTTCCCTTCCCAGGGCACAGTCTTTGACTTTTACGTTGATCCAGAAACAAAGAAGTTTGAGCCTTGGTCTAAACTTATTCCCCAGTTTGAATTTGATCCAGAGGTGCCCCTGCAGGTAGGTGACCCCAGCAGCTTGCTGGGCTGGAGGAGTCCCTGTGTTTTAGTGACTGAACGTGGGTGTTTCAAAAGGCCAGGCACTGATGGAATTCTTCATTGGATACAACTAAATCACCCATCTTTTTGCTGTGCTTTGGCTGTAACAGCACAACCTCCATCCATCTTGCAAACACGAGTGATGTACAGCAGGGGCAGGGCTGCTGTGCCCAGGGTGCAGAGAGAAGCGGTGACACAGAGCAGGGACAAAGCCTCTGAGGCACCACGACTTGTTGTCACTCTCGTGGCTGTAAACAGAGATGGGCTTATGTTTGGGCCAAGAAAAGAGTCCCTCAGGTAGCGAAATGTGCTTGCCAGTTGCACACCTCTGGTTTTTTTCAGAAGTGCCACAGTGAGCAGATGACTTGTAAAAATATCGCTGCTTTAGCAAGGCGGGATTTTGTGCGGGGATCCAGGGTTCACATGAAAAGATAGATTTTAATGGCTGGCGGCAGCACATCACCCCTTCCCTAAAAGGCTCAGTGGCTTCCAGGGCAGGGGGCACTGAGGTGGGTGCTGTGCCCCCAGGCCTGCCTGGTGCCCACGGCGCAGACGGTGCGGCTGCGGTTCCTGGTGGCCAGGCTGCTGCAGCGCCGGCGCCCCGTGCTGCTGGTGGGCACTGCTGGCACGGGCAAGTCTGTGCTGCTGGGGGACACGCTCTGCTCGCTGGACACCGACGTCTTCCTGGTGAAGAAGGTGCCCTTTAACTACTACACCACCTCTGCCATGCTGCAAGGTAAGCTCTTAAAGCGTGCTGGGGCCTTTACAGAATCACAGAATAATGAGGTTGGAAGAGACCTCTGAGATCATCGAGTCCACCCCCCGCCCTCACACCTCAACCAGACCATAGCACCAAGTGCCATGTCCAGCCTTTTTTAAACACATCCAGAGATGGTGATTCCACCACCTCCCTGGGAAGAGCATTCCAGTGCTTTATTATTCTTTTGGTGAAAAATTTTTTAGGTTTAGGTTGGACATCAGGAGGAATTTCTGCATTGAAAGGATGGTTGGATATTGGAATGGGCTGCTCAGGGAGGTGGTGGAGTCACCATCCCTGGAGGTGTTTGACAAAGCCTGGATGTGGCACTCAGTGCCATGGTTTAGTTGACAGGGTGGTGTTGGGTCACAGATTGGACTTGATGATCACAAAGGTCTTTTTCCAGCTGGGTTAATTTTGTGGTTCTGTGTGATTCTGTGTCATTCTGTGATTCTGTCATTCTGTGCCATTCTGTGATTCTGTGTCACTCTGTGATTCTGTGTCATTCTGTGACATTCAGTGACATTCTGTGTTTCTGTGTGATTCTGTGACATTCCTGGGGCATCCATTGTGGTTTGGAGCTGGATGTGCACTGAGAAGCTCAAGGAAAGACCCGTGGGTGAGTTGCCCATGTTGTTGTGGGCCCACTCACAACCCCACGGTGAAACTCTCTTTTCAGCAGAGCCCTGCTCTTGTGGAGATGTTTTCCAACCTGAGGATTTGCCTTCTTAACCCCACCACTCTGGTTCAGGGCTGTGCCAAAGCCCAGGCTTCAATCTGCTGCACTTTCCATGGCTTCTATTGACTTGAAGTGTTTCTAACATGCTGGAATTGAAGAATAAGACGGTTTTTTTGGAGATGTCATTCTGTGCCATTCTGTGATTCTGTGTCACTCTGTGATTCTGTGTCATTCTGTGACACTCAGTGACATTCTGTGTTTCTGTGTCATTCTGTGACATTCCTGAGGCATCCATTGTGGTTTGGAGCTGGATGTGCACTGAGAAGCTCAAGGAAAGACCCGTGGGTGAGTTGCCCTTGTTGTTGTGGGCCCACTCACAGCCCCACGGTGAAACTCTCTTTTCAGCAGAGCCCTGCTTTTGTGGAGATGATGTTTTCCAACCTGAGGATTTGCCTTCTTAACCCCACCACTCTGGTTCAGGGCTGTGCCAAAGCCCAGGCTTCAATCTGCTGCACTTTCCATGGCTTCTGTTGACTTGAAGTGTTTCTAACATGCTGGAATTGAAGAATAAGACGGTTTTTTTGGAGAGGATCCAAACTGTCCTCGGGGTGCAATGATGGGAACTGCGTCCCAATTAGAAGTGAGGATGGTGGCAATGGCCAGGGCTGCATGCTGGGGCTGTGCTCCTACCCTGCCACAGCCCAGCGTGTCCCCTGGAGCAGGTGCCACCCCCTCCCCAGGGGCACAGAGCTGCTGACCTGGGGGGCTCAGACCCCCAAGGAATTTCTTGCCCCAGGGAAGCCCTTCAAGGAAAAAAAAATGGGTTAAACCTCCCTTTCTGGCCAGTCTCACAGCCATGGGCAGCGTGATGGTTGCAACCTCCTTTTTCCTTTTCCTGCTGGAGTGAGGAGTGCCCTGGCTTGGGAGGGGGCTGCGCTGGGGACCCTGGTGTTCCCCACCTGCCCAGGTGAGTGTGTGCAGCTGTGGGGCAGGTACAGGCTGTCCCTGTTGCTCTGAGCTGAGCCCTCCCCTTCCTTCCTCTGCAGAGCCCAGCACATCTTCATCACAGGAAATGTGATTTATGCTGCCTGGCATCCTTCCCCACTGCTCATTTTTTAGTTAATTTGTCCCTTTTTGTGGAGTTTGTCAGTTGGCTGCTTCTTTTTCTTCCCCAGCAGGTGCCTCTTTAGATTTGTAAAATGTGAATCCAATGCAGTTTGGGGTTTTAGTTTTTATTTACTTTGCAAAGAGCCAACCTGAAAGCCAGGAATTTTTTACTCCAGGTGCTTGTTGGGACAGAGATTTTTAAGGTGCAGAGCTGCACTCTCGAGGGGAAGCACAGGGATGTGGTTCAAACAATCTTTGTGGACCTGTAGCTTACAGATTTTCATGTGCATGGGGGTTAAAAGGAGCCAGACTCTCTCTGTGCCCAAACCTGGGCACAGTTTTGGGGATTTTCTTTGGTGTATTGTGACCAAATCCCACTGCCTGTGGAGCCTGGAGCTCTGGTGTGCTGCTCCATGCCCTCTTGGACCTCTGCTCCTCCATCAGCTCCATCCCTGCCCTCATTGCCCACCTTCCCCCTCCAGATCTGTAGAAAATGACAATAAATGTTTTTTTGGGGTTGGGTACTCTTCCCCCCATGGCCATCAGGGTGAGAGGAGGCACACTTGCCATGTCTGGTGTGCAGTGAGTGTTTGAGGGGCTGATGGGGATATGTCAGGAGCCCAGAGCAGGGACCCTGCAGGATTACTGTGGGATAAGCTTTGAATTAAAATGCAACTTCCACAAACATGTCACTTCATCCCCAGTAATTGCATTTCACTATGATGAATCTCCTGCATCCTTGTTTAACCTCGAAAAGGGCTGATTTTATGTGTTAATTAAGGCCTAATTAAATTTAAATTAAATGCTTATTTGAAACACTTAATTTGACTTGCTACCAGAAATTTCAAATATTGTGGTTTTATTGAAGGGGTAGAGAGGCTCCACTGAGGAAAAATCTATCATTTTTCTAAGCACAATTCATGGCTTTGTGCAGAAGTGTCTGTGACAAGAAAACAGCTGAATTCTTAGTGGGTAACCAGGCTGTCTGCAGGGCACCCAAGCAGGAAACAAATTGGGTTTTAAAAGATTCATGGTTTGAAAAAATAACCCCAGAATATAAATTTTCCCTAATAACTTTTGCCCTTGATAAGGGATGGCTGAAGTGTGCATTTGCATGAAATTTTTATCAAAACTTCCAGTTGTCCCTAATTACAAAGGATTGCTCCTTGCCTTGCTGCTGCTTACAGGACTGGTGATAACCCCAAACTCTGTCAGTGAAATAAATTCTGCCTCCATCTCCAGGAGAGCTGGGAGCACCTGGGAGTGAAGATGGGCTCCAGGATGGGCAGAAAATTCACCCCAGGGCCCAGAAAAGCTGCTGCTGTTTGCTTTGCCCCTTCCTGAGGCAGGAAAGGTTGCACTGAAAGAAATCAATAACCTATAAAACATTTTGTGCAGCAGCGTGGGGTGATCTGCATTAAATATCACTCCAGCACTGTAAATATTCCCAATATGCTACAGTCTGGAGCAGCACATAACCTCAGCCTTCTCCTAGAACAAATGGGAATTTTCCAGAGCTTCCAAATGAGTTTTCTCCCCATGCTCTTCCTTCCTAAAAAGCCACAAAGGTGGCAGGTGGAGCTGGGAGGGCTGGGGCTCCCTGCAGCAGGCTGAGCACTCATCCCCGTCCCTCCTGCCCCTCCAGGTGTGCTGGAGAAGCCTCTGGACAAAAAGGCTGGCAGGAGTTACGGCCCCCCAGGCACCAAGAGGCTGGTGTACTTCATGGATGACCTGAACATGCCCCAGGTGGACGCCTACGGGACCGTGCAGCCCCACACCCTGCTCAGGCAGCACCTGGACTACGGACACTGGTACGAGCTGCTGGGCCTTTGCTCTGGGGTGGCACATCTAAACTGGCACATCTAAACTGGCACTGCTAAAAGCAAGCAAAGCAAAAAAGCAGAAGTGTAATGTTAGATTGGAGCATGTATTTCCCTTAAGCTTGATGAATCGTGTTCCCTGGGCTGTTGGGGTCCGTTCCAGCTAGCTACGGACACTTGCTCACACCATAAAAATAGACTAAGGTAAAAGATTGAGAAGTGCTCTTCTCCACGTGGGAATGTTCTCCTTTATTCCAAGAGACACACCAGGAGGATGAACCCATGGGAGAAAGAGGGTGTTCCCTGGTGGCAGGGGACATTTATACCTAGGGATGGGGACAGAGGGAGAGGTCCACAGGCAATGGGACACCAGTGAGGGGAGGGGTAACCCAGGAGGGACCACCAGGGGGTACTGGGGTGGGTGAGGGAAAGATCATGAGATGGGGGAAAGGGATAACAAGCCATGTGGCATAAGCTATTCAGTGCAATACAGAACTACTCTCTGCAAATTCCCACTCACGCAGTGCAAGAGAACAACTAAAACTGGTGCACCACAACATAAGCTGTCACCTAACAAAAAGTTCTATAACACTACTGATTGCCACACTTATAAAACCCAAAGTTCTCAGTCTTTTGTGGGTGAAACACAAGATGTCAGGTGCAAGGATGGGCTGAGAACTTTTTGTCCAGTCTGGTGTTGGGAATGGGGTTTGAGATGAATGCAGAGCCCTCTTCCCATCCCGTGGTGGAGCTGGCTGGGAGGCTGTGGGTGAGGAGAGCACTGTGCACCCTGGGCTGTCCCATGTCACCAGCAAACACTCCCTGAGCATGGAGGGAGGCCATGGACTGCCCCTGCTGCGAGATCCTGGTGCTGTTTTCAGCCAGGCAGCAGCAAACAGTTGTTTTCCAGGCAGAGGTAATCTCTAGGAAAACCAGCAGCAGTGCTTTGGAAGGAGAGTGGAGTGCTTTACACTGCAGCCAGCAGGACAGGGATACTCACAGCTCTCCCACGGGAAAAACAAGGCAGAGACACAGAGACATTCCCAGTCTGCTCAGCTGTGTGTGCCCAGACTTGAACAAAATCTTCCCAACCACAGAAGCACAGTGGGGTGGGAGCAGAAATTCAGGGCTGTGGGTGTTGGGGAGGTTGGGCAAAAAGGGGGTGTGTGGGGTGTGTGGGAGCCATGCCACATTTTGGGGACACCATGTGCCAGCTGTCCCCTCCCAGGTGGGTCCAGGCTCCCTGCCCTGCTCTCAGCAGCAGCTCTGGTGCACCCTTGGTGCTGCTGCTGAGCCCGGGGTGCTGAGGAGGGACAGGGGCACAGCTCTGCTCCCTTGGGCTGCTCTGGTTGCACATCCTTCCCTGCAGCCTGCCTGCCCTGGCCCTGACCAGAGTCCCTCCCGTGGTTTCCCACAATTTCCATGCTGGGGCTGAGCCCAGAGCTTTGCTCAGCACTCGTTACCAGCTGGTGGAAACGCCAGCTCCAGGATCTCCCCCAGCAGCTGGGCCATGTGGAGAGGGGCAGAATGTCACCCCCCTGAAGCCACGAGGGTCCTGGCAGCCCACAGTCCCACTCAGGGGTGTGTGCTCACCGCGTGTGGCGTTTGCTGTGCCCCAAGGTACGACAGGAGCAGGCTGTGCCTGAAGGAGATCAGCAATGTGCAGTACGTGTCCTGCATGAACCCCACTGCCGGGAGCTTCACCATCAACCCCCGGCTCCAGGTAACGCCCTGCTCCAGGCTCTGATTTTTGGGTGGCTTGTTCAGTGTAGGAATGTGCCCCCTCTTGATGGAGTGACAAAACTATCCTTTGTCCCCTTAAAAAGGAAAGAAGCCCAGGAGTTTCCTTGATTAGGTGAAAAGACATCCCATGGGACCTGGGGGACTTCACCTCACACTTAAGGATAGCCAATTGGACAGCAGCTAAAAAGTCCTGCCTGCGCAATTTACTAGAAAAAGAAGAGAACAAAGGAAATAATCACTTTTGTGGGGTGTTTGACCAGGAGCAAGAACCTCTTGCACCTGGCTTGGTTTTTTCTCTGTTTGTTATTTTGCCTTTTATTAAACCTTTTTGTTTCCAGCACTGCAGCAGAAGTCATCCTGCTGATTTTATGCCTCCAATAGTACCTGAGCTATCTTGGGTGTGTGTTATAGACCTCCGAGAGCTTATGAGACCTGGCTCAAGGAGGCTCCTGTAACAGTTCAGGCCCAAGGCTCCAGGAGAACCCGTGGCAGATCCTGCTGTCGTTCAGTCAGTGGAAACAGCATGAAGTGACTAATTCCTGATGGAATTTCTCCTTTCTTTGTGTTTCCTCATTTTTTACTGCTCAGTGGGAGGAAGAAGTCACAAGTTCCCCAGCAGCTGGACACCCACTCTCAGGAAAACTTCTGGTTCAGACAGGCAGATTTTGCCCTCCTCTAGCTGATTCTGCTGGACCAGAGTTCTTGAAAGTCTTTTGGTGGCCAGGCATTGGAACTTGCAGCCCAGGGAGGTGGTGGAGTCACCAGCTCTGGATGTGCTCAAAAATGAGTAGATGTGGCACTGCACAGTATGCTCTGGGATTTGTTCAAAGGTTGGACTTGATCTCAGAGGTTTTTTCTAACCTTAATCATTCTACGTTCTCTTCCTCTGCAAGCTCCTCATCAACAAAGTGTCTCCTGGGAGGGGCTGCTCCTACCACAGACAGGCCTGGGCTTCCCCAGGGCTCTGTGGGGCCTTCAGACCTCTCAGCTCTTCAGTGGACTGAGCTTCCCTTGTGAAACACCACTGAAAATCCCTTGTCCAGCCAGCAGAAGGTGTCTCCTGCCAGCTGTCCTCTGCTGGGAATATGGAGGGGGGACATAGTTCCAGTGGGCTTCAAGGCATGGGATCATAGAGCATGCCAGGTTGGAAGGAACCTCCAAAGATCATCTGGGCCAACCTTTCCTGGGAGGTGGAGCCCAGATGAGATTGTTCAGTGCTGTGTCCAGCCACAGAAAGGGCACTGACCTGCGAGGTGGTTTCCGTCTCTGACCTTCCCACCTCTCACTTTCTCTTCCTCAGCGTCACTTCTGTGTCTTCGCTCTCTCCAACCCTGAGCAGGACTCTTTGTCCAGGATCTACAGCACCATCTTAGAGCAGCACCTGGCCAGTGGGAACTTCTCAGAGGCTGTGCAAAAATCAGCCCAGCAGCTCATTGCCCTGGCCCTGGGGCTCCATCAGAAGGTGGCTGCCACGTTCCTGCCAACAGCTGTCAAGTTCCACTACGTTTTCAACCTCAGAGACTTCTCCAATATCTTCCAAGTAAGTGCAGCTCCTGTCCTGTGCCATTTGGAGTTTGTGCCTGTGTCACAGGCAGCTGAGGTCCCTCTGGCCCTTGGTGAGCCAAACACAGTGTGCCACTCAGCAGTGACACAGCATGGGTGTTCCCTGAGCTCAGGGGTGACCTGGGGCCATTCCCTGACCCCTGACTGGTTTTGGGTGGATTCCAGAGCCATCACCCATGACTATTTACTTTCCAGCCTCCTCTGGCCAATGGGGAGGGATGCACAGCTCCAGAGGGAGGTGTAGATTTTGAGGGGTTTGAAGTGTCCTCTGGCTGGAAAAAGGACAAACAGGAGAGAGCTTTGGGCTCCTGACCCCAGCCCTTTGAGCAGTGGCTGTTGTCAGGGTGCTGGAGCTGGGCTTGTCTCGGTGATCCCCACCCCACTGGTGTGGGTGGGGGTCCGTGGCACCACCCCACCACACAGGGAAGCTTTTCCTGCTTGGGACAGGAGCTGGATGCTCTGTGGGTGCTGGCCCTGAGGAGAGGACAGCAGTGGCTGGTTCAGCTGCTCTGCCAGAGCCAGGGCAGCTTGGTGGCTGTACCAGCACGTCCTCTCAGGTGCTCAGCATTGAGCATGCAGGATGGCAGTTAAAGAGTGATAAATCAATCCAAACCAGCTTTGATTTTACCACTGAAACTGAATCACCAGCCACTGCACCAAAGTGAAGTTGTTCAGCTCCAGAAATGTTGTCTTCCATCCTTGGTGAGATTTTGTTTTTCTGTTTTCCCCAGCAGTCTCGTGCTTTGGAGCAGCTGGTGTTACTGCTCAAAGAGCCTTTCAGATTTTCAGGCTGATTAATAAAATTTGATAAATTCCTGAGCAGCCACACCGAGGGTCAGCACCGTAGCCTGTTCTAAACCCCCAGCTGGTCATTTGTCACTGTCCTTGTTAACACCTGCTTCACAAAGTGGGGACGTGGAAGTTCAGAGCCTTGTGCCTGCCATCAGACAGGAGCTGAGGCAGAGACAGACAGAGAAATCTGGGACCAGGACCTGAACAAGTGACTAACTCCACTGTGGCAGGAAGGAGTCAGGGCTGTCACTGTGCTCAGCTGAGCATCAGCAGCTCAGGATGTGAGATGTGGGTCTTGGTAAATCCTGCCTTCCAGTTCATCTGGGTTTTGGGAGGTGCAGGGAGAGAACAATTCACCTTTTCAGTGGGAGGCTTTAATTTGATCTGCTGAATGTGCCAGGGTTGGGGGTAACAGAAAACATCCTGCCAGCTCCCAGCTCTGGGCCAGAGGGTGACAGGAATGCTCCTCATTCTCCTTTCAAGGGATTCCCCATCCTCTTCTTTTCTTTGTTTCTTTTAAATGTTGGCTCCACCTCCATCCCAGATGCAGTGACCCACAGCCACGTGTCCCTCTTGCTTTTGGGGTGTGGGGGTCTTTAGATTCAGTCCCTTCAGAGGGATTGAGCGATTTTTAATTCTATTTTAATCAGTTTGGGATCTGATGTGTTTTTCCTTCCTCTCTGAGTTGTCAGCTTTTCTCACCATTTTTTTTTTTTCTGGAATAAATAAAATAATTTGACAGCTGTAATGACAGATGTGAAATCCAAACAATCTGAGCCGTGGACCAGTGAGCAGAGAGGGCCTGCTTTACATTGCTTTCAATGCATTTAATATTTAATGTATAAATAATTAGATGTTAGGAATAAAAGCTGTCTGTTTAATTCATACCATTGAAAACCCTGTGTGCTGTTAATAGGCTTAGTATAGGCGACACCTCTTTGAAATATAATTCTTTTATGCATTTTAATAGAGTTCATGGTAAACATACTGTGCTAAGCAGACAGCAACTGATATTTCCTGCAGGCAGAATGCACCTAATTAGAATTAATTGATTAAAAGAAAAAATAGCCACCAGTAACATTTCCAAACCTTTTTTTCCTTCTTGACAAAGCACCCGTGGCATGGGGCTGGGATGGCAGAACCACGTGTCTGGGCTGGTGCCTGGCTCTGCAGGGCCCCAGATGCTGAGAGCAGGACCCCAGCCCAGCCCGGGGAGGCTGGATGGGGGATTCAAATGGGTGCAATCAGTGTAAACCTTCAAAAGAATGTGGGAAACCTTCCCAGGGCTGTGGGCAGCAGGTTGAGGAGATGATTCCACCCCTCTGTGCTGCTTTGTCAGACCTCACCTGAAGCACTTGTCCAGCTCGGGGGTCCCAGCACCAGGGGACCTCCCAGGAAGGACCTGGAGGTGCTGGAGGGAGCCCAGAGGGACACCAGGATGATCAGAGGGATGGGGCAGCTCTGCTGGCAGGAAAGGCTGGGAGAATTGGGGTTGTTCAGCCTGAGGAGTGCTCTGAAGTGAACTGACTGTGGCCTGAAGGGGCTCTGAGAGAGCTGGAAAGGAGCTTGGGACAAGGGATGGAGGGACAGGACACAGGGAATGGCTTCCCACTGACAAAGAGTAGGTTTAGATGGGATCCTGGGAAGGAATTCTTGGCTGTAAAGGGTGGTGAAGCCCTGGCACAGGGTACCAGAGCAGCTGCTCCAAGGCCAGGCTGGACATTGGGGCTGGGAGCAGCCTGGGACAATGGGAGGTGTCCCTGCCATGGCAGGGGTGGATTGGGATGATCCTTAAGGTCCCTTCCAACTCAAACCCCTCTGGGCTGAGAAGCAGCTTTGGGAGTTTTGGATTCACAAAGGACACGTTCCCTGGGTGTTTGGGGTGGGGTTGCCCAGGTGCAGGTGGCTGGGAGGGGACTCAGCCTGGTGGGTGCTGGGGTGGATTCCCTCCAGCCAAGCCTGGCTTTCCTGGCTCTCCTTGCTCCCCACAGGGCCTGCTGTTCTCTACCCCCGAATGTCTGAAGCAGCCCCAAGACCTGGTGAAGCTCTACCTGCACGAGTCAAACCGGGTGTACCGGGACAGGATGGTTGAGGAGGTGGATTGGGACACTTTTGATAAAATCCAGCGGGAGATGGTGAAGAAATGCTACGACGTAAGTGTGGAGGTCTGATGAGGTCTGATTCTGATGAGAATGGAACAGAATGGGTTTATTGAAAGGGAAATCAGTTCTGGGGATTTTCCTTTCCCTCTCTTTCACCTCTGTGCTTGTTTCCCCTTTTCTAACACACAGGTGCAACCATGTGGACATAAAAGGCTGGAACACCACAATTCCCTTGGAAGGCGGCTCAGAGCTGCAGTGGGTTTTCCTGCATTTGTTCTCTATTTTCTTCTCTTTTACAGGATATTGAGGACACTTTAGAGCAGGCCAAACACATGAATATTTATTGCCATTTTGCCAAAGGCCTCGGGGAGCCTGGCTATAGGCCAGTTCCGAGCTGGGAGGAGCTGAACCAGATCCTCGTGGAAGCCTTGGAGAGCTACAACGAAGTCAATGCTGCCATGGACCTGGTACTGTTTGAGGATGCCATGAGCCACGTGTAAGGGCTTTTCTGCCTTTATTCTCCCATCATTTGTCCGTGCAGGTGGTTTTTTGGGATTTCCTGGAGGATGTAGGAGTATGGATCCGTGGGCTGAGGCAAATAATTTGTAGTTCTACAGGGCCAAGTGCCAGGTCCTGCACTCTGCATAAACATTTCTCAGATGTGACAACACTCAGGTGCTTTTTTGTCTTCCCTTGCCAGCCAGGACAGAGCTGGTTGTACTGGGCTTTCCCCAGATGCTGACTGCTGGTTTAGAGCCACATTTACACAGGCCCTTAGAGGGATTTTCCTCTGTATAAAGTAAGATTATGTGCATTCAGCCTACTACTTTTAAAGGATGGAGGCATTTAAACTGCTTTGATCCTCTGGAAAACCTGCTTGCATGGAGATGCCTGGAGGTGCAGATGGATTCCAGCTGGAAATTGGACATGTGGGACTATATGAAAATAAGCCTCCTGCTGATTATTATGAAGCTGTTGACGTGCTTTGGGGGGCACCTCCAGCTCTCACACACAGCCTGGGGGAATCCCAGCAGAGACAGAATCACTTCTGGGTGCTGAGATGCAGAGCTGGCCTTAGGTGGCTTCAGGAGATGGAGCTGCCCTGGCAATCAGAGCTTGAATTTGTGCAGAAACCTTGTCCCAGGAGGTGCAGATTTGGGACTCTAAGCTGGAAGGAAGCCCCTGACCTGCTGCAGCCAGGGTGGGTGGTTTTAATTCTCACTGGACCTGGCAGCCTGTTATATATATCTGTATATTGTATATACACAGGAGTAGCATTTGCATATTTATATATATATATGTATGTGTGTGTGTATATATATATATATACAATGTATATATATATACACAAATGTGTATATATATATGTATATATACACAAATGTATATATAGAATTTTTTTTTAATACACAAAAACAAATTTGTCTGTTCCAAGTGCTCCCAACCACTTTGTTTTTTGGTTTTGGTGGTTTTTGACCACTGGGCTGGGGCAGATTTTCCCTGACAGTCTGGGCATTCCCTCCTCCATCCATGGGGGCCATGGAATCTGCTGTCCATGAGTGTTTCTGCTTGCATTGCCTGCAGAATGGTGACAGGAATGTTGACCCTGTGCTCCTCTAGCACTTTGCAGGAATCGGGATTTGCAATTGGAATTTGCAAAACATGGCACTGCCCCTCCAGTTCTTACTGAGAATAATGAGGAAAGCAGGATTTGAGCACCCAGCAGCACTTCACGATTTCACTGGAGCTGAGTGAATCTCATTCGCTGCATTTGGAAATTGCATTTGGCTGAAATACACAACCTCTTCCATCTCAAACAGCTTCTGAATGTCAGCTTGAATTTGCTGAAGATTTTCAGTTGGGAGAAAAAAAAGAAGCAAAAAAGACATTTGATGACTTAATATGTGTAGGGCCATGGGGGATATCTGTCAGTCACCTCATCCAGGGCTGTGTCACAGCACGGAGCCCTGGGGAGCACATCAAGGCAGTGACACGGGCAGAGCTGGCCTGGGTAATTCAGAGCAGGAATGCTAAAGCTCTCCTCACAGTCTGGATTGCTTTTATGGAAATAATTTCACAGAAATTATTAAATTATAATAAAATCGGTCAGAGTCTGTGCATAGATTATGGAATACTGGAGCTGTAATAAAGCAGGGTAGTGTTTCTCACTTTCTTAAATTAAAAATAATTAGATTAATCCAGGAAAATAGTGAAGGGAGCTGAATAAAGGAATGGGGCTTGTGTTTCAAACCCAGGACAGGGAAGGTTTCACAGGTGGGATCCTCTGGACACCCCTCACCTAACAGGGAACATGTGGGGGTGTCAGCATTTGCTTAAAGAGAACAAAAGGGAGGCAGACAGGGTTCACCATAGGACCCTCAGGGCAGCAGACCTGGGAAATAACAGCAAGTTCATTGTAAGAGTGAGAAAATCTCACTCTTATGTAGTGGTGGTATGGATAAAAGGAACAGAGAATGTTTTCCAGGCAGGTTTGTGCCATGCCAGCCAGCTGTGAATGTTCTGGAATGCTCAGCAGGGCTCCTCACCTGTGCACGAATCCCAAAGTCCTGACAAGAGGAGCTTTTCTGGGGAGGGGAGTCAGAATTGAATTTTGCTCTCAGTTTTTGCATGTTAATGTAGTGTCCTTTTCCCCTTGCACTCCCTGCAAAGACACCCAGGCCTTCACTTAAAACATTGTTCTGTCCAGCAGGACTTGGCAGGTGGAAAAAAAACAGGGCACATTTTGAATTGCCACCAAACTTGAGGTTTTTTTCTGGACAGGTCTCAGCAGAGATGGGCATTGATTGCTGCCACGTCTCCGAGACTGCCATTCTTCACCCCGCTCAGAACACAATTTCCTAGTGAATAAAATATGTATTGAAAAGCAGTGGGCAGAGAAATAGGAAATACTCCTGTTAATGAGAGGTTTTGTATGCCTCGGTGCAGCTGCCGCATCAGCCGCGTCCTGGCGGCGCCGCGGGGGAACGCGCTCCTGGTCGGCGTGGGAGGCACGGGGAAGCAGAGCCTGACCCGCCTGGCTGCCTTCCTCAGCTCCCTGGAGGTCTTCCAGATCACCCTGAGGAAAGGCTACGGCGTCCCTGACCTCAAGGTGGGGGATTTGAAATGGAGGGGAAGGGAAAAAAAAAGAGCAGAAGTTGCCCTGAAGGGTCGTTGTGTGTTGGGAAAGAGAATGGGGGAGGATGATCGTGAGCTCAGGTGTGCCCAGGTGGGCAGGAGGTCAAGGTCACCTGGGCTGATGGAGTTCTGGGGTGGCAACAGGGCCAGGGCAGTGCCCGTCCCCTGTGCTGGCACTGCTGGAGCACCTCCAGTGCTGGGGACAGCTCTGGGACACTCAGGACAGGAAGGACACTGAGGGGCTGGAGCGTGTCCAGGGAAGGGAACGGAGCTGGGGAAGGGTCTGGAGCTGCAGGAGAGTTGAGGGAGCTGGGAAGGGGCTCAGCCTGGAGAAAAGGAGGTTCAGGGGAGATCTTGTGGCTCTGCACAACTCCTGCCAGGAGGGGACAGCCGGGGGGATTGGGTTGTGCTCCAGGGAACAGGGACAGGAGGAGAGGGAACGGCCTCAGGCTGGGCCAGGGCAGGCTCAGGTTGGATATTTGGGAATATTTCTTCATTGAAAGTGCTGTTCAGCCCTGGCACAGCTGCCCAGGGAGGTGGTGAAATGCCCACCCCTGGAGGGATTTAAAAGCTATGTGGATGTGGCATTGGGGATATGGATTAGCGGTGGCTTTGGCCACTCTGGGGGAACAGTTGGATATGATGTCTTTAGAGGGCTCTTCTAACCTAAATGCGATACTGAAACACCCCAGAGACAACATGCAGCTGTGGAGAGGAGCAAATGCCTTGCTGCAGTGTGTCTGCCCCGGGCTGCAGCCACACCTGGGCTCTCCTGGCACTGCCCTGAGAACATCCCAGCCCCGAGCCTCAGCCCTCACCTGTGCCGATGTTCTCAGCCACTGGACAAGTTCTGAAGGATCCCATTTCTGTGCCTGGCCCGTGCTTTGCAGCATGTGAGCCCTCCTGGTGTCCCCCTTGCAGGCAGACCTGGCAAACCTGTACCTGAAGGCTGGGCTGAAGAGCGTGGGCTCCGTGTTCCTGCTGAGCGACGCGCAGCTCGCGGACGAGCAGTTCCTGGTGCTGGTCAACGACTTCTTGGCATCAGGTACAGCCCTCGGGCTCTGCCTTCCCCTCTCCTGGGGAGTTTTGCTCCTGGCAGCACCTGGAATTCTGGAATAGACAAAGGGGCAATGATGAAATGTGCTGGAAGTTACATTTCCTGGTGAATAAAAGATGAAGTTGAGCTCTGGAGTAAAAGCTGTGCCAAGGTTTCCCTGGGCCTCTATGTACCATCAGCTGGGAGATTTCTTGTGCTTCCCTCATGGCTTGTACCTGTTTTTCCATATGGCATGGGATTCTGCAGATAGTTGTTAAGGGATGTGTCTGTTGAGCTGTTTCAGCGGGGGGCAGAGCCAAGGGAATCTATCACCAGGTGAGGAGTTTCACCTGTGGATCTCCTGCATCCACCTCAGAAATTAAGGTTGTTTCTGGATACAAGATTTGGATGGAGTATCTGTGAGCTGGAGGATGAAGGGGTGACCTTGTCAGTGTGTGTCACCTGGCTGCTTATCCCATTCCAGTCCTTTCCCTGTCGTTTTTCCAGTTGCATTCAGGTTTTTGAGGTGCTGCTCCCCCAAACCATTGCAGGGCAGTTGGTGTCCACACCAGTGCTCCATTTCCCTGCAGAGCACGGCACAGGTGTGTGTGGCTGAGCAACCCTGTGCCAGCTGTGCCAGGCAGTTCTGGGGGTGCAGGCTGTGTCACCAGGACCATGGGAGGACACCTGCAGTGGGCATGTCCCCATTTTCTCTGGCAGATCCCTGCCACTTTTGGCCTTGTTTGTGAGTTGGATGGGGAAGGTGGCAGCTGGGCCAGGTCCCACCAGGGATGGGGAGAGGTGAGGAATCAGCAGCACAACTGCTGGCGAGTAGCTCCAGAGGTGACATGTGTGGCTGTAAATTGGTGGCCAGATGGCTTCAGCAGCAAACAAGCTCTGAAGCTCTTCCCTCTGAATCAGCTGTAGTGATTGTGATCAGGAGCAGGGACAGGATTGCTGCAGATTGTGGGGAGGGGCTCCCACCAACTCCTACCCGTGGTGTAGATGCACAAACATCTCATGACTGAACCTCAGGAGAGCTGAGATTCCTCAGCCTGCAGAAGAGAAGCTCTGGGAAGACCTTAGAGACTCTTCCAGTGCCTAAAGAGGCTCCAAGGGAGTTGGAGAGGGACTTGGGACAAAGGGACAGGAGAGGGGACAATCCTTCCCTGGCAGGCTGGGCAGGCCCTGGCACAGGTGCCCAGAGCAGCTGTGGCTGCCCCTGGATCCCTGGAAATGTCCAAGGCCAGGTTAGATGGGGCTTGGAGAACCCTGAGATAGTGGAAGGTGTATTTCTTACTGGTTTCACTTGTCATTATCTAGAACAAAATATACCTTTTAATCTCTTGGATGAATGAGCAGATTTCTGATTAGTGTATTTCCCTAAGTGATCAGTGCTCACATTGAAAGGATCTGGCTCAATAATGATGATTTTAATCAAATCAGAAGCCAGAAAGGAAGTGAATATGTGATATATTAAGGAAACAATAAGAAAAAAAAAATTTGGTTGGTTGCATTTTTGGCAAACAGCTGCTTAACTATTAACTTATAAAAGTTTTTACAAGATTTGTAACTTGTAAAATGTTTGGATGGTTTGGGAGTTACTTGGCCACTGCTGGAAAGTGCCCTGAACAGCTGCAAAAATTTTACATGTAATTAATGCATTTGCAAAACTTCAATGATTTTATAATATGTATGGCTTATTAGGGATTTGAATATTTCTTTTTTAATCTAATTAGACTGCAGAGCTAAAAAAAAAAATTTTTCTACTTTGACTCTATTCTCACTTCCTTTCCCTTGTGTTTTATAAGGAAGTTTGCTCTCACAGATGTTTATTTTTCAGCAGAATGACCTTCTGTGCCCCTTTGCTGCTCCTGGGGCTCAGGGGGACCTGGTGCAGGGGTTTTACCTGAGGAGGGGACATCCCTGAGCCCCTGAAGAGGGGGACAGCAGCTTCCCTTTGCTCTGAGACCACAACAACATCCAGACGTTTAAACCCCAGCATGCCCTCCTCTCCTAGGGGAAATCCCGGATCTCTTCCCTGATGATGAAGTGGAAAACATCATCAGCAGTGTGAGGAATGATGTCAGGGGCCGGGGGCTGCTGGATTCCAGGGAGAATTGCTGGAGGTTTTTCATCGAGCGAGTCCGACGGCAGCTGAAGGTGAGATGGAGCACGAGGGGCTGGTGCTGAATGATTTTTTTTGCCTTTTTCTTTTATAAATTCTCTGTGTTCTTCACACACATATTTCTAGCCTGTTATTGTATTAGTAGCTAGTTCCTGTACTTTTCCCTAGCCAGAAAGACAAAATTCCAGAGCTCCAAGCCCAGGGGGTATAAAGCCTCCATCCTATCTTGGTTTTTCTGTGAACCAAGGCCAAAAACCAGCTCTTCAAGACATATTTTCATAAACAAAGTTTAGTTTCCATCTGTAGTCCATTTACATATTGGAGTTAATTGTTCAGTTACTGTTTTAGGTTATGAAGTCCCATCCTGCTTGTTTTTCTCTCTTCAGCCCACATTGTTTGTGCTCTTGGGCCTGAGATTTGGATCATTTGTCCTTGGTCCCCAGCTAGAGAAGGAATTGTTTTGCCTCCTGTTGTGGGAATCCAGGACTCCTGAGCAGCTGACCAATATGATCAAGCAGAGGCTGTTTATTGTTTACATTACACACATATTTATAGATTCTACAAACTACGAAGCACACACTTCTTGATTGGTGCCTTTGTCCTTTCACTCGTTTTCTGCCTGCATTTCTCAGAGTATGTGGTTGGTTACAGTCCAGGTATTTCACAATCCTCGGGAGCTGCTCTGGTGTCACTGGGAGCTGCTGATGTCTTACTGGGAGCTGAGGGTATCTTACTGGGAGCAGATGTCTCACTGGGAACTGAGGATGTGTCAATGGGAGCTGAAGATGTCTTACTGGGAGCTGAGGAGGAGTCACTGGGAGCTGCTGAGGTGTCACTTGGAGTTGAGGATGTCTTACTGGGAGCTGCTGAAGTGTCACTGGGAACTGCTCTGGTGTCACTGGGAGCTGCTGATGTCTTACTGGGAGCTGAGGATATCTTACTGGAAGCTGCTGAGGTGTCACTGGGAGCTGATGGCACTGCCAGGGAAAGGACAGCTCTGCCAGCACAAGGGCAGCCCCAAACCTGCACAGAAAATAACCTGCTGCTCTCCCCACTTGTGTCTGAGCCTCTGGAAATCTCAAGGGCAAAAATAGGTCAAGTTCTCAGTGATGGCAATCTGCTACTAGAATAGAGATTTGTTTCTGTTTATTTAGTTTTTCCAGGCAGGATTTAGGAAGAATAAAGCCTACAACGTTTCTTTTTAGGAGTGTGCACTTTTCCCATTTGTACAGGAGAAAAGCCCAAAATTATACTTAAAAGAGCTGTTATTTTGTAGAGAAATTGCTTGGAATAAGATAATGTGTGAGATAAAAAGATATAAAAAAGGTGTATAAAGTACATGGGCAACAAAGTTATTTTAGAGATAACAGTGAAAAGGGATCAGCTGAGGTGTTACACCCTGGATTGTGCCGCAGCAGAATCAAAAGTTACCAAATTCCTTTCTATTCAGCACAGACCTGTGTTTATATATAGTTTTCTATTTAAAACAGATTCTCCTCATCTTCCCATCTTCCCTTTAGGATTCAGTCAAGGAATCAATAAGCAAATTCATGGCCCACGTCCACATCAGTGTCAACGAGGTGTCCCGGCTGTACCTCAGCAACGAGCGCCGCTACAACTACACCACCCCCAAGTCCTTCCTGGAGCAAATCAAACTCTACCAGAACCTGCTGCTGAGGAAGGACAAGGATTTAAAGGCAAAAATGGAGCGCCTGGAGAACGGCCTGGAGAAGCTCAAGAGCACCTCTGCACAGGTAAGGGCTCCTTGGGGTTGGTTTGCCTTGGTTTTTTTTTTGTTTGGTTTGACGGAGAGCTTGCGCAGAAGAAGTTTGGGCTGGATCCTCGCTCTAGTCTGGCTTGAGCTGGGTTTCTGGAGGAACAGAAGTGATGCTCTGTGCTGGAAAGGAGAATGGAGAGGTGTGTGCCCAGTCTCTGCTGTTTGGGAGGTAACTGAAAGATTTTGGTAAATAAAATGAGATTGGGATCCAGCTGGCTCTGCCATCCTCTTTTAATGGTTAAATTTCAGCTGTGGTGACAAAACAGCTTAGAAAATACAGGACAGTCAGTGATTGTTGAAGTTGCATCCAGGAAATCTACAATAACCCCAGCAAGACTCTTTCAAACTAAACAGTGCATGCTGTTAAAATGAAGCTGATGTTCATTTTTCCTTCCAATATGCTATCCATCTTTAAGGAAAACTAATACATGTATGAAATGCACATCAGTCATCCCCAAATCCCCCAGCTGAAAACTCCCACTGGCACACTCCTCTGGCAGTGACTGGAAGCTGTTCTGGGTGTTTCCCAACCCTCTCTGCAGTGACACCCACATCTGTTGCTACACTCCCATTCTGCTCTCCATTTCATATTCTATTAACTCTTACAAATGTTTGCTCGCAAAGCTTCTCCAGTGGCAAATGAGGCTCTCCTGGAGCTGCTCTGGAGGAATGCAGGAGGGTTGATGAGAAGGAAGGACTGGCAGGTCCATCCCCTTCCACACATCAGCTCTGGGGGCATCAATCACATCTGTCACCCTCAGGGGACACAGCGTGCCTGGAGGTGATGGATGGGCGGGCTGGTGCTCTCAGTGCTGATATCTCCATCTCCCTTCAAACAGTCCCTGCTCATGGAGCAGGACATGGCAGGGGTGGGCACTGCCACGTCCCCTGTGCTGGTTTTTGCGTCTCCTTTGGAGGGAGGGGGAAGCAGAGAGCACTGGTGGCACCCACCAGAGCCACGAGGCCATGCCCTCACTGCCCATCACACACCTCAGCTTGTCACCAAAACTACAGGAAAAACAAAAACCCTCCAACAACACTTTTAGTGTTAGAGAATTGAGACATTATTATATTCTGGCCAGGATGTACAACAGAAATAATTTCATTCACACGCAGCCTGGGTGTGCAGAGAAAACCATTCCATGGCACATGAATTTTGCCAGATTTTTCACAAATTTTATACAGTCAAAACCCATAGAGATTCATTGGTTCAGTGTTCATTGATATCAAATTATGGAGTTCTTAGTCTTTGGTTTCCTGTTGGTTCCAGATCTCTTCCTCTCTGATGCTAATTATGTTCTCATTACCTCTGATGCTAATTAAGTTCTCATTCTTGTTTCTCTTTTTCCAGACCAGGTGTCTCAGACCATGCCAGGGGTGATGTTTGGAGCTGATGGTCGTTATCTTTTCTGTATCTTCTGTGCTATTCCCACTTTGTTAAGATGTTAAATTCATCAGGCCTTGCCTGATGGAACAATGCCCTGGAAAGAAACACAAATCCCCTTCCCTGGGGACAAAGGCAAACAAACCTGACTGAAATTATAAAATAATACATTTTAAACTTGGTATATTTTCCAACAACCTCACCTCACCCATGCAGGCGATAGTTCTGATGGACCTCTGGGGTGCTGCTGTTTTTTCAGGATTTCCCAGTGGTGGATAAGGTGGATTAGGTTTATTTTTTTGGGGGAGCAGCTAATATGAAATGAATCTTTTGAGAACAAGTCCCTGGGTCTGTTGTGACACATGGGAACCCTTCTGTATCCTTCAGGCTTCTCTTCAGTGGGTGATGTGTGGGCAGGGTTCTCTGCTGAGGCAATGGGAAGGATGGGAAAATCAAATCCCAAGAAAGATGAAAGAGCAGTGTTGGTGTCTGGTTGCAGTGAGGCTGGGCTGAGAGGTGCCTCCTTGAGCAGGTAATTAAGATGCAGAGCAGTGAGGACAAACACGTCAAATTCAAGTCTAAAATTAGCACTGGGGGCCTAAAATTAAACACCTAAATTACCAGATGTGCGCAATAGTCAAAACTGCTGTTGATTTGAAAGCAGAGTGTGGGTATTTATCAGTATTGGAAATCATACCAGCATGTTCAGTCTTAAACATGGGTTTAAGTGGCTGAACTTTACATTCACCCCAGGAAATACCCGCTCTGGGGGCTGAGGAAGTGAAGGGTCCTCTCTCTCACCAGGTGTGTCAGCTGCAGGTTGTGCTGGGGGGAATTTTCAAAGTAAAGGGGGAGGATTTTGATCTCTGGGTATCACCTGGCTGTGCCCTAGCTCTGGGGACTGGTGCTCACCACTGGCATTCTCCAGGGCCCAGTAAAGGATGAGGTTTGTGTATTTCTGTATTTCAGAGTGCCCTCAGCACGAGGGGCTGTTTTATCAGGAGCTGCAGGTATTTTTTTACTTTGCTGCTCCCATTTCAAAATAACCTCTCTGCCTCCTTTCACTGTGGTCCACTCTACCTTTATCCCCTTTCTTTTTTTTTTCTTTCCTGTGGAGATTTGGACACCTTGATGCTGTTGATCAACTTTGCTCCTCCAGCAATGTTCTACAAGCAGCTCTCCCTGTGGACAGTGCATCCTCAGCACTCAGGGAAGCTGAAGCCTCCTTCCCGTTAGGAGATAATGGATTGGGAAGATGTGTGGGATGAGTCATTTGTTTTTCAGAGTGCTGTGTGCCACCGAGAGGTCAGCACCCATTGCTGAGTAATTCTGAGGATGGCTGTGGTTAATATTGCATCACTGCATTCCAGATTCCAGCCTGCCTGCCACTATCAATTAATCGCTGACCTTTTGATGTATTTTGTGTTCTTGAAACAAGGCAGGGACAATCAGATAAAATGAGTCTTCTGGGAGCCTGCCCTCCAGGTTTTCTTCTCTTCAATAATTTTTCTCATGCTGTTCTGGTTGTAGGCAAGGGCTTCTCCCTTCCTTTCCCTGATGAAGTCACAGCACATTACCCTTGAATTTCTCATTTGCTTTGCTCTTTCCCTTTCCACCTCACATTACTAATTGCTTATCAGATTGTTCTGCACTCAGGAAGCTGCTCACAGGTTTCTCATGGAATCACAGAATCACAGAATTTTTTGGGTTGGAAGGGATCTTAGAGATCATAATTTTTCACCCCCTGCCATAGCAGGGACACCTCCCACTGTCCCAGGTTAATCCAAGCCCTGTCCAGCCTGGCCTTGGGCACTGCCAGGGATCCAGGGGCAGCCCCAGCTGCTCCGGGCACCTGTGCCAGGGCCTGCCCACCCTGCCAGGGAAGGATTTCTTCCTGACAGCCAACCTAACCCTGCCCTCCTTCAATCTGAAGTCATCCCCCTTGTCCTGTCACTGCAGGCCCTTGCAAACAATCCTTCTCCAGCATTCTTCCTTTTTTAAAACCCTGACAAAGCCATTTCCCCTTCCATTGCTGGGGAGCTTGGCAGGGCACTGTGTGCTCCCCGGGGCTGAGCTTACACCTGCTCTTTGTGCTGCTGTTGAGTGCCCGTGGATTTTAATCCCCTGCTTGTTTTGTCCTGGCCCTGTAAAGCCCTGGAGCCGCCGTTTGTGTGTGTATTGTGTGTGTACCCAGCACACAAAGGCTGATTTCTGGGCAGAAGGTCACAGCCATATCAGCCATCAGCAGAGCCCACTTCAATTTCCTGCAGCCCCCAGAGACCTGGAGATGAACAAGGAGCTGCTGCTGGGTTTGTCACACGGAGGGATTCTGTGAGCCTGGATTTACAGCTGTGCCTTTGTCCTGGTGAGAGCAGTCCCACAGAGCCAGGAGCAGGGGGTGGTGATGGATGGAGGGCGTGTGGAGAGCCCTGAAAAACTGTTCTCCACGTGAAGCCAATGCCAAATGTCAACAGCTTCAGTTCATGGATTGCAGGCTGTGCTTTCCCTTCTGGTATCAGAATGGTATCTCCAAAACCAGTGGCTGGCTTCCCTTCCTGTGAGTATTTTTGTGTTGGTAAAGATGTACCCCAGGAGCTCAAAGTGAACCTTTATGAGCCTGAGAGCAGGCAGGGAAAGGCTCCATGGTCTGCCCAGAGCCTGGGAAAATTCACTGAAATGGGGATTTTAGCAGGAGGTTTTCTGTCTGCAATGAGAGCCTGTGTGAGCTTCCCCCTGTGCAAATCCTGCTGAGGGCTCCCCTTGTGAGCAGGGGGTGAGGAGATGCCACCATGGCCGTGCTGGTGGCCTCCTGGCTGCCAGCTCAAGGGGATGTACCTTCTCAGACTCATCTGACATCACATCTAAAACCCCTTGAACCTCAGAGCTCTGGACCTGTCAGCAGATGCCAACTGCAATTTTTCTGGGGTGAAAATAATGTTAGGAAGTTCTTCCCTGGGAGGGTGGGGAAGCCCTGGCACAGGGTGCCCAGAGCAGCTGTGGCTGCCCCATCCCAAACCAGGCTGGACCGGGTTAGGAGCAGCCTGGGACAGTGGAAGGTGTCCCTGCCCATGGCAGAGGGACTGGATGGGGTTTCAGGTCCCTTCCAACTCAAACCATTCCAAGTTTCTGTGATTCCTGCTGGACTGATGGTCTCAGAGCTGGTGCTGCCCCTGCCCTGTGCCTGGGGAGGGCAGGGGGTGCTGGGGTGAGCAGGAGGCTCAGGGAGCTCCTGGGGCACAGACTCTGCTCCAAACCACCTCGTGCCCAGGTTTGCTGCTGGTGAGGCTGAGAAGATGAAGTGAGGCTGAACTGTAGCCTTGCCACCTCCCCTGCAAGGCACAGCACCTCTGCTCAGGGGGGTTGTGACATCAGAGCTCGTGCCCAAAGGTGATGGGTTTGGGTTTACAGTGATTTCCTGCACATTCCTGCTGTGTGATGGGGCTCCTGGGCTGCATGAAACTGATGTCTAAAGAGAGGCTGCCTGGAACAGAGGCTGGACAGAGTTAAAGGAATAAAGCAGGAAATTATGAAAAAAACCATTCAAAGGATCCACCTTGGGCAGTGCAAGAGCCCAGCCAGGGCTGCACCCAAGACGGACCCAGCATGGACTCAGAGTCACGAGTTTTCACACTTTTATCAGTTTTGGTCCATTCCCACCTTGGGTTCACTGTCCAATTGCAGCTCCAGGGGATGCAGTCCCACCCTCCCAGGTTGCTCTCCTCCATCCCCTGTTCTTTGCACTTTTTGGGGCTGAAGCTGCAGCGGTGTCCTTGGTTCTGGGGCTGGCAAAGGATTGTTGTGTGTGCCTGAGCTGTGAGGAGAGCTGCTGACACTTGGTATGGAGCTCAGAGTTATTTACCAATGCAGTGCAGAGTCTGGCAATACGGAAGGTCCAACTGAAGGCATCACCATGGCTCTGCTGACAGCCAGACCCTTCCTGCCCTGGGGTCCCCTGTGTGTGAGGCTGTGCTGGGCACTGAGGAGCAGACAGGGCAGCTCAGCTCCCACACATCTCTGCCCTGCAGGTGGATGAGCTGAAGGCCAAGCTGGCAGCCCAGGAGGTGGAGCTGAAGCAGAAGAATGAGGATGCTGACAAGCTGATCCAGGTGGTGGGGGTGGAGACGGAGAAGGTGAGCAGGAAGAAGGCGGTGGCCGACGAGGAGGAGCGGAAGGTGGCCCTCATCGCCCAGGAGGTGGAGCAGAAGCAGAAGGACTGTGAGGAGGACCTGGCCAAGGCTGAGCCTGCCCTGGCAGCTGCCCAGGCTGCTCTCAACACCCTCAACAAGGTGGGGTGAGGATTCCCAGTGGTTTTCCTCCTCGCTGGGGGAGAGGGGCTGTGTCATCTGATGGCCCAAGTTCTGCGCATTGTATTGTCCCTCCTCCAGCTTCCTCACTGCTGGTGCTAAAGTGTGTAAAAAAGGATTGGATGTGGCACTCAGTGCCATGGTTTAGTTGACAAGAGGGTGTTTAGTCACAGGTTGGACTTTATGATCTCAAATGTCTTTTCCAACCTGGTTGTTTCTGTGATTCTGGAGTTCCTGGTGGAACTCAGAGCACCCATGAGGCTGCACCATGTTCCCCTTCACTCATTGCCACGGAGAGGAGCAGACAAAGCTGGTCCAAAGGAAGATGTCACTGGGAAAAGCTGTGATCAGGAGATAAGCATTGCTCTGGTTGCAGGAGATTGGTTTTGGGAGGAGTTTTTGTGCCTTGGAAGGTTTGTCCTTCAAGGGTGCTCCAGGGGTTCCCATTTGATGTGGCACTCAGTGCCGTGGTTTAGTTGATGAGTGGTGTTGGGTCATAGGCTGGACTTGATGATCTCAAAGGTTTTTTTCCAACCTCATTCATTCTGTGGTTCTGTGATGTGCCTGAGAGAGGGACCTGCAATTTGTTTTGGTCTGCAGTTCATGCATAGTGTGATAGTGAGTTTGAAAACTTGGGAAGTCAGGAGTTGGAGACAAAAATGCTCTTTTGGTTCCTCCAGTGCAGTTTGGCTGCTTGCCCTGTGAGGGTGCCTGGGCTTTCTCAAGAGCTGCATTCCCTGAACCCGGAGGGCTGCAGGATGTGGGAATCAGAGGATGGATTTGGCACTGGCATCTCAGCTTGGGTAGGAGGGAGCATGAAGGGAAGCTCTGAAGGTTGTTTTAGAGGGTTTGATTGTTATTACTACAGATTTCATTCTTATTTATCCCAATCTTCTGAGAGGGCATAAAACCTCCTGCTCCCCCAGGACCTGGGGAGGAGCAGTGTGCTGTGCTGGTCCCAGGTGGGATGTCAGGAGCAGGGAATGGAGCAGATGTGCTGCAGCCATGCAGAGCAGTGATCTAAAGGCAGCACTGCTGGGGCCCAGAGGAGCCCAATTTATCAGATTGATAGCCTGGGAGCCTGGCTCTATTAGCGGCAGAGTGAAAAGGAAGCCCATTCATTTTTACCTAACAACCTTGTTTTCCCCTTTTCAGACCAATCTGACAGAGCTGAGGTCCTTTGGGTCACCTCCTTCTGCTGTCAGCAACGTCACAGCAGCCGTGATGGTGCTGACGGCCCCAGGAGGGAAGATCCCCAAGGACAGGAGCTGGAAAGCAGCCAGAGTGGCCATGGCAAGGGTAGACAGCTTCCTGGACTCCTTGATCAAGTTCAACAAGGAGAACATCCACGAGAACTGCCTGAAAGCCCTCCAGCCCTATCTGCAAGACCCCAAGTTCAACCCCGAGTTCGTGGCCACCAAGTCGGCGGCGGCGGCCGGGCTGTGCTCGTGGGTGCTGAACATCGAGCGCTTCCACCGCGTGTTCTGCGAGGTGCAGCCCAAGAGGCAGGCTCTGGACAGGGCCAACGCTGAGCTGGCAGCAGCCCAGGACAAGCTGGCCACTGTCAAGGCCAAAATCGCCGTGAGTGACCTTGGGGGGACCCGTCCTGCTTGTCCCTGCCTGGGGGAATCCTCGGCTTGGGCAGAGCTGCTGCTCGGGGCTTGTGTTCTAAAGCAAGGCTGGGAATCCAGAGGGTTGGGGCTTGCAGGGTTTTCTCTCCCTCCTGTTGCACTGAAATCCAGCCCTGTGCTGGGCTGAGCCCCAGCGTGGGCAGCAGGGAGGGGAGGGGGATTCTGCCCCTGTGCTCAGGTGAGACCCCACCTGCAGAACTGCCCCAGCACTGGAAGGAGCTGGAGCTGCTGCAGAGAGCCCAGAGGAGGCCATGGAGATGCTCCAGGGCTGGAGCCAGGTTGGGAGAGCTGGGGGTGCTCACCTGGAGAAGGGAATGCTCTAGGGAAACCTCTGAACCCATTCCAGGCCCTAAAGGGGCCTGAAGGAGAGTTGGAGAGGGACTGGGCACTAGGGATGGAGGGACAGGACACAGGGAATGGCTTCAAACTGAAAAAAGATGAAATTTCGGTTAGTTAAAGGGAAGAAATTGTTCCGTGTGAGGTGGGCAGGCCCTGGCACAAGGTGCTCAGGGCAGCTGTGGCTGCCCCTGGATCTTTGGAAATGTCCAAGGCCAGGCTGGATGGGGCTTGGAGCAGCCTGGGACAGTGGAAGGTGTCCCTGCCATGGCAGGGGGTGGAAAAGGTCTTTAAGATCCCTTCCAACCCAAAGAATTCTGTGATTCTGTGACAGAATTGCTTTTTAAATTTCCTCTGTTCTTCTCCAGCTTTGCTTGCACCCAAAGAGGAAGGCTAAATAGGAATCCTTGTTCTTCCCACTTAATTTTTTTAATGTAATTTGCCTCTTCTCCTGGGCCCTGAGAAAACTCATTATCTCAAACCAGGGTGTTCCCAGTGTGCTGCACAGGGCAGGGGATGGGAACTGGAGGCTGATTCAGTGCTGGGAGCACAGAGCTGGGCTGGCTGCACACTCAGTCCCTGGTTTTGCAGGATGACAACTGCTTCTTGCAGGAGCCTCATTTGTCACGGCACAGCTCCCTGGCAGCACATCTTGGATGTTATTTGGATTTTCGCTACTTAAAAAAAAAAAAAAAAAAGAAATTTAAAAATCTCTGAATAGAAGAAATTACAGTGTGATTAAAAGTGCATTTCCACAGAGTGTAGAGTGAGACCTTTATCATTTGCCTTCAGAAAATTATCTCTATGTAAAAACACATCCTGCTTCTTTTTCCTGCTTTCCTCCCTGCTCCCTCCCAGCAGGATACCTGCTAAGAACAGGCTGTGGGGAGCAGCTGCTCTGGTTTTAGGGTGTTTTGGGATCTCTCTTTGGGAGTGGGATCCCCTCCATGGCTGGGCTGTCGGGCTGCACCCACAACCTGGGCAGGGTCCCAGTGAGTGAGGCCCCTCTGCTCCCCTCAGCCCCTCCACCAGCACCTCACCCTGTTAGAAAACACATCACTCCCTTGATGTTTTCAAGGGCTTATCATTCTTAAAATGCTTACTACACTTTTTAACTAAAAATACAAGAAAATGGTGCAGAACTCTCTGGTCGCCCCTTCCTGCTGCAGATGAAAGGAGGCACCTGAAGCAGGGATGGATTTATAGGGCTTTGGTGTCTAATTCTCCCACCTCAGATGTGCCATACAGTGCTGGGGAACTTTTTTCATCCCTTTATGCTGCTCTTCTCCAAAGCTTTTTTATGCCTGGGCTTTTTATTTTATTTTTTTTTTTTTTAAAGGAGTGGGATTTTGTTAAAGAAAATTGCAATCTTTGGGGAGATTACTGCTGCTCATTCTTACAAAACTGCCTGGATGAGGGGCTCTCTCCTCTCTGCAGATGGGGAGGGATGCAGGGGAGCATGGGATGGATGTGGAGGTACATCCTTACTTATCTGGGATCTCTTGGATAGCTTCACTGCTGGGTGCTGATTCATACCTGCTCACAGCTGGGCCCCAAGCTGTCTCATCCTCATTTTTATTAACAAATGAGAAAATTCCTGTTGTCCAGAACATTAAGGACTTTCTGTCTTTTTTTCCTGCCTGGGAATTGTGTGCTCTACACCTGAGGCTGCTGGAGGTAGGAGTGAAAGGTGTGTCCACGGCTGCACAGAGCTGTATTTGTGTGCCCCTGGTGGGGCCCTGCAGACCAGATATATGCATATATTCTATAGAAATTCAATTATCAGCTCGTGCTTTTGTAGGAGAATATGATATACATGAGCCTTTGTAGGCTGATATGTCCACATGCACACAGGGACAGAAACTTTTGGTGTTATTGTTCCAAGGAAGGTCAAGGAGAGGCTGCTTTGTGTTTGCCAGTATCCAGGAGAGCTGCAGAGATCTCTAATATAATCCTTTTTCATTTTCAGGTTTGTTTCTAGTGTGTAGCTCAATGTTGAAGTGATTTACAAGCAGTTTAGCCTTAAGCAGTCTGCATTGGGTGCAGATAAAATCAATTATTACTTTTCTTATCAGAAGTGAAATGCTCCAAGTGCTTGTGGGAGCTGTTGGTTTGGTTTGGAGCCCAGTGTGAACAACTCTGCCCAAGAACAGGGCTCTCCAGTATTCTCTGCAGGTGCTTTGGCTCTTGCTGCCCCTCAGTGGGGCAGCTCTCAGAGCAGAACCATTTAATTCATTTATTCTATTCCTTGCTGGAAACAGTGTGAGGGCATGGTTTGGAGAGGGTTCAGGCAGAACTCCAGGAGCCCCTTGGGGATTTGAGCAGGACTTGGGGAATCAGCAGAGCCTCAAGGACTGCTCAGACACAAGGGGCTGTAGCATCAGGAAATGTCAAATTTGGGTTCCTTAGCTGCCTGCTTGCTGATCAGCCATAGCACTCATGATCAGGGCTCAGCTAGGAGCCCCAAGTAAATTCATTTTGTGTGTCCTTTGCCTCTGCCTGTGCCAAGGGTGTGAATTCCAAGCAGTGGCACAGCCCAGCCCAGCCCTGCTCGGTGCTGGCTCCTGGTGCCAGCCCTGGCTGGATGGGCTGGGCTGGAGCTTGGCCAGCTCTGGACAGGGGTTTGCTCAGGATCACAGGATCCCAGAATGGTTTGAGCTGGAAGGGATCTCAAAGCCCATACAGTGCCACCCCTCCCATGGCTGGGACACCTTCCCCTGTCCCAGGAGATCCAACCTTCCCTGGAGCCTTCTCTTCACCAGGCTGGGCACCTCCAGCTCTCTCAGTCTCCAGAGCAGAGGAGTCCAGCCCTTGGAGTGTCTTCATGGCCTTTTGGAGTCCTCCAACAGCTCCAGCTCCTCCCTGAGTTGCTAAAACCATGCTGTTCCTGAATTCTTCTGTTTTTCACCCACAGCGCCTCAACGAGAACCTGGGCAAGCTGACAGCCCGGTTTGAGAAGGCCACGTCAGACAAACTCAGGTGCCAGCAGGAGGCTGAAGCCACAGCCTGCACCATCACCCTCGCCAACCGCCTGGTGAGTGCCAGCAAGGGCAGCTCTGGTGGCACCAGCGCTGGGCTCAGCCCTGTGCACACAGCACGTCCCATCCTCTCATGCTTTTGGGAGTGTTTCCTGCACTGCAGCAAGTTTCAGCAGTGAAAATGCTTTTAAAGAGGTTGTTTGCATGAGGTTGTGGCAGAATGTCTTCTCTTTCTCAACAAAACCAGGAGAGGCAGCTGCAGAAAGTGCTGTTGTACTCCAGATGGTTTGGGGCAGCTCTGCTCATTAAAGTGCCTGGCTCTGCTGCCATCACAACTCTCAGCTCCTTCTTGGGGCTTAAATGTGTGAGCAGGTGTTGACGGGCCAAAACAGTGTGAGTCAAAAATGGTATCATAAAAACAAAGGTGTGAACATGCCCGTAGCTTTGCAGGGCCTGAAATGACAAGAATTAGAGCGAAAAGATCTCTAAAAGCCTCAGTCTTCTCTGAGTGAGAATACAAAGGTATTAGAGAGGGGCCCTACGAGGAACTGGAGAGGGATTTTGCATCAGGAACTGTAATGTCAGGACAAGGGAGAATGGGTTCAGACTGCAAGAGGGGAAATTTAATTTAGACATATGGAGGAAATCCCTGTGAGGGTGGGCAGGCCCTGGCACAGCTGGGGCTGCCCCTGGATCCCTGGCAGTGCCCAAGGCCAGGCTGGACATTGGGGCTGGAGCACCTGGGACAGTGGGAGGTGTCCCTGCCATGGCAGGGGTGGGGTGGGATGGGGTTTTAGGTCCCTTCCAACCCCATCCATTCCATGGTGACTCTGTGCCACCACATCCCAGGCCATGCTGGTTACATCTCTTCCCCACCCCATGAGGTGGGAACAACTCCCAGTCCCAACAATTCTGTGATTTTATACTGTCAAAAATTCATCATTTCTGCAGTCAAGGAACTGCTTGCATCCCAACTTCCTGCTGTGCACTGCACACCGTCTCCTGTGCCACCCTGGCTTTGATCTGGGAGCAGGACCCGACAGCCCTCGCTGGTGTGCAGCTCATTTGACATTCAGGAGGTGTCACTGGTGTGACTGTGGGCAGAAATGAGTTCCCAGACTTTGAAACAAACACGGCTGAAGTTGTGTAAGGAATGCAAGTGAACGTGGAGAGCGATGCTTTGGATTGACAAATGAACCTGGGGGATTGAGGCAAGCCTGGCTCTCACAGTGCCAGGCTGGCATCTCAAGAACTTCAGATGGCCTAAGCAAGATGCTCCAGGATCCAAAGGACAGGATATGTGCACCAGAAAGGGAGGCTGGCTGATGAGTGGTGTTTGTGAGGGGGTGTGTGCTAATGTAGAGGAGGAAATTTAGTGATGACAAATGCTAAATAACGTGTGCAGGGAAAACAAACTGTAATCATGCAGTTACATGGATAGGCCCTAATTGCACTATTATCACTCACAGAAGAGCTCTTGGAGTTCTTGCAGAGAGTTCTCAGGAACAGCAGCATGGCACTTGACAGGAGGAAAAAAGACAAATTGAATATTACTAATTGGTAGGAAAAAACCTCAGGAAACAGAAGTTAAGCATCATTGTATTGGGTCTGTCAGTGCCTACATCCCACACGTGACCACCCTGTCTGTCTAAGGAGGCTGTGGGCAACCTAGAAAAGCTACAACAAAGTACATAACCACTTCCATATGAGAAGAGAGGGAATGGATTAGGGCTCTTCATTTTGGAAAAGGTGTAGAAGCCTCTAAAATCATGACTGATGTGCAGAAGGTGGGTGAGGAATGGTTGTTCACTCTCTGTCATTATCAAAGAGCCAAAGGTAATCCAAGGAGTAGCTTTTAATTTGCCTCTTGCTAAATAGAAAGAATTCCAATGACTTCTAGGACCTGAGGTGGGAGACACCTGGGGTGTCTTAAATGTATTAAAAGTGGCACTAGAGTATGATCCAAGCAAAGGAGAAGAAAAGACTTCCAGGATCTAAGGAGATAAAAAGTAACATGAAAAAATTAATTAGGAGTATGGAAGCACCTCCAAGTACCAGAAAAATCAGATCAATAAAGACTTCTTTGTCTTAGAGGGGCTGTGGGACTGCCCCTGGATCCCTGGCAGTGCCCAAGGCCAGGCTGGACAGGGCTGGAGCAGCCTGGGACAGTGGGAGGGGTCCCTGCCATGGCAGGGGGTGGCACTGGATGACCTTTAAGGTCTCTCCCCACCCAAAGCAGTCTGTGATTCTGTGATTGCATGAATCATAAATGAGCTGGTGTGTGGGAGGTCGCACGGCTCCGCAGTGATGATGTCAACAGTCTGTAAAGAATTGCAAAAACGATCCCAAGTGATGGAGCGATGAAACACCATGTAGATAAATGTAATGTAAAGTACATTGGAGAAATGAGGTTTTACTTCACATGGCCTGTAAGTGATGCTGAGCTGATTGTTATCACTCAGGAATGAAAGGATGGAGTTAAGAGAGCTGTGAGCTCTGTGCTCCCAGAAGCAAAAAGCCCTCACCAAACCCAAAGCCCCTCTGAAACCGGATATGAGGGTTTATTAGGAAAAGAAGGGAGAACAAAACAGAAAAATACCCATCTTGCTCTATGAATACCTTCTAAATAAATCTTGAATGTGCAGCATTACCACCACCCCCTCTGCTGCACCTCAAAGGCTGGAGGAGAACGGGAAATGGTGCAGAGCCAGCAACAATAAAAGGAACCAGATAATAAAGATTGCATCACTCGGTGCAGATAACGATTGCAAGGAAAATCAAAAGGCTGCTTCTGTCTGAGGAATTATTGAAGAGGCTAAAGCTCTTCAACCTGAAAAAAAGACAGCACAGGGGTGCTGAGGGCTTGGAATCCTGAGTGGTGCAGAGAAGCTGGTGCCAGCAGGATTGTTCCCTGGTTTTGCACTGGACAAATGTTTCAGCAACTGAAAAGTTCAGGCAGCACATCAAAGGATGTACTTTTATACAGAAAGCTCAGCTGAACTGTGGATTTCCTGCCCACGGGATGCTGTAGGTGCCAAAAGTTGGGTTGATATCCACAGCGGCTTACACTCGGTCATGGAGTCAAAAACCATCAGTGGCTGTTAAGCACAGGGATTTGAGCTCTGGGTCAGAAGGTCCTGAAGTCTGCAGCTGTGGGAAGCTGTGTCCAGAGCTGTGCTTCTGTGTGCAGCATTCCCAGGACAAGGGCTGCTGTCAGCTGCAGGAGAGCTGGGCCTGGGGTGGGGGTTTCAGAGGGGAACCCAATAACTTCTTGGCTTAGGAGATCCTGGCTGTTTATCAGGAAATCCTGGCTGTTTATCAGGAAATCTTGGCTGTTTATCAGGAAATCTTGGCTGTTTATCAGGGGGAATGGAGGTACAAGAGGGTGGAAAGAGAGCTGTTTGATCTGAAGTGTCTGCAGGACAACCAACACCATAGAAACAGCAGTGAGTTCGTGTTGGGAATGTGAAGGTGGCTCTGAACCTCAGGAGGCAGCTGGAATTCTGCTAGAGACAGGACTGGGTCAGATTCACATTCCATGATTGTGCAAATGATCAATTTGACTTGGGAATTTGCAGGTTGGGGGTCTCGCCTCTGAAAATGTGAGATGGGCTGAGGCTGTGAAGGACTTCAAACAGCAGCAGAGCACCTTGTGTGGAGATGTCCTGCTGGTCACAGCCTTTGTGTCCTACCTGGGCTACTTCACCAGGAAATACCGCCAGGACCTCCTGGATGGCATCTGGAGGCCCTATTTGCACCAGCTAGAAGTAAGTCCTGACTGCTCTGAGAAGCCATGGTTTCTGGGATTAATGTGGCCACAAATCCTGGTCCCCTCAGGGGATCTCTCAGGTGAGGGACATCACTGTGTCCTCACCAAGCTGGAGGGAGGATCAGGATGTGGCCATGTACTCCTCCCTGGGGAAAATGTGGTGTCCTTGCTCGATGAAGTTCCTCCATGTGCACAGGAAAATGCCAAACACAGAGCCCAGCTCTGCAGTTTTGTCCATGGCCGTGAAGGAGGGGGGATATCGAGAAGGAATTGGAGCAGGCAGAGCTCACTGCCAGATCTCCAGGAGGCTTGGAAAAACTCCAGGTGTTTTTTCATTCTGGACAGGAGCTCTGGTCGTGCTGGCCATGCCTCTCAGCTGGTTTTACCCATGTCTTGCTGTTAGGACCAGATGGAGATCATTGTGCTTGAAACTTGTTTAATATTTCACTAATTTTAACAGGTTTCTCATACAAATGGTGCCAAGAAGATTTTAAATAAGGTCCCAGAGATGCCCAAATCAAAGGGCTGACCAAAGCAGACAGTTCCTTAGGCTGAGAGAGGAAAAACTTCATTCTGCATTTCTTAACACTGAGCCAGAAACTTAGTTAAGATGTGATTTCAAAAATGACCTGACTGTGCTTAGAAATGTCAAAGAAGTGCCTGTAATTCCAATGAAATGGAAATGAAAGGCCCATTCTGCTCAGACACCTGGCACAGGTAGCTCTGGTTGGCACACCCAGAAATGGCCTCCCCTATCAGAGAAGTGTTTCTGGAGCTGCTGATGCTGGTTTGTAACACAACAGCAGCCTTAGGAGGGCATTAATTCCATCCTTCCAAGCTGGCTCAGGGAGCTGAACAGGGCAGGGAGTGACCCCAGCCAGTGGGGCTGGGCTGTGGGGGGCAAAACCCCTGGGATTGTTTGTACAACAGGGTTGGGAAACAAAACCAGACTGCTAACATCCTTTATAAGGGGAAACCACTGATAAATCATGGAATCACAGAATACTTTGTGGTGGAAGGCACCTTAAAATCATCTTTCCAACCCCCTTGCCAAGGGCAGGAACACCTTCCTCTAGCCCCCATCCAACCTGGCCTTGATCACTCTGAGCACCCTTTATGGTCACTGAACATCTCCTTCCAGGGAGCCAGGGGCAGCCACAGCCTCTCTGGGCACCTTGTGCCAGGGCCTGCCCACCCTCACGGCCAAGAATTCCTTCCCAATATCCCATCAAACTCACCTTCTGTCCTGTCCCTCCATCCCTTGTCCCCAGTCCCTCTCCAGCTCTCCTTCAGGCCCCTTTAGGTCCTGGAATGTGTTCTGAGGTTTCCCTGGAGCATTCTCTTCTCCAGGTGAGCACTCCCAGCTCTCCCAACCTGTCTCCAGCCCTGGAGCATCTCCATGGCCTCCTCTGGGCTCTCTCCAGCAGCTCCAGCTCCTCCCTGAGCTGTTCCCCAGGGCTAGGGCAGCTCTGCAGGTGAGGTCTGACCTGAGCACAGGGCAGAGCAGCAAAATCCCCTCCACACCTCCTTATCCCACCGCTGCTGACACGGATAAACACAACTTAACCACTTTTTACCTCAGCCAGCTTTCCCTGGGATCTCCAGGAAGCCTTTCTGTCTGCCCGGCAGGTGCCGATCCCGGTGACGCCGCGGCTGGAGCCGCTGTCGGTGCTGGCGGACGAGGCGGCCGTGGCGGCCTGGCGGAACCAGGGCCTGCCGGCCGACTGCACGTCCAGCGAGAACGCCGCCATCCTGAGCAGCTGCCAGCGCTGGCCCCTCCTGGTGGACCCCCAGCTGCAGGGCAGCAAGTGGATCAAAAGCACCCATGGAGAAGGGCTCCGCGTGATCCCAGCGGGGCAGAAAGGGTAACGTCGTCCTTCTCTGGAAGGAGGGGCTGCTGGCGTTGTTGAGAATGGGGCGGTCGTGGCTGTGGAGGTGAGCTGGATGAGGGGGCGGCCTGCTGTGGGGCTGGCTGTGAAGCTCACACCCACAGCTAGAGGACAAATGATCAGGTTTGTTGTTTTGGTTGGGATGAGGGCTGGCAGCAATGGTGTTGGCAGCTGGTTGGGGGTCTGATGGCTCAACCTGGACCCACAACCTTCCCAGAGAGAGGTCTCACAGGAGACAGCTTTCTAGGGGTCTCAGGCCGTCCTTCAGCCACCAGGTAACCTCAGCAAGTGGCAGAGAGCTCAGCTCTGAGCAGTGATTTCAGTTCTGCCATGCAAGGTGTACCCTGGCCACCAGGGACAAAGAGACAGGAACACCATGTAGTTGCTCCACAGAGTTCCTTTATTCCAGCATCCTGCAAAGGATGACAGCAGCTCCCTTCTGAACAGGGCAGAAACAGGGGGTTTTATGGGGAAAAATGTGGGTGGTACAAATGGGAAAAAACAATCAGTCCCAACAAACCTACATGGGGTTCCAAAGCATGCTGAGAACTCACCATGGCCAAGGAGGATTTCTCAGTCCAGGAGGGTTTGAGAAGATCTTACCATCGCCCATTCAAGGGATGCCTCTCTACGCCTATCTGTCTCCACATTGGGGTGCCTTCTGGGAGCCTCAGAGGTGGCCAAGGGAGGCAGGAGATTGGTTTTGCAGGCCTGTGAGACGTGTGGCAAGTCACAGGGGGAAGGCCAAGGCTGGGTTTATGGGTACTTGGGTGGTTGGAGGAAATGTGTATGGTACTAGGCTTAATAGGTTGATTGGTAGGAGGAGTGCCCACGTAAGGGAGCATGAGATGTGCCTGCCCAGGGTGTTGGGTGAGCGCTGGGCACTCAGCTGCACTGAGCCAGTCACACTGAGGGAAACCTGCCGCTGTATCTGCTCACATTATCTGCTTGTTCATTACCAAAATGACAGATCTCTTATTAAATCAAGGGTCTGTTTAGTGCTTGGCTCTGTTGCCATAGAAACTCCTCTGAAGCTGGTGATGGAGTGAGCTGAGGCTGAGTATCACGGAATCCCAGACTGGCTTGGGTTGGAAGAGACCTTAGAGACCATCCAGTTCCCCTCGTGCCCTGGGCAGGGACACCTCCCACTATCCCAGGGAGCTCCAAGTCCTGTCCAGCCTGGCCTGGGAAACTTCTAGGGATCCAGGGGCAGCCACAGCTGCTCTGGACAACAGGCTTGTGTAGACCTGTGACATCCTCCATGGGGGTCGCTGCAGGTGTCATGTGTGGTTTAGCTTTTGTATTGGATACAGCCCAGGGCATGGTTGGATTTCTGGGCTGGGTTAAACTTGGCTTCAGAGAATGTTGGAATTTCTTGGGGTCCCTGTGAGCTTGAGACTGCATGTCAGCAGTGCTGAGCAGGAGGATGCTGGGTTTTCCTGGCTGGTGTCACCTCCTGGGAATGGCAGCCACCACTCTGCACACCTGGCTTCACCTGCAAACTCAGTGCAGCTGCAGGGCTGGCCTGCTCAGAGCCAACATTTTGGGTAATTTTAGCTATGACCAGTGAAAAGCTCGAGGCTGAAAGGCTTTTCCTCCCTGCAGCTCCAATTTTAGGCAGAATTCAGCCTCTGGCCCAAGCCAGGAGAGTTCATGGTTGGACTGGTTGTGCCACTGCTGGAAAATCTGAGCCTCCTTAAACAGGATCCAAAACTCAGGAGAGACTCTCTGGGTTTTTACCTTAAATCAGAATTGATTGAAGTGTGCCCAGTATGAATTAAATCATTATTTCTGTGAGGAGTGCCAAGTATCTGGTGCTGCCACTGCCTGAGACCACCACGTGTGCTGTGGTGACAGCTCCTGGCTGATGCTCCTTCTGCTGAAACTCCAGGTACATCAAGATTGGGGACAAGGAGTGCGCCTTGCACCCTGCCTTCCGCCTGATCCTGCACACCAAGCTGGCAAACCCCCACTACCAGCCCGAGCTGCAGGCCCAGTGCACCCTCATCAACTTCTCTGTCACCCGCGACGGCCTCGAGGAGCAGCTGCTGGCGAGCGTGGTGCGCCTGGAGAGACCCGACCTGGAGGAGCTGAAGGTCAGCACCTGGGGATTGTCACTGGGAGCACGTAGAAATCATCAGCAGCAGCATTATTGTACTTGTCATTTAATAATTGTAATTATAATTATTGATATTGTTATTAGTATTCTTGTTATTGGTCTATGCTGAGAGACCCGACCTGGAGGAGCTGAAGGTCAGCACCTGGGGATTGTCACTGGGAGCAAGAACAAATCATCAGGAGCATCATTATTGTACTTGTAATTTAATAATTATTATTATAATTATTGATATTGTTATTAGTATTCTTGTTATTGGTCTATGCTGAGAGACCCGACCTGGAGGAGCTGAAGGTCAGCACCTGGGGATTGTCACTGGGAGCACGTAGAAATCATCATCAGCATCATTATTATACTTGTAATTTAATAATTGTAATTATAATTATTGATATTGTTATTGATATTGTTATTAGTATTGTTGTTATTGGTCTATACTGAGAGACCTGACCTCGAGGAGCTGAGGGTCAGCACCTGGGAATTGTCACTGGGAGCAAGCACAAATCATCAGCAGCATCATTATTACCCTTATAATTTAATTATACTTGTTGTAATTATTGATATTGTTATTGGTATTGTTACTAGTATTGTTGTTATTGTTATTGATCTACACTGAGAGGCCTGACCTGGAGGAGCTGAAGGTCAGCACTTGGGCATTTACATTGGAGCAAGTGTTACAATCATCATTATCATAATTCTTTTTTTATTTTAGTTTTTATTTCTATTATTGGTATTTTTTAATTTTTATTTTATTTTTAACAAACAGCATTTCACATGCCAGCTTGCAGATATTGCTGAGCTCCTCACAAAATCAGACTTCCCTTGTATAACAAGCATTGAGAGTTTTGTTTTTTTTCCTTCAGCCTTCTCTTTTCTTGGTGTTTTGATAACCCTTGTACTTCATTTTCAAGGTTTTTCTCAAAAAAATTCCCTTTATTTTCCTCCTCCTCTTGTGACTGAAAGCTGAGTTTCTCATTACTTCAGTTTTTTTCTGGACTTCACAGATTTAATTTTGGAAGCAGGATTAATCTCGCTCAATTTTCAGCATTTGTGGTAAAGGATCCTCTCTGTAAATATTGTGAGGCTGGCAATGATATTTTTCTCTTCTGGTTCTTCCTCCCACTTTGTAACAGGCCAAAATATTTTCTCTCTCTCTTAATAAGTATGGCTTTAATTTCAAAGCAGTTTTATAAAGAAAATCCTCCCTTCTGACGACATCTTTAGCAGTGTAACAAATATGAATAATCCTAAATATTTTCTAAGAGTGGGAATAAATTTACTGCACGTGCTCATTCATGTTCTGCCTGGCCCGGGCTGGAAGTGCCTCTCTCTTCCCAGTTGTAGCCCAGTAAGCCACTGGTGCCAGTAGGACCTCGAGGGCAGAACACAAATGGGAGCAGGACAGGAGAGGCCGTGGCTCTGCCCTCACTTGTGAGCCTGAGATCTCCTCATGCTCACACTGGTACCCCCAGGACTTCACTGCTGGTTTTGGCATCAGGTTTTAACCCCGTGTTCCCCACAGCTGGTGGGACTGCTGTGGGAGTGCTGAGAGCAGAGGGTCAGCAGGAGGGGTGAGCAGCAGCTGGGGCTCTCCAGGCTGCCTTGACCCCAAGAAATGAGACACAAAGCCACAGGATATGTGTTTGAGATGGGGATAAAGGTCTTTTATTCCTGATTAATTTCCAGCGTTTTCCTACATTTCTAGCAACAGGGATCGGTTCTCCTGGCGCTTTCTGTGCTGTTCCATGTGCTTTCTGTGCTGTTCCAGGTGCTTTCTGTGCTGTTCCATGTGCTTTCTGTGCTGTTCCAGGTGCTTTCTGTGCTGTTCCAGGCGCTTTCTGTGCTGTTCCAGGTACTTTCTGTGCTGTTCCAGGTGCTTTCTGTGCTGTTCCAGGTGCTTTCTGTGCTGTTCCATGCGCTTTCTGTGCTGTTCCAGGTTTCTCTGAGCTGCTAGCTTGTTGGGTAAGGAGTGATCCCAGATCCCAGAACTCTGTCCATTCCCAGGAGAGCAGGAATCAGCACTGCTGGGCTATGGCAATTGTCAGCGGGAAGTCTGTTCCCGTGTGAAGGTGATTCATCCTTACTTTAACTCATGCTTTATGGCTAAAGCTTCCTGGATTTATTATTTGCAGTCAGATCTCACAAAGCAACAGAATGGATTCAAGATCACCTTGAAAACTTTGGAGGACAACTTGCTCTCTCGGCTGTCATCAGCATCTGGGAATTTCCTGGGAGACACAGCGTTGGTGGAGAACCTGGAGAGCACTAAGAGGACAGCTGCAGAGATTGTGGAGAAGGTACAAGGGTGGTCATAGCCTGGAGAAAAGCATGTCTGTGGTCCTTTAAGGATTTCTGGGTGGATTGTAACCTCTGCTCTGCCCATCTCTGCTCCGTCTGCTGAGCAGGGAGTAGAAATTGGTATAAATTGTAAATGCTCTCCATTCTGGAGAGCTCCAGGCCATTTAGTTCTTTGGAGCTTTTTTTGTGTTAAATGACCTATTTAAGACCAAGAGAAAACATCGGTGCCTGATGTGAAGACAATAAAATTTACACACTGTATCAAGGCAGCTTAAAGCTGTTCCAGCATAATCCTGGGTACATCACATTGCCTCAGTTAGGCTGGGTTTTACTACTGACCAGGGGCTGCAGTCTGGGGAGTTTGTGATCTCGAGTAAATCTAAAAGAATTCAGGTATTTCATACCCTTCCATTCCTCAGAGTATAAATCAGCATTTGTGTGAGCACTGCCACCTGCCCAGCTGCCCTTGCTGGCTGCATGGGCTTAGGTAAATGCCCAGAGGCTTTTCCTTGCCACTGAGGGAACTTGGGAAGTGTGATTCCCATGCCAGGACTGTCCCAGGACTGTGGTGGGGATGTTCAGGTGTTTCTCTCTGCAGTCCCCCATCTCCAGAGCACTTGCCCTCCTCCAGCCACTGGCCCATGTTCTGCCTGGCCCAGGCTGGAACTGCTCTCTCCTCCCTGTCAGTGACCAAGACACTTGAGTGATCCTCTCTCCATTAAAAATAAGAATTATTTTGCATTTGTGGTGCATCAGGTGCATTCAGCTCCCTGGGGAGGGATTTCTTGAACCCCCAGAAGAGGTGTTGAAGGGATTTTTTGATGTGGAAAGCTTGGCATCTCCCCCTTGAAGTCAGTGTTTTGGAAGCGCTTCACCCTCCAAACCAGCTGTGCTGTACAGCTGCTCACTGCCAGCAGTGCCAGCAAGGCATGAATTTAGAGTTTACACCTGAATTTATGAGTTTGTGCCCACCTGGAATGCTGTGGAAGAGCCCTGTTAGAGTTTCAAGTCAAGCCTCACTCTCCTTTTGGTCTGCCTAGCCAAATAAAGGTGTGCAGCCAACATTTTCCTTGCTTTGGAAGTTCTCCCTGCTCTACAGATGAAGAGCATCTGTCTGGCCCAGCTCTGGCTCTGAGTTTGGCAGAGCTGCTCCTGAGCCCAGCACTGCTCGTGGGGATGTGCAAACAGGCTCATCCCACAGACCCCACAGCAGACTGAGGCTCATCCTGTGCTTCCTTGGGGTGCCCTGCTGGCTTGCTCTGCCCCAGGAAGCCTAGGAAGGGCTGCAGAGGGACTTCTTGCAGTGGTAGGACAAGGGGAAGGGCTTCAAGCTGAAAATAGGCAGATGTAGATCAGATATTAGGAAGAAATTCTTGGCCGTGAGGGTGGGGAGACCCTGGCACAGATTGCCCAGAGAAGCTGTGGCTTCCCCATCCCTGGAAGTGTCCAAGGCCAGGTTGGACAGGGCTGGGGGCAGCCTGGGATGGTGGAAGGTGTCCCTGAGTGGAATGAGAAGAGCTTTAAGGTCCCTTCCAACCCCATCCATTCTGGAATTCTGTGATCCCATTGCACAGTTTGCAGGGCTGGCTGGGTCAGCGCTGTCCCAGCAGCTCCTGATTATGGGGTTAGAACTGCCTGTCCTCAGCCTGGGACTAAAATAAACCCCAGGAGGTTCAGGGATGGCACTTCTTGCTGCTGAGGTGGAATGAAAAGGCAAACAGGACCGAGGTGATGGTTCTGCCAAGAAGGTTTCCACATGTCCCTCAGAGCAGCTGCAGAGCCCTGCCCAGGGGGGTTTGGTGCTGCTGAGGAAAGGCAGCAAAGAGCTGCTCTAAATTATCAGCTCTCACCCCTGGGGAAGCTGCCTGAGAGCAGCACTGGGGCTGCTCAGCCCAGGGTTGCTAATGGCCTGCACAGGAGGGAGGCAATTAGCACGAGGAACTCATTGATGAGAAAATGAATTCCAGCCAGCAAAGAGCAGGGAACCTAGGGAGAAGTCTGGAGGGGACTCAGGAAACAGGGGATTGGGCAACTGGGTGGAAAATGCAGTTAAATGGAAGGTTCCAGAGGGAGAGGATGCTGGGGAGGGCAGCTCCAGCCTGGCAGGGCTGGTCCTGTGGTGGTCACTTGTGGCTTGCCCTAATGGCTTTGTGGCCAGTGTCTGTTGTTGCAACAGGTCCCCAGATGGGTAATAATTAGTATAGACTCCATGTATTACAGGAGAATGATTAATTCTCTTTATTAAGAAACCCATTGCTCTTTTTTATACCTTAGCTACAGGCGGAATTGATTGGTCCTTTAGTTAAAACACCATTACCGCTGGTTAATTAAGAAACCACCCTTTGGTAAACAAATTTTCATAACGCATTGCACATGTGCACAATATCAGGTGAAGTAAGTTAAGGTAAGAATTGTCTCTCATTCTTTCCTCTGATCTTTTCACGATGCCTGGGAAAGTTGTGTTCCTCTCTGTGGCAGAGAGCTGCAGCCACAAGTGTGGCAGGGCTGTGGGCACTGCCCAGGGGGGTTGTGACAGGAATTGTGCTGTGTTTCCCTGCAGGTGCAGGAGTTTAAGGTGACAGAAGGCAGGATTAACGAGGCCAGGGAGCAGTACAGGCCCGCGGCCTGCCGCGCCGCCATGCTCTACTTCACCATGAGCGAGCTGCACGCCGTGCACCCCATGTACCAGTTCTCCCTGAAGGTACCTGCCCTCCTGCCCTCTGCTTGTGGGGTCCATGAAACCAGAATTCAGTTCTCCCTGAAGGTACCTGCCCTCCTGCCCTCTGCTTGTGGGGTCCATGAAACCAGAATTCAGTTCTCCCTGAAGGTACCTGCCCTCCTGCCCTCTGCTTGTGGGGTCCATGAAATCAGAATTGCAGTCACAGTCTCACAGAACCACACAAGGTTGGGGTTGGAAGGGGTTTAAAGCCCATCCTGTTCAACCCCTTCCTGTTCCACACCTTCCACCATCCCAGGTTGCTCCAAACCCTGTCTAGAAAAAGTTGCAGCTTTAATATTCTATGCAAGGGCAAACTTTTTGTTGTGTAAGAAAGGTATTTTGGGGGATGGAGGGTTAAATGAGCATCGTGGTCTACAGCTTCTTCCAAGCAATTTCTTACCTTGACAAGTGACCTGGAAAAAGGAATTGAGGAGACACTACAAAACGTTGAGCCTCATCCACAAAGAAGCTTTTCCTTTTGATAGCTACGACTCGTTTGTTGAAGTAATTTTATCAGAAAAAATGTACAGAATATCTTTTGTGGCTTTTGAAAGATTCATCCTTCTCACGTACATAATAGATACAGGGGTTCCTGAGGTTTCACCTTTAATCTGTGTCTCCTGCAGTTAGTTTGTTTTATGTTTTCCAGTGAACATTAGCAGCGTGTATAAATACATGGAAAATTATTGGGGGAAATGTTTTTATCTAATAAATTTTGATGACAGATCATAAAACATTGTGTAAAGATGCACAGGGATGATTTCAGAATACTTGCCACACAGCTGGGAGCCCATTATAAATTAGAACACAAAGATTTATGTGCTGCTCTGCAGCGTGTTTTAACACAATTTAAAGAAACGTTAAGCAGGAAAATGCATTCTGCAATTATTTAATAATGCATTCAGTATCAGTGTTACTTTAATTTGTTGAGGCATCATTTTTCCTTTGTAGAACCCTAAAAATAAGGCTGCCAGCACGGTCATGCCTTGTCCAGTTGGTGCCATCAGTGTGTATTGGCCTGGTTATTTCCTTTAGCTGGGCCCAGCACACAGAGCTTTGCAATGCTAAGCAGGGCTTGGGGTTTATGCTCTTGTTAATTTTCTTTTTCCAGTTGCATTTGATAATTTGCTCGTGCTTTTAATTTGGACGACTCTAAAAGTTGTTTGTCTTTTCTCATTTAGATCAGAAATGTTGTTGCAATAATCCTTAACCTCTTATATAAGAGGGTTATTCTCAATGCAGACACCCACTCTTGAAAGGACTTCAATGACTGCTTCAGCTCACTGCTCCCTCCCTCCTCAGCCAGTCCTTTGCTGGATCCAGACAGTAAAACACTCATGGGACTTAAAAAAATAATATTTTTACTTTTATTTTGAGGAATTGCTCTTCTCTGAGTTGAAATATTTGTGCAGTGGGAGATGTGCTTTCCTCCTTTGCTCTACTCTGCTGAGACCCCACCAGGAGCAGTGTCCAGCTCTGGGGTCCTCAGCACGGGAAAGGTGTGGACATGGTTGAGCAAGTCCAGAAGAGGCAATGGATATGATCCAAGAGCCCCTTCATGGGGCCAGCTGGGAGAGCTGGAGAAAACCCTATGGAGACCTCAGAGCCCCTTCCAGGGCCCAAAGGGGCTCCAAGAGAGCAGGAGAAGGGCTGGAGACAAGGGATGTGGAAAGACACGACACACAGAATGGCTTCCACTGCCAGAGGGCAGGGCTGGATGGGATATTGGGAATTAGGAATTGTTCCCTGGTAGGGTGGGCAGGGGCTGGGATGGAATTCCTAGAGCAGCTGTGGCTGCTCCTGGATCCCTGGAAGTGTTTGAGACCAGGTTGGACAGGGCTTGGAGCAGCCTGGGACAGTGGAAGGTGTCCACGGCAGGGGTGGCACTGGATGTGTTTGTGTTGGAGTTTTTTCCCATGGAGTTTTTCCCCTGTTTCCTCTGGGAACTCCACTCTGCTGGCTCCACATTTGCAGAGGAAGCAGCTGTGTCATCCCAACACTCTGAGAGGAGCACTCTGGGCACAGAAACATCTCCTGTGCCCTTGTGTCTGTGTCCCAGGGGATGTCACCACTGCCAGGTGTCCCTGAGCAGCAGCCACAGGCAGATCCAGGGGCTGCTTGGTCTCTGTGTGTTCCCAGCGGGGCAGGACCTGAGCTGGCATCACTGTGACACCTCAGGGGCACCCAGGGCTGAGCAAAGGCATCTCTCACTGCCCCTTCCCACTGTGTCTCCCCTCCCAGGCATTCCACGTGGTGTTCCAGAAGGCCATGGAGAGGGCAGCTCCTGCTGAGAGCCTGGCAGGGCGGGTGCTGAGCCTCACGGACAGCATCACCTTCTCCGTGTTCCAGTACACGGCCCGGGGGCTCTTCGAGAGGGACAAGCTGACCTTCAGTGCCCAGCTCACCTTCCAGGTACCAGCAGCACCCCTGGCACCCTGTGTGCCAGGCTTCACTGCCAGAGCAGCCCGTGCTGGGGGCTCGATTGTCTTCCTGCCTCCCTGGGAGCCATGGAATCATTCAGGCTGGGAAAGCCCTCCCAGACCACTGAGTCCACCCTGATCCCCACCTTGTCCTCAGCCCTTCCTTGGGCACCTCCAGGGATGGGCACCCTGAATCTCCCTGGGCATTTCCAAGGTCTGAGCCCCCTTTCCATGGGGAAATTCCTGACCTGCCCTGGCCCAGCCTGAGGCCGTTTCCTCTGTTCCTGTCCCTGTTCCCTGGAGCACAGCCCGACCCCCCCGGCTGTCCCCTCCTGGCAGGAGCTGTGCAGAGCCACAAGGTCCCCCCTGAGCCTCCTTTTCTTCAGGCTGAGCCCCTTCCCAGCTCCCTCAGCTGCTCCTCACAGGATTTATTCCTGACAATTCCAGCAGGGATGCTGTGTTGGATTTGAATTACGCTGACAAAGGTTATTTGAGAAATTCCTGCTTGCAGGACCTGCAGAAAATGGCAAAGCAAACTGGCCTGGAAGGGCTCTTGCACTGAACCTAAAGAAGTACCTGCTGCAGAGCTGCTGTCCCATGTCCACAGTGTTTATGTAATTTTTATTTTTTTGTCCAGTCTGCCTCTGCTGCCAGGGCCTTCTCCTCAGGGTGCTCTCCACCCACCTGGAACTCAGCCTTTTCCACATGGTTTTCCCAGCTTTTTTCCTCTTGCCAATCTCTGCACTCACTCCTGATCCTCTTTTGGGACACCCAGAGCACCTACATGGTGTGTCCATCACACCTCTCCAGCATGGGGCACTCTGCACATTTTTCAAGCACATTAATTGAATAATTAATCTGCTGGAGTTCGTTGTTGCTCTGGATCCTGGCTGCTCTAGGATATCTTGTTTGTTTGGAATTGCAGATACTTCTGAGGAATAAAGACATCGACCCAGCAGAACTGGATTTCCTGCTCAGATACCCAGCACAGCCCGGAGTCACGAGCCCTGTGGAGTTCCTGTCTGACCATGCCTGGGGAGGAATCAAGGTACCTGATCCATGGGAAATCAGCTCCTTTTATCTCCTCTAAAAACCCTTCAGAGGGTCCTTGTGTAATTTTGGTGAACAAAAGGTTATTTTGCCTTTGAGGGGCAACACAAAGAGGCCACAGACACGGAGAGTTCTGCAGGTCCAACACTGATTTTGAGATCTCTTCCTGTGCCCTCATGTGTGTCCCCAGGAAGATGGTTCTTCCCTCTGGGATTTAGGCTTCTCCCTGTTAGACAAGACTGAGAATACCCTCAGGGGTTTGTGGCTGTGGTTTGTAAAGGACATGGAGATGCCCCTGTGTTTGGGAATAATTGGGAATTTCTGCAGGGATGTGCTGGGGTTGGAGCTGTGACAGCTGCTAGACCTTCAGGGAAATTCTGCCAGGGAAACAGGCAGGTCTGGCACCTGCCACATGTTTGGAGAGAGAAGAGAGGAAAAGCACCCCCAAAAGATGAGAATTATCCCATACTTGCTCCTCTTTGTCAACAAATGTGAATTGTGCTGGGTTTCAACCTGAATTATCAGGGTGGGGTTTGTTTTCTGAAAAGGATCCAAATATTCTCCACCTTGGTCCTGTTCATTCCCACCTTGCTGCAGCTGGGGTTGTGTCTCCTGTCTGACTGTGGTGCTGGTCAGTCTCTGGCACCTGTGGTGACGTAAGAATGAATTTTATTTACAGCATGTTTTCTCTGTGGGGCTTGAGGACACGGCTTAGTGCTGGGTTCATGGTTGGAGGTGGTGACCTTGGAGGTCTTTTCCAAGGTCTTTTCAATCACTTTTATGATTCTTTGGGTCTGTGTGACTCCTGTCTTTCCCCAGGATGCCTGCAGGTGCTACATTCCCCAGACAAACACCTGCCGGGTTTGCAGTGAGTTTTCTTTGTGAGGTCACCCCTGCTGTGCTGCCAGTCCCCCTCCATGTGGCTGAAATGGCCTTTCCTGTCCCCTCTGTGGTTCCCTTCAAGATGAGCCCTTCCCACTCAGCCTCCTCTTCCTCACCGAGGAAGGTTTGTGGTTGAGGTGGAATCTGTGGTGCCCACAAATGCTGCTGTGCATGGGCAGGTTTCCAGGTGTGCTGCACACCTCAGGTGTCCTCAGCCTGCACCCCACGGCCCCAGGAACTGCACAAGAGTCACTGCCCGGTAATCTGCACCAATTTTATGAATTTCAGGACTTTCTGATAGTGAATTTTGCATTATCAGATACTGAATACCCTTCAGATTGTCTTTTGTGATGACTGTACTATTGATATTGCTATAAATAATATGGTTGGTGTCAACTTGTATTAGTGTTTGTGTTGATGTCTGATGGTTTATTAACCTCGGAGGTTTTGGCAATTCTAGTTACTTGACGCATGGGTTTAGTAAAATCATATTTTGTCACAGACTGCTATAATTAGGTTAATTAGTCATGGATTCTACACAGTTTATTAGCAGGCTAAAATCTCCTTTTTTATATCAAGAAGATTAAATGCTATAATAAATTGTTTCTTCAACAAAGCTTGAACAAAGTACACTTCAGATTTATATTTCAAATTCAAAGTGAAATTTAGCATTCTGCTGATTTTTCACAGAAACATTCTCCAGCCCAAAGGACTCCTTTTGCCAGGGGGTTCTGGCCAAGATAGTGCCAAAAGAAATCAATATTGATATTTGTGGCCCGTTCTGAGCCTCCCACTTTGGGCACATTAACTTCCAAGGAAACCTCATTAAATAGTGAGGGCTCTGGGCATGCAACTGGCCTTGTGTGACTTGACTTATTATTTATTGTTGGGGGTTGATTAATAATATATAGAGGCCAATAATCCTTTGCAGTTGCTTGGCTGTTTGCAGCTTGTGATGCTGGAGCATCTCGTCTAGGAAACACTCATTTATGATTTAGTTTTCCAGCTTCTTTCAAGTTCAGCACAGAGTTTCACAGAGCCTTTTGCTGTAACCTGTGGGAAGTTTGGTATTCACCCCTGGATGAAGAAAACCTGGCCAGGAGGAGATGGTTTGTAGGGAAAGGTAATAGCTTTAATTATATCTGCTGAGAGGTGTGGGAAAATAGGCACATTTCAGGCTCTTTGGTGCTTCTTTAAAGCTGAAACAGGAATTGAATTCAAGCTAAAGGCTGAGAAGAGCTGCTCTGAGCTTGGCTTGGCTCTGTTCATCAGTCAGATGTGTGGGAGGGAATGGCACCTGTGGAGGAGCTTTGCCTGGCTCTGGAGCAGGGGAGATGTTAGCAAAGGGCACAGTCATTGCCTCGGTGCCAGCCCTGCCTCTGGGTTACTGAGCGTTAGCTGAGAGCAGGAAGGGCACAGAGTTTTGTCATTTAATTAAAGCAGTGCCTTTGCTGAGTCCCTGACTTTGGTTCTCAGTGGAGTTGGTCATTTCAGTCCTAAGGCCTCTCATTTGCAGGGGCTTAGCAGTGATCCCTCGAGAAGGCAAAAGTGTTCTTTTGTTCCTGTAATGAGGTTTTCTGTCTCTTTTCAATTTCCTTTATTGCAGCCTGTTGTGCTGTTCTCCCCCTCTGTGTTCCCAGAGTCTGCCTTGAAAGTTTTTATTTCCGTTGGTACTTGTGGAAACATTTTCTGTGTCCATGCACAGCTGGCCATGTCTCCTGGCTTGGCTGGTGGTTTCCTCACCAGTGAACGTGTGGACACACCTTCGAGCACAGTGCTGCTGTGGCCACAGCCAGGTGCAAATGCCACTTGGGAGTTCTCACTGTATGATTGAGTGAACACAGAATCCATGCAGAGACTGTCCTCTGGAGGGTGAGTATTCTCTGAATTCATCTCTGAGTTGATGCTCTGTGGTCCTTTGGATCTTGTGTGAAGGCAGGCTGCCCTGTTGAGCTGTTCTTGGTCAAACAGCTCCTGCCATGGCTCTTTGAGCATGATGTTGAAGTGATATCATTTGGTTTTAAGGTTGCTTGGTCTTTCAGACTGTACCCAGAGTCAGCAGTAAGATGAGCCAGCAGTTGTTTGCTGCCCTGGCAGCACCTGACTGCACACAGTGAAACTCCCTGAGCTCCCAAACCAGAGCCACCTCCCCTCCCTGGGCAGCCCTGCAGGCTCCTGCCCTGGGTCATGCCCAGCTGTTTCCTGAGAGCAGCAGAGCTCACCCAAGCCAAAGCTGAGCCAGCAGGACACTTGCAAATTGTGTGGCTCACCCTGAGCTGTGCCTGGCCACCTTCTGGAGGCACAGAGTGAGGAGCAGATCAGCAGGGAGGGAGCAGCACCTTTCCTCACTCTGCTGGGCCCTGAGACCCACAGGCAGAAGCTCCTTCAGCCCACGTGTGACCCAGCCTTACTCTGCAGGTCTGGGTGTGGGTTTAGGCCTGAGTTTAGACCCTCTGCCCATCCTCACACAGGGCATGGTCCCACCTTCTGCCCACACCAGGCTGGTGTTCCAGGGGTGCAGCAGAGCCTGGGTGTGTCACAGACCACCCGAGTGTCCCCAGGGCCAGCTGGGCTCTTCTCCGGCTTCCCCACTGCTGATGGAGCCACTGGCTGTGCCCTCATGGTCTTCAAAACCAAAACTTTTTGGTTTTGGCCCAAACCAGGAGGTGAGGGCTGTTCTGATGTTGTTCCCTGGGACTCCAGGATGCCAGGTTCTCCCAGCTCCAGCTCCTCCACCTTACCCTGTGGCTCCCCGTGGGGCACGTGGCTGTCCCCGTGTCCGGCTGTTCCCAGGAGCCTGGGCTGGCTCCTGGGAGCTGGAAATGTGCATTTCCCCAGCCTGATTTCCTTTGTGATATTTCCTGCAGTGCCTCTTCAGTGCTGAATGCAGATGTGTCCCACGGGATAAGTGCAGCGAGTTAGTGCACAGCAGGAGTACACCTGGCCAGCCTGGATTACTTCTTATCCCAATCATCTCCCTCATCTTTTTCTGAAGAGGAAGAATTTTCATTATGTAGATATGAAAACGCCACTGAAAGGGCATTGTTTAATAAATGTGATGTTGAATAATGAGCTCTAAATACTGAATTCAGCTTTCGAGGAGGAGAACAGCCCTAGACAAAGTCGTATATTAACTCCATATTTATAATTTTGCAGAATGCAGATGATAAGATTGCGTATGTGGCTTATGAGATAAAATACCAAATCATATATTTTGCATTTAAGAAAAGTGGAATTTTTTTTGGACAAAAGAACAAAAATCTCACTTCCAGCTTTCACTTCTTGCACTTTTTAGATGAGGAAATTTTTTATTCTTCTCCAAGATTCATTGTGGCACAATCTGCTGCATACATTGTGCTCTCTGTGCATATGCAATGTCCTTTGATCAGGCTGGTCAGACAGGAAAGGCTCGCAGCTCACAGCTTCCCTCCTACATTCAGAATTATTATTATGCCAGAAAATCATAGTCTTAATTAAATATCTTCTATTAGCTCAGTTCTTCAGATGTACAGCCTTTTAGAGCATCTTTGATAGAAAACATTGATTGTGACACTTCAATGGCCATTTATCTGCTCTCATCTAGAAGTTTCCTAAGGACATTCTTCTGTCCTCTGTATCAAGTCTCAGAGAAATATTCCCAATGTCTCACAGAAATGCTACTTGAGAAGGTTTTACCTTTTTTTCCCCCCCTTTTCTTTTCTAACCTGCTGGCTAACGATCTGATGCTTATCTGAAATACGGCAGAGATTGTGATCGCATCAAATATTTAAGGACGCACTTTGTCGGTTTGATTGCAGAGTGGAAATTGAGTTTTCCTGGATGCTCTAAGCCTCTGTCTTTCCCTCTCAATCCTCCCTGACACAAAGCCTGCTGTCAGCTGAGCATTTGGAGTGTAAAAGCCTCTTTACCCTCTAAATGGGAAGAAAGGGAGGTAATGGCTTCATCCTGCCCTTGAGTCCCCAGGCTGGGGCAGAGGGGCTGGAAAACTGGGAAAGGCCCTGGGGGTGCTGGAGACAGAGGCTGGACATGAATCCAGGTGTGCCCAGGTGGGAAAGGAGCCAGTGGCACCTGGGCTGTGGCAGCAGGGCCAGGGCAGTGCCTGTCCCCTGCGCTGGC